CAGCTTAATCCTTCATCGGCTATCTACAAGAAAGTCACAATAATCAGATAAAAAAATAAGTTTTGACTCTGAGAGGATTCGAAGTCACGCTAGTTGCCTGCCTGCATGAGAAAGTTTGAAATAAGTACTCTAATGCCCTTATCAAGTGATGTCATCATAGTATATCTTTGTTATAAATAAGAAGTAGTTTAGGTATTAAAATCATCGAACCCTTTCAGGAGAAGTCAGATTTAGTCTCACATCATTTGTGCATCAAAGTTTTAATAAATATATAGTAATATCATATTTGCAAGCAATGAGTCACTTTCTCCCACATATACAACTACTCTTCGCCTCACAACTAGCTAGCCACCAGTGATGTGGAAGGAGAGTGGCGCAAACGTGTACTCATCAGTCCTAGTTGCTTGAGCCCCTGTTCGCGGCTCCCTCTAATTGCACTTCCAACCCACTTGTAGGCCCGATTGATCGGCTAGCCGACGAGTCCCCTCCATTTTGTTTTTTTTTTCTTTATTTATCTCAAAAATAAGACTATAAAAATCATATAAATTCATAAAAACTATATTGAAAATCATGTTAATCAATTAAAAATCACTTTTCACACTTTAACACAAATATAAGTCTATTTATCATGAGTTAAAGCTAAAACTATATTATTTACTAATTATTAACTCATAATAGTGAAGATTTATGAGTCATCAATATAAACCAAAATGAAAAGAATTTCAATGGTTTTAGAAAAATAAAATAAAAAGGTGTAGGTTTTGGATCTAGAGAAACCAATTGAGAGTAAGAAATGAAATAATTTTGAAAACCAAGCTCTTGGAGCTTGCTTTAATCCATATAGGGATTTATGTAATTTGTAAATGTAATTAGGGCATTGGGAGTCAACAAAACCTTGTGGTTGCTCCATATAAACGATTTCTTTGAGATCATCATGAAGAAATGTATTAGAAATATCCATTTAATGGATATTCCATTTTAGACTAACCGCGAGAGAGAGAAGGATCCGAATAGTGGTGATCTTAATTACTGGTGAAAAGGTGTCAAAGTAGTCAAAACCTCCTTGTTGGGAGAAACCTTTGGCTACTAGACGAGCTTTGCACCCATCAATGGTATCATTAGGTTTCTATTTAATTTTATAGACCCATTTTCACCCAATAACATGAAGATTGGGTTCCCAGGGAATTAGAGAGCAAGTATTATTTTTAACTAGGACATTAAATTCTAATTGCATGGTTTGTTTCCATTTAGGTTTCTTCCATGCTATGGAAAAATTAGGAAGTTTACTTATGGACAGGGTTGTGAAAAAATAACTAGGAATATGATGTTTGGTAGATAAGCACTAGGAAGAGGAATGGTTGTAGTGTTCCGATAAATAGATCTAATCCTTCGGAATTTGGTAGGAGGGGTCAAAGGTGTGGAATGAGATTGGGTGGATTGTTGGTGAGGAGTGCTATCTATATTACCTAGGGGTACTAGCAAAAATAACTAAGGTCGGATGAGCAGGAGTTGAATTAGAAGTAGGTGATGGTGTGAATTCATGAGGACTGAGCAGGAGGAGCTGCTGAATCTAGTGATGAGGATGAGGATGGCTAAGGTAGGATGATAGGGGTTGGAGTGTAAACCAGACATGCCCTTAAAATGCCTTTCTGAGTGGAGGGGGTAGGAAGTGAAGTAAGTGTCGAGGGAGTAGAATTATAAGGTTTTGTGGAGTGGGGAAAAATAGTTTCATAGAAAATTACATGTCTAGAAATGTGAAATTTTTCAGTAAGGAGGGATTTAAATCAGTAGCCTAGGTGATTGATGTCATAGTCGAGAAAAAGACAAGGTTCAGTTTGGTTATCTAATTTAGTTTGGGAATAGAGTCTAATATAAGGGTAATTGAGGCACCTGAAAGATTTAAAGAAATCATAGTCAGGTGAGGTGGGCATATGATTAATGAGGTATAAGGTTGTACAAACAACTTCATCCCAATATTGTATGAGTAGAGAGGTTTGATTAAGGATGCTAAGGGCAGTTGCTATGAGATGCCTATGTTTCCTTTCAGCCATACCATTTTGATGTGGAGTATGGGGACATGAGATCCAATGATGAATACCATGGTCCTTAAAATACTTGGTAAGAGCCTGAAACTCACCACTCCAGTCAAATTGAAAATAAATGATTTTGAAAGAAAACAAAATTTTGACCTTTTTTTGAAAATCTACAAATGTTTGGAAAACTTCATTTTTTGTTTTAAGAGGATATAACCAAGTGAACTTACCAAAATCATCAACAAATATAACATAATAATTAAAATTGAAAAATGAAGTAATTAGGGAGGGGCCTCATAAATCAGAATGAATTAACTCATCATGTGAAAAGAAGATGCAGGAGTCATCATGCCGTGCCTGTAGACTCTAATATCATGAAAGCTCATAAAAATCTTAGAGAGAAAGTGTGAGATTGGAGAAGAAAGTGAAACGGAATGAGAGAGAAAAGAAAACCCATTAACCTTATTCGATAAGAGTTAGGTTACATTTATAGGCTCGAATTGAGTTGTTGGAGCTATAAGTGTCAAGGTGACGTGTAAGCGTGTCGATTGTGTAATGGGTAGGCTTTTCTATCTTGAGCTCTATTATTATATTTAGTCGCGGGGGGTTACGTTCAAGAACGGCTTCTGATTAGCTGCATCTTCTTTAACACACCCTAAGACTGCTCACCCAATTGTCCTTCGGATTCCGTCGCAATTCTGATATAAATAGACCTTCCCTTTTCTACATCTGAAACTGTTTAGAGTCGTGGATCTGGAGAGGGTACCCCAAACCGCCAAAACAAGTTGGAGACCTGATCCATCTTCGATACTTGGGTTTGAGCTGGACAAAGAAAACGCGTCTCCTGTCTTCAGTGGGGAAACTTCGTCATCTACAATGCTTGGACATTGAGGGGATGCGGATCAGACCGATGCCGAAAGGCGTCTGAAAGATCGAGACCTTAGGACAGGTCCTGGTTGACAAAGACATGGATCTAGATATGGTTGAGGAAGGCTTAAGAAACTTGGAAGTGCTGAAGGTCGTTCGGGCCGGGAGCTGGATATATAACTGCCTAGGGAGCCTTACCGGTCTCCGCGAGCTGCAAATAACAGGCATCAAAGGCTGTCATCATGCCGTGCTGTCATCTTGGCTACCGAAGTGTCCTTGGCTGAAGAAGTTGTTCTCGGACGCCGAGTCCATCCCAGATTGTCTATGGACATCCCAGACTCTCAAGGTCGGATGGCGAAGTGACAAGACCACAGCGACAAAGTTCTGGCGGCCACCAGTGGGCCCCCTATCTCGCCGAACTCGTACTACACAACACCAGACTGGGTCAAGACTCGATTGCGGCGCTCGAGAACCTCCCTAAACTTAGATATCTGTATCTAGGTCCTTGGTCCTACGTAGGAACCGAGATGAGCCGCTCCCGCAACGGGTTCCCGTAACTGGAGTCCCTCGTAGTTAATTCATTGTACGAGTTAGAGTGATGGGTAGCTGAGACTGGGGCCATGTCCCGCCTGAGGAGCTTGAAGGTCTTCGACTGCGGAAGGTTGGCGATGCTTCTGGAATGGTTGCAAGACATGGCTGCTTTGAAGGACCTCGCTTTGTTGGATATGTCCCCTGAAATCTGTTGGAGAGCTCAAAAGGAGGAGAGGACTGGCCCAAGATCCAACACATACATACCTTCAATCACCATTGCACACTCATCAACTAACAGTGGCATGGGGAAACCCGCATGGAGGTTTTTCAGTATGAATGATGCAGCACAGTTTTTGTGCCTTTATTTTGGGAGTCGTACATGTTATTTTGGGAGTCTTACATGAATGGAGACAAATCATGCAATTAGAATTTAATGTCCTAGTTAAGAATAATACTTGGTCTCTAATTCCCCGGCAACCCAATCTTCATGTTATTGGGTGAAAATGGGTCTATAAAATTAAACAGAAACCTAATGGTACCATTGATAGGTGCAAAGCTCGTCTAGTAGCCAAAGGTTTCTCCCAACAGGAAGGTTTTGACTACTTTTAAAATGGAGGTTTTAAAGTATGAATGATACAGCATAGTTCTTGTGCGTTTATGTTGGGAGTCTTACATGTGCTACTTTTGTCTTTGCTTAGTATAAAGAGAATGCATGTTTGATGCTTATCAAATGGTACCTGGCATGTATGGCACGCAGTCTTATGTGCAAGCAGCAGCAAAATAAGTGTTCAACCTTCATAAGAGTGTTGTGAATAAATAGGCATGCATATAATGCATGTCATGTTCGAAACCAGAATAAATTATATGTCACAACGTCAATTACGTATCAGCCTATATTGCTTGCTAGTGATATTTTTATGTGCTTGTACAATCATTTGAGAATCAACTGGAGATATCCCAATATTATGAATGACGAACTTTAGCTTTATTCCTGAATTAGTGTTGGAAAACATACTAATAACATTTTGATGTCAAAGTCGTGGCTCTGAAAGTCTGACTAGCTGCCTGGATCAACCTATATTTGTAGCTCTGTTTGAATGGAGTTTAATTTTTGTAACAAACATTTAATGACGTGTAATTTTTTTTAAGTGACTGTTTCTTGAGACTGCTGCTTATGACAGTTCTTTTTCCCATCTTTAGCTTCTCAATCTGTGAAGAAAATCATAGAGATCAATCCATACATGCTTGGGACAATGGCTGGAGGGGCCGCAGATTGCCAATTTTGGCACAGAAATCTGGGCATCAAGGTACACTTCTTGTTAATTATCCTCTATGAGCTCACCTTTTTGCTAGTGTTCATTTAGTGAATGACAATTATTCACGTAAAGCTGATTCTGACCTCGAATAATGCAACACGTTTCTAAGTTTCGTTATTTTTTGTTCCTCTATTCCTTTCAGTGTCGTCTGCATGAACTGGCGAACAAGCGCAGAATTTCGGTGACAGGTGCCTCAAAGCTGCTGGCCAATATTCTGTATTCCTACAGGGGAATGGGGCTTTCCATAGGAACTATGATTGCTGGATGGGATGAAACGGTATAATCGTTGAACTCATTACACCTTCTTGCCTCTGTTTCTGACCATTTGATCATTTACACCACAACGTACAGGGCCCTGGTCTATACTACGTGGATGCCGAAGGAGGCAGGCTTAAAGGTAAAAGGTTTTCTGTTGGATCAGGATCACCGTACGCATATGGGGTGTTGGACAGTGGGTATGTCTCTAAATATCCTTTCCATTGATATGATTATATGTATCAATATATGCATTCCATAAAACATTTATCTGCTTGAGCTAGGTACCGCTACGACATGACGATTGAAGAAGCTGCGGAATTGGCTCGACGGGCCATTTATCATGCCACATTCCGAGATGGAGCTAGTGGTGGAGTTGCTAGCGGTAATGTTTCTTCATTCTCCATTCACTCTTCCTTGCCGAATAACGCAGACACCTAAACCACGTGATGATTTTATGTGCCGATGATTTATTTCCTTTGTGATGATTTCTAAATCTGTGTTGCAAAATCCTGAAGAAGTTCCCCTGCAAACTGAGGGAAACCCCTGATAAGTCCTGCATTACAAAAAAAGAGAAGATAATTCCTGTGGCTATAATATAATTATGCCGTATAGTTTTTAATTTGAAATTTAATTAATTTACATCATATCTGCTCCCTAAAATTCTTTGTTCTTCAGTTTATTACGTTGGGCCTGATGGATGGAAGAAGCTCTCTGGGGATGATGTCGGGGAGCTGCATTACAAGTACTATCCCGTCGTGCCAAGCCCAGTGGAGCAGGAAATGGTGGAGATTCCAGTCTCTTGAGAGGCTCTTGACCGCCTCTTATGGGCATGCTCTTCGCTTAGAAATCTGGCCGACCTTTTAACTCTTTTCTAATTTCCTTGTTTGTGTACATTTGATACTTTGGATGATTTACATGCTTTGCTCGAGTACTTGATATCCCTTTTAAAGAGTTTCACTTCCAAGTGACGACTGGAAGCATGAACATCCGAAAGCAGAGTTTGACTTACAGCAGCGTCAATTATCATCGTCTATTTGAATTCTAGTCGGCAATTATCATTGTTTCTTATTTTCGTTCTTTATGATGCCAAGAGAAACAAGATATTATCTACTAATTATCATTTTCTAAGATTCAACACAAATCGGGTTTTTATACAACTTCATAGAAATTTCTGATTTAATCTTGAATCATGAAGAATGCTAAGAGAGAGAGTCGAAGACACGCCGGCCCAGTTGTGAGGCTTGGGATTTCAGATCAATTGAGGGTGTCATTTTTTCAATTTCGTGATTTTTTAAGTTTTAGATACATTCCTTGAAATTATTGTGAAATAAAATATAGTCATAAGCTAATCCTTATGATGACATATGGCCATCACTTCATTCAGGTGAATTAGTCAACATTACACAAAAAAAAATGATTTCAGTAGAAATTGAAAAAAAAATTAAAAACTTAAAGTCACTCTAATGTCAAGGTTCAATCATCAATAATTGCCGACAGTCTGCAAGTATGAGCATTTAATAGGGACAGTTAACCAGCTCTCTTGACGAAATTATTTTCCATTAGTTTCTCGTTATGGTCAAGATACGGTGGCGTTGAAAAGAAGTGTTTGACCTTGTTGACCAATTTCTTGGCACGCGTGTGGGTGACAAGATGTATCAACGATGACCGACTTCCCACTCACCAATTGCTCGAGTCAATTCAGCTTTCAGTGTCTTGGAATTTATTTCTTAAATTAGTGGGTACGAAAAATCGTGTTTTATCACATTTTTTGGGTTTTATCTTCTACTTTGGCCTTAATTCACCCTTTCGTTTTTTTCCTAATAAACACAAAAAACATCAAGCTATATTTATTTTTCTTATTGTTCTTCGCTCTGACATTAATAGCCCGGTCGACGAAGATATTATCCCCCGAGCACAGGAACATAGGTGAGAATGCCTGATCGGATAAGCATTTCCAACTCTGGCTGAGAGGAGGCGAAAGGTGGAGAGGGATGGCGGACGCGGCTCTCGGCTACGTCGTGCAACGGGTCGGCGACCTCCTCATCAAGGAAGCGGTCTTCCTGTACTCGGTGAAAGATCAGGTGGAGTGGCTCAAGAGGGAGCTCCGGGCGATGGAGTGCTTCCTGAAGGATGCCGACGCGAAGAGCAAGGGGGACGAAAGCGTGAAGAACTGGGTGAGGGATGTGAGGGAAATCGCTTACCAGGCGGAGGACCTCGTCGAGTCCTTCGTCCTCGATGCCGATGGGAGACGACGGAGAAGAAAGGGCTTCATCCGGACCATTTTGTGTTGCCGCCTTCCATCCCCCAACGGCATCATTGTTCTCCACCAATTCGGTGACGAGATCGAGGCCATACGGACCAAAATCGACGAAATCAATGGACGAAGAAGCACCTACGGAATCCAAGATCTGGGCGGAGAGCCGGAGAGGCAGATCGACAACACAGTGCGGGAACGAAGGCGGGTCGTTCTCCATGCGACATATGCTGATCTGGTTGGCATGGACGAGGAGAAGAACAGAATCGTGGAACATCTGTTGGACGGGAGCAGGAAGAAGAGGTCTGTGATCTCGATTGTGGGGATGGGCGGCCTCGGGAAGACCACTCTTGCTAAGAGAGTCTTCAACGAAGCAAAAGCCAGGTTCAGTCACTCGGTTTGGGTCGATGTCTCCCAGCAGTACTCCGCTGTGGATCTCCTTGGAGAGATTCTTCTGCAGGTCAAGAAGACCGGAGAAGAGGAACTCGAGAAAATGACGAGGCCCAAGCGCGAGGAAATGCTTTACCAGACCTTGCTGGCGGATAACTACTTGATCGTCATGGATGACGTGTGGGACACCGACGTTTGGAGAATCCTCAGTCCGCATCTCCCAGACGCCGAGAACGGAAGCCGGGTTCTCATCACCACCCGGTCCGTCGAAGTTGCCAGATCTGCGGATACATCTACCCTCCCCTTGAGCTGGGATTTCTAAGCGAGGAGGAGAGCTGGGAGCTCCTCTCCAGGAAGGCGTTCCCGAATCAGGAGGATATCGGAGCAGTCTGTTCAGAACCGTTGAGGGATGTGGGGAAACAGATTGCGAGGAAATGTGGGGGCCTGCCTCTGGCGCTGGTGGTGCTCGGGGGTCTGCTGTCGACGAAAGGTCCGTCACTCCGGGCGTGGAGGAGGGTCGCGGAAACACTCGTGTGGGAAACCAGCAAAGATGGCCGAGTGTGCTTGGATATACTGGCGCTGAGCTACGAGGACTTGCCCCGTCACCTAAAGTGTTGTTTCCTTTATTTCAGTTCTCTTCCAGAGGACTTTGAGATTGAAATCGACAAGCTGATTGGATTGTGGATCGCGGAGGGGTTCGTCGAGCAAAGAGCAGGTGAAACACTGGAAGAAACTGCAGAGGATTACCTGGAAGAGCTCGTCCAGAGGTGCATGGTAATACTTGTGCGAGATGCTGACGAATGGGGATTGCTAGAAGTTAAGGTAAGATGCCGGATCCATGATGTGCTGCACGATTTTACCGTTACAGAGGCGAGGGAGGTGGGCTTCCTCGTCTCTCACGGGATCCGAGACGACGGAGGTGCCTCCCAACTGGATTCCTCCGTGCGGCGGCTTTCTCTTCAGGGGGAAAAAGCGTGGTGCTGGGACTCGCTGTCCACCCCAAGACTGCGCACCTTGCTGACGTTCGGAGCCCGTCTCAAATTTGATAAAAATAGAGCCTTCCCCATTCACGATCTGAAACTGCTCAGAGTCGTCGATCTGGAGAGGACACGAATCGCCGAACTGCCAGAACAGGTTGGAGACCTGATCCATCTTCGATACTTGGGCATGAGCCGGACAAAGATAACGCGTCTTCCATCTTCAGTGGGGAAACTTCGTCATCTACAGTGCTTGGACGCAGAGTACACGGTAATCACAACGATGCCGACAGGTTTCTGGCAGATCGAGGCCTTACGCCAGGTCATCGTTCCCGACAAAGTGGAGCCGGAGATGGTGGAGGGAGGCTTATTAAGAAACTTGCAGGTGCTCAAGTACGTTCGGGCCGGGATCTGGATAGATAGCTGCCTAGGGAGCCTTACCAGTCTCCGGGAGCTGAAAATAAGAGGCATCAAAGACTGTCATCACCCCGCGCTGTCATCTTGGCTACCGAAGTTTCCACGCCTGAAGAAGTTGGGCTTGAGAGGCGAGTCGATCCCAGATTGTCTATCGACACCGTCCAGCTTTCCTTCCCTTGAAGTCTTATGGCTGTCCGGGAAAGTAAGGAGGCCACCACAACAATCAAGTTCTGGCAGCGACCAGTGGCCCCCCAATCTCACCGGACTCAGACTATTGAAAACCAGTCTGGGTCAAGACTCGATTGCGGCGCTCGAGAAGCTCCCTGAACTCAAACATCTGCTTCTAGGTCCTTGGTCCTACGAAGGGAACGAGATGATCTGCTCCCGCGGCGGGTTCCCGAAACTGGAGTCCCTCGTACTTGAACTGGACGAGTTAGAGAGGTGGGTAATTGAGGCCCGGGCCATGCCCCGCCTGAGGAACTTGGAGATCTTCGACTGCAAAAGGTTGGCGATGCTTCCGAAAGGGTTGCAACAGATGGCTGCATTGAAGGAGCTCGTTTTGTGGAATATGTCCCCTGAAATCCGTTCAAGAGCTGAGAAGGAGGGAAAGGACTGGCCCAAAATCCAACACATACCTTTAGTCAACATTATACCGAAGTGAATTTGGGATTTATCATCAACAACATTAAGAAAAGTTTTATCTATATTCTTGTTGTAAAATCATCAACAAGTTCCCCTTAACTGAGAGATATACCTGAAAGGTGACACATTGAAAAAAAAGGGAAAATCCGCCTGAGGAGCTTGAGGATTGACAGCTGCGAAAAAGTTGGCGGTGCTTCCGGAAGGGTTGGAACGCATGGCTGCTTTGAAGGACCTCGTTTTGTTGGATATGTCTCCTACAAACTGTTCTAGAGCTCAAAAGGAGGGAGAGAACCAGCCCAAAATCTAGGACATACAGTAAAAGTCAGTCCTTATCCTGGGATAATGAGCACAGATGCTGTTTCATTAAAATTTTTCTGAAAAATGAAGGAAAACAGGTGCAGTATTTGAATTATGCACGAGACAATATTAGGTGTATGTTATTATCTTAAGATGCATTCTAATTTCTCATGTATGAAAATGCAATGCCATTTATAGTGTGGGACACCACCATCTTATTTCTCATATTCATCGACCTGTTAGCTATCTTGTATATTATCTAACTTTCCTCTTTTGTTGTACTGCCACTGGATGAGCGATAACTTTCCTCTTTCCTCTTGAGCCACTCCTACAAACTGTTTTATTCCCAGTAACAAAATAAAACATCAAGCTATATTTTTTTTTTCTTATTGTTCTTCGCTCTTACATATTATCTTCCAATCGCAGCGGAAATTTGGGTACCTTAACTGTCCGGTCAGACGCGTATGCTGATCTGTTTTCATTGGCAGACTGCACAGTTGGAGTTGGCCCAACTGTGCAAAAACCTCAAGCTGATATTTCAGGCTGATCTGTTTTCATTGGCTGTATCTTGACTGCGAGGCTAGCCTGGAACATCGGCTTTGAAGTCCAAGCCCAGCCCATCTTTTTCTCTAGGCGTGGGTCAAAAGGATCTGCCCCAACAGGGCAGGGTTCAGACTTTCCAGTGGCCCAACACTGGAGCCCCATTTCAGTCCCCCGTGGTACCTCTCCACCACACATGGGACTCTGCCGGAGCCCGCCTCCCTCCCCATCTCCAGTGGGGCTTGTTACGGGCAAGATATGGTGGCGTTGAAAAGAAGCATTTGACCTTGTTGACCAATTTGTTGGCACGTGGGGTGGGTGACAAGATGTATCAACGATGGCCGACTTCCCACTCACCAATTGCTCGAGTCAATTCAGTTTTCAGTGTCTTGGAATTTATTTCTTAAATTAGTGGGTACGAGAAATCGTGTTTTCTCACATTTTTTGGGATTATCTTCTGTTTTAGCCTAAACTCACGCTTTCGTTTTATTCCCAGTAACAAAATAAAACATCAAGCTATATTTTTTTTTCTTATTGTTCTTCGCTCTTACATAGTTGAGAAGCCTGATCGGATAAGCATTTCCAGATCTGCCTGAGAAGAGGCGAAAGGCGGAGAGGGATGGCGGACGCGGCTCTCGGCTACGTCGTGCAACGGGTCGGCGACCTCCTCATCGATGAAGCGGTCTTCCTGTACTCGGTGAAAGATCAGGTGGAATGGGTCAAGGAAGAGCTCCAGGCGATGGAGTGCTTCCTGAAGGACGCCGACTCGAAGAGCAAGGGGGACGAAAGGGTGAAGAACTGGGTGAGGCAAGTGAGGGAAATCGCTTATCGGGCGGAGGACCTCGTCGAGTCCTTCGTCCTCGATGCCGATGGGAGACGTCGGAGGAGGAAGGGCTTCATCCGGACCATTTTGTGTTGCCGCCTTCCGTCCCCCAACGACATCATCCTACTCCACCAATTCGGTGACGAGATCGAGGCCATACGGACCAAAATCGACGAAATCAATGGACGAAGAAGCACCTACGGAATCCAGGACCTGGGCGAAGAGCCTAGGAGGCAGATCGACAACACAGTGCGGGAACGAAGGCGGGTCGTTCTCCATGCGACATATGCTGATCTGGTTGGCATGGACGAGGAGAAGAACAGAATCGTGGAACATCTGTCGGACAAGAGCAAGAAGAAGCGGTCGGTGATCTCGATTGTGGGGATGGGCGGCCTCGGGAAGACCACTCTTGCTAAGAGAGTCTTCAACGAAGCAAAAGCCAGGTTCAGTCACTCGGTTTGGATCGATGTCTCCCAGCAGTATTCCGCTGAGGATCTCCTTGGAGAGATTCTTCTGCAGGTCAAGAAGACCGGAGAAGAGGAACTCGAGAAAATGACGAGGCCCAAGCGCGAGGAAATGCTTTACCAGACCTTGCTGGCGGATAACTACTTGATCGTCATGGATGACGTGTGGGACACCGACGTTTGGAGAATCCTCAGTCCGCATCTCCCAGACGCCGAGAACGGAAGCCGGGTTCTCATCACCACCCGGTCCGTCGAAGTTGCCAGATCTGCGGATACATCTACCCCTCCCCTTAAGCTGGGATTTCTAAGCGAGGAGGAGAGCTGGGAGCTCCTCTCCAGGAAGGCGTTCCCGAATGAGGAGGATATCGGAGTAGTCTGTTCAGAACCGTTGAGGGATGTGGGGAAACAGATTGCGAGGAAATGTGGGGGCCTGCCTCTGGCGCTGGTGGTGCTCGGGGGTCTGCTGTCGACGAAAGGCCCGTCACTCCGGGCGTGGAGGAGGGTCGCGGAAACACTCGTGTGGGAAACCAGCAAAGATGGCCGAATGTGCTTGGATATACTGGCGCTGAGTTACGAGGACTTGCCCCGTCGCCTAAAGTGGTGTTTCCTTTATTTCAGTTCTCTTCCAGAGGACTTCGAGATTAAAGTCGACAAGCTGATCACATTGTGGGTCGCGGAGGGGTTCGTCGAGCGAAGAGCAGGTGAAACACTGGAAGAAACTGCAGAGGATTACCTGGAAGAGCTCGTCCAGAGGTGCATGGTGATACTTGTGCGAGATTTACCTGAGCTACGGTGCCGGATCCATGATGTGCTGCACGATTTTACTGTTGCAGAGGCTAAGGAGGTGGGGTTCCTCGTCTGTCACCGTATCCGAGACGACGGAGGCGCCTCCCCACTGGATTCCTCCGTGCGGCGCCTTTCTCTTCAGGGGAATAAAGCGTCGTACTGGGACTCGAAGACCACCCCAAGTCTGCGCACCTTGCTGTCCTTCAGATTCGATCGCCAATCTGATATAAAGAGAACCTTCCCCCACTTTCCAGATCTGAAACTGCTCAGAGTCGTCGATCTGGGGAGGGCACTAATCTTCGAATTGCCAGAACAAGTTGGAGACCTGATCCATCTTCGATACTTGGGCATGAGCTCGACAAAGATAACGCGTCTTCCGTCTTCAGTGGGGAAACTTCGTCATCTACAGTGCTTGGACGCAGAGTGGACGCAAATCAAAACGATGCCGAGAGGTTTCTGGAAGATCGAGGCCTTACGCCAGGTCATCGTTCCCTTTCGAATGGAGCCGGAGATGCTGGTGGCAGGCCTAAGCAACTTGCAGGTGCTCAAGGAGGTCCAGGCCGGGAGGTGGATAGATAGCTGCCTAGGGAGCCTTACCAGTCTCCGGGAGCTGCAAATATCATTTATCGAAGACTGTCATCATCCCGCGCTGTCATCTTGGCTACCGGAGTTGCGACACCTGAAGAAGTTGTCCTTACAAGGCGAGTCCGTCCCAGAGTTTCTATGGACAACACCGCCCAGCTTTACTTCCCTTGAAGTTTTAACCCTGATTGGGGAAGTGAGGAGGCCACCACAAGAATCAAGTTCTGGCGGCGACCAGTGGCCCCCCAATCTCACCCAGCTCATACTATGGAAAACCAGTCTGGGTCAAGACTCGATTGCGGCGCTCGAGAAGCTCCCTGAACTTACATATCTGTATCTAGGTGCTGGATCCTACGAAGGGAACGAGATGATTTGCTCCCGCGGCGGGTTCCCGAAACTGGAGTCCCTCGTACTTAATGCACTGGACGAGTTAGAGAGGTGGGTAATTGAGGCCGGGGCCATGCCCCGCCTGAGGAGCTTGGAGATCATCTCATGCAGAAAGTTGGCGATGCTTCCGGAAGGGTTGCAACAGATGGCTGCATTGAAGGAGCTCGTTTTAAGGAATATGTCCCCTGAAATCCTTTCAAGAGCTGAAAAGGAGGGAGAGGACTGGCCCAAAATCCAACACATACCTTCAGTCAAGATAGGAAACCGTTATGATAGATAGATTGCATGGGGAAACCCGCCGCCGTCCGTCTCTCTCTCTGTTACTCTCTCTCTCTCTCTCTCTCTCTCTCTCTCTCTCTCTCTCTCGCTTATGTCAGAAATAACGAGCATAACATTATCTCATTAAAGTACTCCATACTCTTTGGCATTGCAATTGTTCATAAGAATTTTATTTTCTATTTTTAGGAAGAATAACGATAACTAGTCTAGTCACCGGCGAAACTCACAGATGGAGTACTTACCGGCGCCGGAAAAGACTCATGCCGCCGGAAAACCTTCCGCAGCAGCAGCGGCGGCAGCGGCGGCGGCAGCGGCGGCGGCGGAGCAGATGAAGATCGTCTTCCTCTTAACCTCGTCTGGTTCTCACCTCCTCGCGGCGCTGTCGCCGAACGGTCTCACGCTGCTTGCTTTCAAATCCTCCCTCTGGTGATCCCTCCGCCAGCCTCACCGGCTGGGAAGAGGGCGATGGGGATCCCTGCCGGTGGCCTGGAGTCTCCTACAACAATGTCGCCGGCTTCGCCTACTCTCGCGTCGTCGTCCTCACCATCTCCGCCAAGAATCAATGCGAGTTCCTCGGGTTTTCCTATTTAACTGCCGTAAATTCCTCATCTTATTCTCCCACACAGCTCATAAGATTGTTTCTTCGTTATTCATTTTTGTTAGTTCTGTGACCTTGCTGTTCTTTGATTTCTGAAGACGAATTCCTTGTGATTGTGGGTTTAGGATGGTAGAAGCTGCTGTTCAGTTTTCTCCCACAAAACCACCTGCCGCAGTGGGCGGGGGAAGCAAAGGAGCAGAATACAGCTTCTATTGCTACTACCGTGAAGGTGAGTTCATCTTCACGCATTAGAAAGATATTTAATACGGCCGATAGAGAGGTTCAGCCCTAGATTTGTAAATGAAAGGAAGCCATCATCTAGTATAACAGAAAGATTTAGAAGCGAAAAATAGAGGCACAATTTTTTATTCAAAAGAAGAATCTGAACTGTCTGTCGTTCCTGAGAAAAATGTGGTTAATGAAATTGAAGAAAGCAAGGACAAATTCTGGAATGTATCATCTTCCTCTTAAATTGGTCCACTTTCTTCTAAAAAATCGTCCCTGAATTTATTTATAATCTATCTTTTGTTTCCTTCCCTGGCATTGTCATAGTTTGCCCCCCTTGGGACAGTTCTTGGTCTGTCTATTGGCATTAACTTGGGTCTCTGTGCCATTAGAAACATCCAGCTTATAGAATGAACCGTGCAGATCAAATTCTGGATGTATAGCATGACACATTTCTCTTCGGATACTATTATCATCGTCAGTTGCTCTGTTTTATAATGTACATGGATGGCAAAAGTCCACACAGCCTAACTTTATAGAACTTGTGCCAATTTTGATTGCATGGTAGTCCATCGTAAAACCTTTTAAAAATGATAACTTTTCTATTCAATTCCAACTTTGCTTTGATATGACGAAGGTTTCGGAAATTAGTAGTCTTATGCATATTATCTCCTTTTAATGTTTGTCTTTATTTTATTTCCATATTGCCTTCCCGAACAAAGAAATTGCTCCTGTCATATGTCATTTTCCCATAGCAGGAACAGGAGTTTTTGAGATCAATTATATGAATGTAGGCCCAAGATATTATATTGTTCTCTGTACGGTCTCCTGTGCGACAGCTGAGAGGCTTTGCTCTCCTCTGCTTCCTCGTTCAAGCAATCAATGGACAATACTGCTACACCTTTCCTCCCACACACACATCCACAAAAGGCTAAAACTCCCTGCCCAGAATGTTTGACTTTCAGATTGATGCTTTTGAGTGACATAAGAGCCATGAAAAGCTCTACCCCAATGCTGTATGGCACCTGCAGAGCAGCTGCAGCTTGATGTAGCGCCAGTACACATTGCCAGAGAATTATGGCATCGTATAGAATTACTTCCGAACGGATAAAGGTATTAGAGCATTAACTGTCTATGGTTCAAGAGGTTGGCTTGGGATCAAGGATTGCCGGATCGGGACGGACCGCGCCAGTGATCTCCCACTGAACGGTGCGGCGACTGTTTTAAGGCATTGACTTTGCAAAAGTCAATCGGTTGACGTTATGAGGGATTGACGGCAGTCACATCTCCGACCATCAAATCACGATGGATGGTCGAACGGAATACCTTCCTATTTAAACGAAACTATCTTATTTATTATCGTAAATAATACAAAAATAACACCTTTTATTTTAAGGCTAAAGCCCTCTCTCTCTCTCTCACTGGAGAATGTCATCCTTTCCAACGGGAAAGGGGAGAAGAGGGGGGGGGAGAGAGAGAGAGAGAGAGAGAGAGAGATCTTACTCAACTGGTCAAGCGGCTCGGATTTTTTCTCGGCTTGGTTGTCCAACCCACCATAATCTAGACGATAATGATGATTATGACCCGAAATATTATAATGATTATTATCGACGGCGACCCCCGCCGCATCGGAAGCCGCCCCGTTGACCGTCGACTAGGCCGGACATGGTTTGCGTGTCGGAAAAAGGGAGAGAGAGCGAGAGAGTCGCTGCTTTTTGCTTGGACGACAATTTTTAATGTCAAAATAATAATATATTGATGATTAAATGTCTATATTATAATGTAACCATCATAATATTAATTCAGGAGAAGCGCTCGATTTTCGCTGTTTACTGTTATTCATTTAATAATTGCCCATAGTGGTCAAGTATGAGCGCTTGATTGGGACAGTTTACCACCTCTCTTCGTGAGCATTATTTTAAATAATTTTTCTTTTTTGTCATAGACGGGGTTGGGTTGGAAAATAAGCGTTGACTTTGTTGACCAATTTGTTGGCACGCGGGTGGGTGACGAGATGTATTACTTGGCGATGGACTCTCCACCTACGAGGTTCCTCGGTCTAAGCTTTTCCATTGTGCCACGATCGTGACGTGTAATTGGTCCTCATGAGTCCATTCAGCTTTCAATATCTGGTAATTTGTTTCATAAATTAGTGGGTACGATAAATCGTGTTTTATCACAATTGTTGGGTTAATCATCAACTTTAGCGTTAACTCGGATATGCATTTCCAGATCTGGCTGAGAGCAGGAGGCGAGAGGAGGAGAGGGATGGCGGACGCTGTTCTCGGCTACGCCGTGCAACAGATAGGCAATCTCCTCATCAATGAGGCGGTCTTCCTGTACGAAGTGAAAGATCAGGTGGAGTGGGTCAAGGAGGAGCTCAAGACGATGGAGTGCTTCCTGAAGGATGCCGACACGAAGAGCAAGGGGGACGAAAGGGTGAAGAACTGGGTGAGGGATGTGAGAGAAATCTCTTATCAGGCGGAGGAAGTCGTCGAGTCCTACGTCCTCGATACCGAGCGGAGGCGACGACGTAGAAAGGGGTTCATCCGGCCCACTGTGCGTTTCCTTCCTCTCCGCGACTTCATCGCCCAACGCGAATTCGGTAATGAGATCGAGGCCATACAGGGCAGAATCGACCAAATCAGTAGACAAAAAAGCACCTACGGAATCCAGGACCTGGGCGGAGAGCCGGAGAGGCAGATCGACAACACAGTGCGGGAACGAAGGCGGGTCGTTCTCCATGCCCCAGATGCTGACCTTGTCGGCATGGACGAGGAGAAGAACAGGATTCTGAGGCATCTGTTGGATGGGAGCAGGAATAGGCGGTCTGTGATCTCGATTGTGGGGATGGGCGGCCTCGGGAAGACCACTCTTGCTAAGAGAGTCTTCAACGCAGCAAGTGCCGACTTCAGTCACTCGGCGTGGATCGATATCTCCCAGCAGTACTCCGCTGTGGATCTCCTTGGAGACATTCTTCGGCAGGTCACAAATCTCAAAGAAGAGTACCTCGAGAAAATGAAGAGGCCCAGGCGAGAGAAGATGCTTTACGAAACCTTGGAGGCGGAGAACTACTTGATCGTCATGGATGACGTGTGGGACACCGAGGTCTGGAAAATCCTCAGTCGGCATCTCCCAGACGCCCAGAACGGAAGCCGGGTGCTCATCACCACTCGCGACAAAAAAGTCGCCCGAGCTGCGGATCCATCTACCCCTCCCCTTGAGTTGCGGCCACTTAGCAAGGAGGAGAGCTGGGAGCTCCCCTCCAAGAAGGCGTTCCCGAATCAGGAGGATATCGAAGCAATCTGCTCAGAATCGCTGAGGAATTTGGGGAAAGAAATCGCGAGGAAATGCGGGGGCCTGCCTCTGGCTCTGGTGGTGCTCGGCGGTCTGCTGTCCACGAAAGATCCGTCAGTCTGGGCGTGGAAGAGGCTCGCGGATACACTCGTCTGGGAAAACATGGAGGAAGGCCGAGTGTGCTTGGATATACTGGCGCTGAGCTACGAGGACTTGCCCCGTCACCTAAAGTGTTGTTTCCTTTATTTTAGTTCTCTTCCAGAGGACCTCGAGATTAGAGTCGACAAGCTGATCAGATTATGGATCGCGGAGGAGTTCGTCGGGCAAAAACCAGGTGAAACACTCGAAGAAACTGCGGAGGATTACCTGGAAGAGCTCGTCCAGAGGTGCATGGTGATTGTTATGCGGGATGTACACGTTAATCCCTGGGACAGAAGTTCAAAATTGGTGCTAAGATGCCGGATCCATGATCTGCTACACGATTTTACCGTTGCAGAAGCTAAGGAGGTGAGCTTCCTCGTCTCTCACAGGAGCCGAGACGACCGAGGCGCCTCCCAACTGGATTCCTCCGTGCGCCGCCTTTCTGTTCATGGGAAAAAAGCGTGGTGCTGGGACTGGGAGTCCACCACAAGACTGCGCACCTTGCTGTCCTTCGGAACCCTTGGCGAAGTTTCTATACACAGAATCTTCCCCATTCCAAACCTGAAACTGCTCAGAGTCATTTATCTGGAGGGGGCACCAATCGCCAAACTGCCAGAACAAGTTGGAGACCTGATCCATCTTCGATACTTGGGCTTGAAAAATACAAGGATAACGAGTCTTCCGTCTTCAGTGGGGAAACTTCTTCACCTACAGTGCTTGGACGCAGAGTTGACGTGGATCAGAACGATGTCGAGAGGTGTCTGGAAGATCGAGGCCTTGCGGCAGGTCCTCGTTACCTCACTAGTGGAGCTGAATATGGTGGAGGCAGGCCTAAGAAACTTGCGGGTGCTGAAGGTCGTCCGGGCCGGGAGCTGGATAGATAGCTGCCTTGGGAGCCTTACCAGTCTCCGGGAGCTGCAAATAACATTTATCGACGACTGTCATCATCCCGCGCTGTCATCTTGCCTACCGAAGTTGCCACGCCTGAAGAAGTTGGTCTTGGAAGGCGCGTCGATCCCGGATTGTCTATAGACATCGTCCAGCTTTTCTTCCCTTCAGGTCTTATCCCTGATTGGGGAAGTGAGGAGGCCACAAGAATCAAGTTCTGGCGGCGACCAGTGGCCCGCCAATCTCACCAAAGTCACACTACGGGGGACCAGTCTGGGTCAAGACTCGATTGCGGCGCTCGAGAAGCTCCCTGAACTTACATATCTGTATCTAGATGGTGGATCCTACGTAGGAAAGCAGATGCTCTGCTCCCGCGGCGGGTTCCCGAAACTGGAGTCCCTCGTGCTTTCTGAACTGACCGAGTTAGAGAGGTGGGTAATTGAGGCCGGGACCATGCCCCGCCTGAGGAGCTTGAAGATCGACAACTGCGAAAAGTTGGCTGTGCTTCCGGAAGGGTTGGAACGCATGGTTGCCTTGAAGGACCTCGTTTTGTTAGATCTGTCTCCTACAATCTGTTCTAGAGCTCAAAAGGAGGGAGAGAACCGGCCCAAAATCCAGCGCATACGTTCAATCACCATTTCAGATATAGCTCCAATCACCTTTGCAGAGTCGTTTGACAGTGATAGCATGTAATATCTCTAATCCTGTTATCGCATGGGGAAACCCGCCGTCTCCATTTGAGATGCCAACGAGGATTTTATGTCGAGCTATGGACGTAAAAGCATTCTTAGAACCACATATATCCCGTGTGTTCTTAATTGTGTTTCCTCTCTCCCTCTCTCTCTCTCTCTCTCTCTCCCCCTCCCTCCCTCCCCCCTATGTTTCCATTAGTCCTCTTCTATGCAGGGACGATGACGCTCGTTCCGACAACTCGTCCTCGAAACCCACATACATTCAGATTTGGAAATTTATCAGGCACATGCAGATTGCGGGGGCCCGCGAGGGGGCTCTTGGAGAGTGCTGCAGGCTGGAGAGAAGAGGTGATTAGGCTCGGATTGCTCAACGCTCTGACTTTGCTAAATCACCGCCCACACTACTTGAACTGTTAAAAAAAAAAAACTAAGAAGATACAGTACCTTGAGCAAACGGCCCCTTTTAAAATTCATAAAAATATCGAAAATGAATAAATGTCTCTATCATAGTAAAAATAAGGTAAATATTTCCATACAAATCTAAAGAAAGGTAAGAGATTTGAAGACTAGACTATCAATAGAAAGACACAAAGTAACCATGAAAGAACGATGCCATGTATATGTTATAAGATCAACATGCTCTTGGGCATTGGGAGACTCTCCTCCCTTCCCGCGCACGTTATCCTGCGCCACTCATGAGCGCGCTTGATGGCGCACCTCCACACTATCATGCCAGATGTGTCCATCCCATTCGATGAGGAAGTAAAACATGTGCTAGGAGTGGCGGCGGCGACCTGGTCGGCGCCCGCCACGCGAGCAAATGGGCGTCATATCAACGGCCTGGGACCGGACACAGGCTCAGACCCAGGCCAGGAGATGAGTCAAAGGTATGAGAGCCCTCCCCGGTTGAGTGAGTCCACATTTAGAGGTTGACTTTGCGGCTGTCGGCCTATCGTAGAGTAGGTGAGTATCAACCTCCAGTCTTGGGCTGCAGTTCAACTTATTAAATTGGATAAATAAATACTAGTAGTAGTATCATAAGAGAAAGATAGAGAGGTCTCTTCTAAGGCACAATTTTAGGAAGAATAATGTCAACTAATCGAGTCAGGGGCCCACTTTGTCTTCCCTTGGACCCCAAGAATCTACTTACCGTTGGAACTCCCATCCTTAAACCTCGAACATAAGAATGCCAAAGTCGCCACTCTCTCGTATTTAATGTATATTATCTGATTTATTCATTGTTATCAGTTATTTTTTAAAGTTCCCGAATTATATATTGTAGAATTTTCTTAATTCCTTCGGCATTAAAATATATAAGAGGGGCCCACACGGTGGACTCGAGGGGCTTCTTAAGATCACACGGGTGGACATAGTTCAACGGTCGAGGTTCAAAGGGTCCACGCCGCCTGGGGGGTGGCGTGGACGGCAGTTATTGTTACACCTTCCACGCCATCTTTGTCGGGGGTTACGTGGCGAAAGGGATGCCGTTCTCCTCTACTGTTGGCCAGTCCAGTGGCACAAGGGGTAAATTGGGAAATCACCGCCGCATTTAATGGCATACCGAATATTAGGGGTGTATGAGGCGTCGTGGGGGCTGCCCGGTGGGCCCTCTGCTTGCTCTCTGCTCCTCCGGCCCTCCATATTAATTGGTGCGCCATTCAATGAGAGATAGACGTGGCTTTTGACTGGTGATATAAGACTCCGGCGGTGTAACGTACCCCACGGAAGTTGATAGATAGATATACAGACACTCACCGGCACCGGAGAAGAAGACTCCTCCCGCAGGAGAACCTTCCGCAGAAGCAGCGGGGGGCGGGGAGGAGGAGCAGATGAAGATAATCGTCCTGATCTTCCTCCTCTTCCGGTCGTCGGGTTCTCGCCTCTGCGCGGCGCTGTCGCCGGACGGTCTCACGCTGGTAGCTTTCAAATTCGCCGTCTCCGGCGGTCCCTCTGCCAGCCTCGCGGGGGTGGGGCGAGGCCGACGAGGATCTCTGCTGGTGGCCTGGAGTCTCCGGCACCAATGTGTTGTACTTTCACATAAATGTTGTGAACATGGGGCATGCATCAAAATGGGCATCACTTTCATAACCCAAATAAAATAATATGCCACAATATCAATTGTGTAAATATACCGTTGAAGTACAGATGATCCTTCAGCGAGCTTACGGACCTATATCATCCGTTAGTGATTTTTTTATGTGCTTACACAATCATCTGGGACTTAACGATAGAACTTCCGATATTATAAAGGGGCGTGCTTTAACTTTATTCCTGAAGCAGATTTGTGGAAACGTTCTGGTACGTATTTCATGTCAAAGCCATGGCTCTGGAAATCCGAGTGGGGGCCTGGATCAACCTGACCTGGTCAAATCATTGGCTGATTCTGTTGACCATGGGCAAATTTGAATATACTTGTAGCTCTGGTTCCGTGGAGTTTATTTATGTGACATCCGATGACGTGTGATATTATTAGTGATAGTTTCTCGAGGCTGCTTCAGACAGCTTTTCTCTTATCTTCAGCTTCTCATCTGTTAAGAAAATTATAGAGATCAGTTCACACATGCTTTCCACAATTTTGGCAATTTCGGTAATTTCTGTTGGATCAAGATCACCATACGCATATGGCATCCTGGAGGGCTCTGGGTATGCCTCTATCTGTCCTTACCACTGATATGATTTTATGTATCAATGTATACAAACTCCATCGACAATTTATTTGCTTGAACGAGGTACCGCTACGACATGACGATTGAGGAAGCTGTGGAATTGGCTCGACAGGCCATCTATCATGCCACATTCCGAGATGGAGCTATTGGTGGAGTTGCTAGCGGTAATGTATCTTCATTCTCCATCCACCATACCTTGCTAAATAATCCAGACACCTAAACGATCTGATGAATGACGGCGTATGTCAAAGAAGGGATTTCAAAACCTCTGCATCATTTTCCATCTTCTTCCCCCCTGTCATTACAGAAGTCAATGGTTCATGGGCGTAAAATAGAGAGGTTAAGCCCTCAAGATCATATTAGAAGGGAAATCGAAGACGAAGAACATCTTATGATTTCCTAAGTTGCCCTTAGCATTGCAGTCGACTCGTTTTCAGATGGATGATCGTCATCATTTGTGGTTGCTCTCCTCTCCTCTTTTTTCCTGCATTGGATTGAGGACAATAAGTAGATTTAAGAAGAATTAACCTGAAGAGATGATAGTTTCGGGCTATATTATGTGTTGACCCTTTTCACTATATAGGAAGGGAAATATAGATAGATAAATTGGAGAGATCCCCTAACTTAATGAAGTTATATTTACCAGGGATTTCCATCTTCCACTGTGTGGGAGGGAGCTCATGTGATCACTCGCGTTAGTACTAAGGGGAGTTCTCCGAGCGCCACGTGTCAAAATTCCCGGTAAATGTAATCCAATGTGATGATCTCTCCGAAAAAATCTAGCCCGAGAAGATGGGCCCAATTCGGCCGGGTGGAAGATTCACCAGTGCCCACAAACACCAATTGGTCTCTCAAACAAGAGATCATCCTGATTGTCGATAGCTCGATGGATGGCCAATGGGATGTGCCGTTTCAGATCCGGCGGCCATAAATGCATTTAACACCCTGCATTATATGCAGCGTCTGAAAAGACGACCCTGCATTGAGTGTGAAGTATGCTCGGCTAGGCATTTCTGATCTGGCTGAGAGGAGGAGAGAGGAGGAGAGGAATGGGGGATGCGGTTCTCGGCTACGTCGTACAACGGGTCGGCGACCTCCTCGTCGATGAAGCGGTCTTCCTGTACGCAGTGAAAGATCAGGTGGAGTGGGTCAAGGACGAGCTCCGAGTGATGGAGTGCTTCCTAAAGGACGCTGATGCGAAGAGCAAGGGGGACGAAAGGGTGAAGAGCTGGGTGAGGTATGTGAGGGAAATCGCTTATCGGGCGGAGGACCTCGTCGAATCCTTCGTCCTCCATGCCGAACGGAGACGACGACAGAGAAAGGACTTCATCCAGACCGTTGTGTGTTGCCGCCTTCCATCCCCCAACGGCTTCATCGTACTCCACCGATTCGGTAACGAGATCGAGGCCATAAGGGCCAAAATCCGTGACATCAGTGAGCGAAGAAGCACCTACGGAATCAAGGACCTGAGCGAAGAGCCAGAGAGGCAGATCAACAAGACAGTGCAGGAACGAAGGCGGGTCGTTCTCCATGCCGCAGATGCTGATCTGGTCGGAATGGACGAGGAGAAGAACAAACTCCTGGGACATCTGTTGGACGGGAGCAGGAAGAAGCGGTCGGTGATCTCGATTGTGGGGATGGGCGGTCTCGGGAAGACCACTCTTGCTAAGAGAGTCTTCAACAAGGCAAGAGCCAATTTCGGTCACTCAGTGTGGATCGATGTCTCCCAGCAGTACTCCGCTGTGGATCCCCTTCGAGACATTCTTCTGCAGGTCACGAAGCTTGGAGAAGAGGAACTCCAGAAAATGACGAGGCCCAGGCAAGAGAAGATGCTTTACCAAACCTTGGAGGCGGAGAACTACTTGATTGTCATCGATGACGTGCGGGACAAGGAGGTCTGGAGAATCCTCAGGCCGCATCTCCCAGACGCCGAGAACGGAAGCCGGGTGCTCATCACCACCCGGTCCCTCGACGTTGCCAGATCTGCGGACTCATCTACCCCTCCCCTTGAGTTGCGCCTACTTAGCGAGGAGGAGAGCTGGGAGCTCCTCTCCAAGAAGGCGTTCTCGAATCAGGAGGATATCGAAGGAATCTGTTCAGAACCGTTAAGGAAAGTCGAGAAAGAAATCGCGAGGAAATGCGGGGGCCTGCCTCTGGCGCTGGTGGTGCTCGGCGGTCTGCTGTCCACGAAAGGTCCGTCACTTCGGTCTGCGGGGGCCTGCCTCGGAGACACTTGTCTGGGAAACTATCGAGGAAGGCCGAGTGTGCTTGGATATACTGGCGCTGAGCTACAACGACTTGCCCCGTCACCTAAAGTGCTGTTTTCTTTATTTCAGTTCTCTTCCAGAAGACTTCGAGATTGATGTCGACAAGCTGATCAGATTGTGGATCGCGGAGGGGTTCGTCGAGCACAGAGCTGGTGAAACACTCGAAGAATCTGCGGAGGGTTATCTGCAAGAGCTCATCCAGAGGTGCATGGTGATAGTAGTGCGAGATGTAGATCTTGACATCTGGGGCATAGCAAGACTCAAAGTCGAGCTAAGTTGTCGGATCCATGATTTGCTGCACGATTTTACCGGTGCAGAGGCCAAGGATGTGGGCTTCTTCGTCTGTGACGGGATCCGAGACGACCGAGACACATCCCAACTGGATTCCTCCGTGCGGCGTCTTTCTCTTCAGGGGGATAAAGCATGGTGCTGGGACTGGGAGTCAACCCCAAGACTGCGCACCTTGGTGTCGTTCGGAACCAGTCGCGAATTTGATATAAGTAGAACCTTCCCCTTTCTACGTCTGAAACTGCTCAGAGTGGTGGATTTGGAGTGGACACCAATCGCCGAACTGCCAGAACAATTGGGAGACTTGATCCATCTTCGATACTTGGGCTTGAAATATACAAGGATAACCAGCCTTCCATCTTCAGTGGGGAAACTTCGTCATCTACAGTGCTTGGACGTAGAAGGAACACGGATCAGAGCGATGCCGAGACGTGTCTGGAAGATTGAGGCCTTACGGCAGGTCCTCGTTCCCTTTACAGTGGAGCCGGAGATGGTGGAGGTAAACTTAAGAAACTTGCAGGTACTGAAGGTCGTCCGGGCCGGGAGCTGGATAGATGGCTGCCTTGGGAGCCTTACCAGTCTCCGGGAGCTGGAAATAACAGGCATCGAAGACCGACATCATCCCGCACTGTCATCTTGGCTACCGAATTTGCCACGCCTAAAGAAACTGGTCTTGGAAGGCGCGTCGATCCCAGATTGTCTATGGACACCGTCCAGCTTTTCTTCCCTTGAAGTCTTACGGCTGAACGGGATAGTGAGGTCAAAACAATCAAGTGCTGGCGGCGACCAGTGGCCCCCCAATCTCACCCAGCTCATACTATGGAAAACCAGTCTGGGTCAAGACTCGATTGCGGCGCTCGAGAAGCTCCCTGAACTTACATATCTGTATCTAGGTGCTGGATCCTACGAAGGGAACGAGATGATTTGCTCCCGCGGCGGGTTCCCGAAACTGGAGTCCCTCGTACTTAATACACTGGACGAGTTAGAGAGGTGGGTAATTGAGGCCGGGGCCATGCCCCGCCTGAGGAGGTTGGAGATCACCTACTGCAGAAAGTTGGCGATGCTTCCGGAAGGGTTGCAACAGATGGCTGCATTGAAGGAGCTCGTTTTGTGGAATATGTCCCCTACAATCTGTTCTAGAACTCAAAAGGAGGGAGAGGACTGGCCCAAAATCCAACACATACCTTCAATCACTACTTCAAAGTCATTATCTGCCGGTGAGGACATGGACTCATAGCCAATTCCGTATTGAGGACAGGATTGTCCTTTGTCATCAGGTAATTTCTCTAACCCTGTGAGGAAACCCGCCATCTCCATTTGTGATATGCGATAATTGTGTGATGCTAACGAGGATTGTGTGCTGAGCTGTGGACATAAAAACATTCTTAGAACCACACCGACGGTACATAAACTGTTAGATAATCGAAAGTAAGAGAATTTCACACTTTCATCAAAAAGCTGTTTTTAGTTTCAGAAAAATCTCTCAGTAAATCGAGATGACTAAAAAAAAAGGATAAATGTTCCCATCATGGGAAAAATTAGAGCAATATTTCTATTAAAATCTTTAAAGCAAGGTAAGAGACTTGAAGTATCGAATATTAATAGAAAGGTACGAAGGACAGCGATAACAAAAATAGCATCATTTTCTTAAATCACTCATGAAAGAAAAATGCCATGTATTGTTCATAAGGCCAGAGATTAGACCTGGATTTTGTTCAGGTGCTTGGTTGACAAGCCCACCCAAAAATTTCTAAACAATAAGTCATCTTCTACTTGAAGATGTTATAGAACACATTAGGTTCCTCACCCCACGTAGGATTGAGTAAGGTTCTTGTGATAAAATTCGAGTCTCCAAAATAATATACAACCATCAACTTTCTACTAGATAGTTCAAGTGGCTAAAAAGTACTGATCTGTCACTCATTCCAAAAAATGACACGAGTAAAATGTAGGACATGCTACCAAGCTGCTCTGTCTCCTTTGAGTGAAAATTATTGGTTCTTGCTACTCTAAAAATCTTCCGTTATGCTAGGGATCTACTATTGAATGTCTCGTATGTATAAAAGGCATTTATCATAACTCTTAAGAAAAGAAAATCCAAGGAGATTTTTAGTTACCCAATGTTTCTTCTTCAAAGTTGTGTAAAACGTTAGTAAGCCGAGTATGCGTGGGTAGCCTCCTGTGAGAATTCTATCACATTGAAGCCTCATTTTCAAAGGAGAAGATAAGCTCATGTAGGAAGAACATGTTACTTCTGAATCGTCAATGTGAGATGAAATAGCATAGAGATTGAATGGTGTGATATAGCCCACTTGTTCCTAGTTTCTTGGGTTAAAACAAAGAATGTTATCATCAGTCTTTGTTAATGAGCCCTGCCACATATTCCCATGCTCCCTTAATCTTTTTTTCTTTCACAATTCCTCATGATTCCTAAGACAATTTGAGACCGAAATCATTTGGTCGCTTTCCCCATATCAGCTTCAAAAAATGGTTCATTACCTCCTCTGGGGGTTGTATTTACATTCCTCTAAGAAGAACTTAAGGTAGAATGACGTTGTGTACTATTTAATGTCCTCTAATTTCAAAAGGACCTGCTCTCTAGAAGATGTCTCTTGGAGTTTATTTTCCTCCATGGTAGTATCATGTGCCAGGGCAACATACCTATCTCCACTCTTTCAAACACATATCTCTTGAAACTTCAAACTGAATAACTCCTTTCTTTATTAAGGATTTCTTTCAATTTTGTCATATGAGCCTCCCCTTGATATCATCTTCCTCTTAAATTGATCCAGTCTCTTCTAAAACATCGTGCTTGAATTTAATTATTAATCTATCTTTTGTTTCCTTCCTTGGTGTTGTCTTAGCTGCATCCCTCTGGATAGTTCCTAACCTATCTATTGGTATTAACTTGGTCTCTTAGTAGAAATAGAGAGCTTATAGAATGAACCATGGAAATCAAATTTTAGATGTATAACATTATACACTTCTTTCTAGATATTATCATCATGGTCATTTGCCCATTGTATCTTCTTATCTATTCAACTGCCTTTTGATTTCATTCACATCAACCTTATCTTTTTTATCCACAACCCTTTTTACGTCAAAGGGGGGCCGGGTGCACTAGTATAAAAATTCAAAACAATCCTTTAAAAATTCTCTCTCTCACAATCCTTTTTACTTCATAAATTCGTCTCGAGTGCGGGGTGAACTAATATAAAACTTCTTAATGTCATTAGTGGTGATGAACTTATTCTACCATTTTATGTTTTGAAAACTAGTCATGAAGATTCAATAATATTCATGTTGCCCTGAATGTGCACCAAAGGCCTTTGCTTGTTCCTTGCTTCAAATCTCATTATTTTCACATCTGTTGTACTTGGTCAGGAAATTCGTATCTTATTAATAACTTTTGTTGTTGAGGTTGAGTCCAAATAAGCTCACCTAATAAGTTGTTATCACCATATATTTTGCCAGTGTCTTCTTTTGGATGAGTGACAATGACTTCTCTCATTTCTTATTTTTCAGATGTCTTCTCATGACTTCAATATGTCATCTATATAGATTTCAAGTTCAAGAATTGATAGAGACTTTGATACTTTAATTATCTCTGTATTTTTCATTGAGGTTTCTAACTCATCATCGTTTTAGTTCCAAGTTATAGTCCTACACCTAACTTAATATTTGAGTGTTTGTATTGCTGAGGCTTTTGACTTCTTATTGTTCAAGTTCTTATTTAGGATCTTACTAGTAACTCTGATATTTTGATATTTTCAAATTACTTCATCACATGCCTTGACACTTTATTTATGTACTTATATCTGAAGTTTATGATATTGTATTAATGTCAACATATAAATATCTCAAGGGATAACTTATTGCATTCATTTGTTAGCCATAAGATCACACATAGACCATCAATATATGAGTTCAATAATTCTTGAAAATATTACACTTCTAACACAAACTCTCATGATATTTATTGAATATTCAATAAATAAAATTTCACTTTTAGTATCAAAACCAAGGGCATCAATAATCTCTATTTTTTTATACTTATAAAACCCAATTGAGAAATTTTATTTATATGATAGCTCATTCAATAAAGATGAGATATAAATCAAATTTATCCATACATAAAGACACCACTATTGAAGAGTGATCGTATTTAAGTGTTGTCTTCATTTGATCTAGGAAGAGGGCACTGGAATCAATATAAATCACATGTACATATTAGTATAAAATAGAGGTAATTTGTCAAAAATTCAATCAAAGGTATCAATTTGTGGCATATAAGATGACCAATTGAGAAACAATGACATGTTGGGATAGGGGAAGGTGAAATATTTTGTGTTTTGTGCGATGGTATTCTACATGTTAGTTAAGATTGATAAGAAGATATCAAGAGTGATTCTGCCAACATTGAGTAGTGATCCTAAGGGTAAGTTGAGAATAAAATTAATTTTTTTGAAGATGATCTCAATGAGTGTCCCTTTGATATATGTGGAGATATCAAGGGAAGTTTCATTGGTATTGCTATACTATAGTTTGACTAGACTATGATAGTTTTAAACATGATAGAGACAAGATCTATAAGTCCAAAGACATCAAAAAATTATTCATATTAATTTTGTAACATTAAAATAATTTCAAGTTAATAATTTTACACCAAATAACATTTCTTTCCTTAAATGATTGGTGGAATTTAACCTTAAGAGCTGTAGTTGGGAATGATAAAGAGTAATTTTTGAGAGATGTAAGAGGGTGTTCACTATCCTTGTGATCATTTCTCTTCTAATTTTCACTCAATGGTCTTTAAGAGGAATATCCTCTACAAAAAGTTAATTTCAAGAAATGGACATTGATTGAGAGAGGGATTTAGCTTTCTTCTTGATGTAAGAGATTTTAGTAGGTTCTTGTGTCTTGTGCTCAATGGGTTTGAGAGATGAGGGTATTATTTTACGAGGAGAAATGGTTGTTTTCATAAGTGGAGAAGTAGTAACTATCCTCGAAGGTATTATCCTCGAGGAGAGGTTTTTTGAATATATCTACCAACTATTTTGACATCTCAATGAAATGTGATTTAATATTCTCTTTTCGTATATGATCCATGATAAAATAATACATGATTTCAGTGAATTTGAATATAGAATGTATAATCAAATTTTTGACTAAGTTGATGGCACTTGTATTGTCAAGCCTTAGGTTTGTATAATAACCAAACACTAAACAAGATCTAAGGCTTGACAACAAACACATTGTTTAGCCTTAGGTTTGATGAACACAACTAAAACACTAAACAACATGTCAAGCCTGCTAATAGTAAAATATAATAATAATTTATTAATTATTCTATATGTATTCGACCTAATTCTTTTTCATGTTCATCAAAGTCTAATTTTGTGTTTATACCTATAAGAGTTCCATCAAAGAAATTCAATTCTCCCATCATGCTCATATCAAATTTATTTTTCATTAGGAACTAGTTCATCACAAGTTTGTCTCTTAGAGCCAAAACAATTTCTACTAGAAAGAGCTCATAAAAATATGCACTTAGTTTGTGATGGGGGATTCTAAAATTTTAAAATATCAAACAATATCTCAAATAAAGATATGAGTGATATCTTATGCTTAAAAAGGATGATAAATAAAAGAAAAATAGGCATACTTGCTCAAGCGATCCACAACAACTAAGAATGTGCTAAATCCTCTTGAAATCAGTATTTTTTTTATGAAATCTATTTATTTCAGCCTAAATTCTCTCTAGGATGGGGAGGGCCTGTAACATTACAACCAGCCACAATGCCTCTAATTCATTTTTCTGATAGAACTACATAATTCTTCACACGCTTTCATTCCCAACCAACAAACATTCTTGCTGATACACATGTAGGTGCATAAATTCTTGAATGCCCCCCAATTGCTGAGTCATGGGATTCCTTTAGGAGACTTAGAATGAAGGTTGAATTCTGGGAGATCTTTAAGTATCCTTTGAAAAATAGTTGTCATTACTAAATTGAGTAATCTGGCAATTATTTAGGATTGATACATCATAGTTGAGGGTCTACCTAAATCTCTTGAGAGATTTGATCCAAGTCTAATAATTCAAGTTAGTATAATTTTATATTTTGAAGCCACACTCTACCGAGTGTTATGATAGGGCATCAGCTGCCACATGATTAGCCTTAATACACATTGGCCAAAATATAGGTAGCATATTGTTGCCCAATCTAATAAGCTAAAACGAATATAATCATAGCTTTGAGTTAGGATTTCTGCTTGCAACAATGTGGGAGTGAAGGAGGACCAAAGGGACTTGTCCAAAATTATCGTGTAAGAAAAAAACTATAAGTCGTCTTTAGGCACCACATGTGTCAACTCCTTAAGGGGGAGAGATAGAGAGAAAGTCTTGAAAGCAACCAATATATGGACTAGTATGAGAAACGGGCCCTAGTAGGCCATGCAGAAGAATGACCATTTCCCACTGACTCTTTTCTCTCTCAAACAAGAGATCACCTAATCATTGATATTTGGATGGGTTAACATGATCGGTGCGTTCTGTGCCGCCAACTAAGACTAATCTAACAGAATGGTGTGTAATGTATGTACCCCTGTGATAGCATGGGGAAATCTCTCCATTTGTGAGGAGGGGTGTGCTAATGCTTTGAACCCATGTAATATTATTACTTTTGTTGTATTAATCTAGTGAATATTGTATGCAAATAATGTTAATTCCCGAAATCATCTATAGAACCAGAAACTTGACTTAAGTGTCAATTGTTATGTCTTAAGTAGTTTTTTTATGGATTATTGACTACCTGCGTCATATGCATAACATAATGGTCTCAATTGCGATTTTTGGGTAGAGAATAAGTTTATTGGCTGAAAATGGCGTGATTTTTTTGGACTTTTGATAAATTTTCTCAGAATTTTTGACATGGATTCACTCACTCTTGGTGAGAGGGGAGAGATGACTAATGTTTTATGGTTAACATAAATTCGTAAAAGCAACGAAGAAGTTGGAGCACGAACGGCGACGGTTGGCCACCTCTCTGTGTGACAATGGCGACGAACGGCGGTTTCTGCTAAGTGACACAACAGAACAATGGATAGCGGCGAACGGCAGCACACAGTGACGAATGGCGGCACACGGTGGTGAACGGCTCCCCCATCCACGGTTTCTGCCGAGTGACACATCAAAGCAGCGGACAGTGGCGAATGGAAGTGAACCGTGGGCAACGGTGGTGCATGGCAGCGAACAGCTCCCCCATCCACGGTTTCTGCTGAGTGACACACGGCGCCGAATGGTAGGCACGGGGGCAGACAGCAGTGAATGGCGGTGAATGGCGGCGAATAGGACTCCTTACTACCCTCATTGGGTGACAGACAACATACTCACCAAAACTCCTTTTTCCCTAGTGCCATATGGGACACGTCTCCTCTTCTTCTTCCCCGGGTGGCAGGCGAGGACATCATCAAGACAGCTCAATTCACCAAGTTGCAACCAAGAATGGTGGATTGAAGAGGTGGAACCAAGAATCAAGTTGCAACCTGCACCTTGCCAACATATTCCCCAGGTGCCAAAGAGGGAGATTTTCTATTTCATTTCAGTTCTTGCACATTAGGAATTATAAAAATCTTGGAGTTTGTTCCGGTTTCAATTTCAATATCTTGGAATTTAAATCCAACACAAAAAGAATTTACTTTGCAAGTGTTTATCTCTCATCTCTTTCTTTTTTCTTCTTCCTCCTTTCACTCCCTTTGCATAGTACCTTTAAGAACTAGTTGGAATTTCTCACGACGGATTTACCATCAAGATTGACCTGATTTTACCGCTTAATTAATTTAATTATTTTAAGTGGACTCAAATCTCGGAGTTTTAAGTTTGAGTTGTTTTAACACAACAACTAAAGCAAGCATCAGTGAGCATTGTGTGATGCCAACAAGCATTGAATGTGCTCTCTCTCTCTCTCTCTCTCTCTCTCTCTCATGTTTACATTCGTCTTCCACTACACAAGGACGATGGTGCTCGTTCCAAGAACTCATCTTCATAATCTACATAACTTTAGCTTTGGAAATTTATTAGGTCAAAGTAGATTGCACTAGCCTGCGAGGGGGCTCTTGAAGGGGTGTTGTAGGTAGAGAAGAGGCAATTAGGCTCGGAGTGGTCAACGGTCTTACGTTGGTCAATCACCACTAGGGTTACTAAGAAAATGCTATACTTTCACCAAAAATCTCTTTTTTAATTCAGAAAAATCACCTACTAAAACTAGCCAACTCAAAAAAATGAAATAAATAAATGTTGCTATCATGGTAAAAATGAGAGCAATATTTTCATAAAAATATTTAAAGCAAGGTAAGAGACTTGAAGTCTGGAATATCAATAGAGAGATCTGATAGTCAGAAATAACGACCATAACATTATTTTATTAGAGTAATCATAAAAGAAAAATGACATGTCTAGTTCATAAGATCAAGATACTCTTGGTTGTTGCAATTTTTCATAATAGTTTTATCTTCTATTTATAGAAAATGATCCACTTGACCATTTGTTTGCTTATTATGCTTCATGATATGCCAAATTAGGATTTTCACCATATTTTAAGTCAATACTCTTCATTAATGACTTTTTGATGTTTAATCATAACTTGGAACTAAAACTATAAGCAAATCATTATTTGGACTTTTCTTAATTTGGATCTCAAGTTTGTTTATGATATTTAAACACATATGATACCCCTCATGTTTATTGCCCAAGAAAAAGTTGCATATTTTGCCTACTCTAACAAGCCAAAAAGTAAGGGGATACCTGGCTGCCACGGTGGGAGTGAGCTAGGACCAAGGGGAGTTGTCCGACTGCCACGTGTAATAAAAAAGGACCCGGTAAGTGGTCTCCGGATCGTCAATGGTCCCGGTTTAGATTAGACTCCCAACCTGAGGCTACGCTTTGGTTACGAAGGTCACCGGGATGACGGTTTATGGATGCATTCAGTGGTAGTCTCTGACTCCCTCCAACTCCATCAATATCAACAACATGTCGTGACCATGACGCTTTGTTCCACTTGTCAGCTCCTTAAGGGGAGAGAGATGGTGGGGGAGAGAGAGAGAGTCTCTTAGAAGCGATCTAGATAAGGACTATCCGAGAAATGGGCCCAATTCGCCCGTGCAGAAGATGACCATTCCCACCGACACTCTTCTCTCTCTCAAACGACTAGAGATCATCCTGATCGTCCATAGCTCGATGGACGACCATGATTGGCGTGCCGCCTGCTGCCAGCTGAGACTCAACGTTCGTACTAAACAGTACTTGAATGAAAGAAAACTCCGGGTTGGGCCAGGAACCGGACTGGGGTCCTGTCTGGACCCGGGACGACGGGATTGGTCCGGACCGGGTTCCCCTATTGGTTGAGAGTAGACAGATAATTAAAGAAGAGAGAGAGAGAACGATTTGAAAGGTATATTTCCAATAACAAAAATTCAGGGGCTTAACTAGGGAAAGAAAGAAATCTCAGGCGGGCGCCCCGAGAGAGCCCTATTGCTCCAATTTATGGCTCTAATCATCACACGAGCAAGCTGCCCACACGAGCGATTCATTACAGGGCGGGGCCCACGGGAAGTTGTGGGGAATGCTTCAGATTCACATCTCTTGCCGCGCACGTTATCCTTCACCACTCATGAGCGCGCTTTAGTGCGCACCTCCAAACTATCATGCCAGGTGAGTCCAGCCCATCCTACGAGGAATTAAAACGGTCGCGTGGGAGTGGGTGTGGGGCCCATGGCGTCGGCGGTCGCCATGGGAGTAAATGGGCTCGGGCCCCGGGCCCCCATCACTCCACCGGCCCGGACCAAGGCACAGGCGATGAGGTTGACTTTGCGGCTGTCGGTCTTAACAGTAGAGGAGGGGAGTGTTCACATCCAGTCTTGGGTTACAGCTAAATTCATTAAATAGGATAAATAAATACTACAAACTAGTATTATAAGTGAAAGATGGAGAGGTCTCTTTTAAGGCACAATTCTGGGAAGAATAAAGTCAACTAGTCGAGTCAGGGGCCCACTTTGTCTTCCCTTGGACCCTAAGAATCTACTTGCCGTTGGAACTCCGATCCTTAAACCTTGAACATAATAATGCCAAAGCCACTCTCTCGTATTTAATGTATATTTTCTGATTAATTAATTATTACTGGTGATTGTTTAAAGTTCCCGAGTTTTATATTGTATAATCGTATTATTCCCTCGGAATTAAAATATAAGAAGCCCCCCCACGGTGAACTGGAGGGGCTTTTTAAGATCACACGGTGGACGTAGTCAACGGTTGAGATCCAAAAGGATCCTCGCGACCGGGGTGCTGTGGATGGCCGTTACCGTTAGCCTTTCGCGCCATCTTCGTTCTCCCCTACTGTTGGCCAGTCTTGGCCAGTCCAGTGGCATAAGGGGTAAATTTGGGAATCACCGCCGCATTTAACTGCATCCTGGATAGCACGGTCGGATGAAGGGGTGTGGGGCCCGCAGTGGGCCCTCTGCTTCCTGTCTACTCCTCCAGCCCTCCATATTAATTGGTGTGCCATTCAATGGGACAGAGGAACAAAGATTGGGCCCACAGTGGAAACTACCGACTTTTGACTGCTGATATAAGACTCCGGCGGTGTAACATACCCTCTCGAAGCTGAGAGATATACAGACACTCACCGGCGCCGGAGAAGAAGAATCCTCCCGCCGGAAAACCTTCCGCAGAAGCAGCGGCGGCGGCGTAGGCGGAGCAGATGAAGATCCTCGTCCTGATCTTCCTCCTCTTTTGGTCGTCTGGTTCTACCTTCTGCGCGGCGCTTTCTCCAGACGGTCTCACGCTGCTGGCTTTCAAATCCGCCGTCTCCGGCGATCCCTCTGCCAGCCTCGCCGGTTGGGACGAGGCCGACGAGGACCCCTGCCGGTGGCCTGGAGTCTCCTGCACCAATGTACGCGGCTTCTCCTACCCTCGCGTCGTCGCGCTCACCGTCTCCGGCAAGAATCTCTCCGGCTACATCCCCTCCGAGCTTGGATCCCTCGTCTTCCTCCGCCGTCTGAACCTCCATGGAAATTACCTCTCCGGTGCCATTCCTCCTCAGCTGTCCAATGCTTCGTCTCTACACTCTCTCTTCCTCTACTCGAACAACCTCTCTGGTCCTCTTCCTCCCTCCCTCTGCGACCTGCCCCGTTTACAGAACCTCGATCTCTCCCGAAACTCCCTCTCCGGCCCAATCCCCGGCGAGCTCCGCCGCTGCCGCCAACTCCAGAGACTTCACCTCGCCGGAAACCGCCTCTCCGGCGAGATGCCCGCCGGAATCTGGCAGCAGATGGAGAACCTTCTGGAGCTCGACCTCTCCTCGAACAACCTCACCGGCACTCTCCCGCCAGATCTAGGGTCCCTCAGATCGTTGTCAGGGACGCTCAATCTCTCCTACAATCAATTCTCGGGCGAGATTCCCGACGACCTCGGGAATCTGCCGGCCGCCGTGGGCCTGGATCTCCGATTCAACAACCTTTCCGGGGAGATCCCCACGCAGGGAACTCTATCCAACCAGAGCCCTAAATCCTTCGCCGGTAATCCCAGACTCTGCGGCTACCTCCTCCTCAGTCCCTGCCAGGAGATCCGCCAGCCTGCGTCTCCAGATGGACAGATCTCGATGGGCGGCGGCGGCGGCGCGAAGGAGACCAGGAAGGGGCTCCGCTTGGGGACGATCATCCTGATCGCAGCGGCGGACGCCGTGGGGGTGGCGTTGATCGGCCTGGCCCTGGTTTACGCCTACTGGAAGGTGAAGAACAGCCGCCCTGGTTGTAGCTGCACGGGGAAGACGAGGTTGGGCGGAGGAGGCGGGAGGGGGAATCCGGCGATCTGCTGCAAGAAGGGGGGCTCCTGCAGTGACTCCGACGAGGGGGAGGAGAGCGGCGGCGATGGAGGAGGTGGCAGCGGCGGAGCCGAGGGGACGCTGGTGGCGATCGACAAGGGGTTCTCCTGCGAGCTGGAGGAGCTCCTGCGGGCGTCAGCGTACGTGCTGGGAAAGGGGGGGATGGGGATCATGTACAAGGTGGTGCTCGGGAATGGCGTCCCGGTGGCGGTGCGGCGGCTGGGAGACGGCGGCGCCGCCGAGAGGCGCAGGGAATTCGCCTCCGAAGTGATGGCCGTTGCTCGCGTGAGACACCCGAACCTCGTCCGCCTCAAGGCCTACTACTGGTCCCCAGAGGAGAAGCTCCTCGTCAGCGAGTTTATCTCCAATGGCTGCCTCGCCGCCGCTCTACACCGTGAGCTTCCCTATTCCTCCTTGTTCCTCCTCTCCATCTTCATCTTTCATCTCTCTCGCTCTCTGAGTTTCCTGCTCGACGTTTCAGCGAAGCCCGGCGAGGCTAGCCTCTCCTGGCCGGACCGGTTGCGGATAGCCAAGGGGACGGCGAGGGGGCTCGCCCACATCCATGAAAGTGGACCTCGGAAGCTCGTCCATGGCGGCGTCAAGCCCTCCAACATCCTCCTCGACGGCGATCTCAACCCCCACATCTCCGACCTGGGTCTCGCCCGCCTCGCTCACGCCGCCGGCGGCGGTGGCGGCGCCCCTCCCAGCAGCTACCTCCCTCCAGAAGCGCAGGTTCCGGGGAGCCGCCCCTCCCAGAGCTGGGACGTGTACGCCTTCGGCGTGGTGCTGCTGGAGCTTCTGACGGGGAGGTCCCCCGGGGGTTCGAACCAGGCAGCGGCGGCGACCTCCTCCTCGCCGGTGACGGCCATGGAAACCGGCGAGCTAGCGACGTGGGCGAGGAAGGAGGTTGAGGAAGGGCGGCCGCCGGCGGAGCTGGTCGATCCGGCTATCCGCAGCGAGGCGCAGCAGAGCCGCAAGGCCGTGGCTTCGATGCTTCATCTGGCCCTGATTTGCTCAGAGCTCGAACCCAACTCGCGGCCGAGGATGAGGACGGTCTCCGACAAGCTGGACAAAATTGCAGCGTGAACCTGACGACATCGACCGCCCCAAATGGCGAAATGCTCGTTTATTCTTCTTATTATTTTTTATTTTTGAAAAAAATGTTGTCTACCTGATGGTTGTAGCGCAGGTGAGGAAATTATTTCATGCCACCATAATGGGCCTATTATGGTGGGCCCATGGGAACAAGAGCAGGTGGACATTGGTTATTGGGCTGTAATGCTGTCCTACTAATGGGCTAGAGACGTGTCATGGGATCCTTCTATGACGCCATCCGCGGCGAGCTGAACTCGCCCGTGTTGGGGGGACAACAGATAAGGGGCTATGCACAACAAATTATGCAGTTTGAGAGTTTCAAAAATATAAATATAGTCTCACGGTGTTTTGAAGTAAAGCCAAAAAGGCGCGAAGCGAGGGGTATGTTTAAAATAAATTATTGACCTTAGTTTTTTATAAGAAATAAAATTGTTAGGGCTCTATTCTTTAATTTTTTGAAGCGTCAAAAAATAAAGAAAAACCCGAACTTGTATCTCATCGATGATTGGATGGAAGATAACGGCCAAACAGTTCTCACTGCTAGGCTTAGCACCGTCTGATTGGTGTCTTTAGCACACCCCAAAGTCCTGTCTTTTCTTCGGGGGAATCCCCCTTTCTCTCTCCCTCTCTCTCTCTCTTGCTCTTGTTCTCTCTTTCTGTCTGTCTCTTTTCTCTTGCTCTCTTGTTCTCTCCCTCTCTCTCTCTCTCTCTCTCTCTCTCTCTCTCTCTCTCTCTCTCCCTCTCTCTCTCTCTTGCTCTTTTTCTCTCTTTCTGTCTCTTTTCTCTTGCTCTCTTGCTCTCTCTCTCTCTCTCCTCTCTCTCTCTTGGTCTCTCTGTGACTGTCTCTCTCTCTCTCTTTCTCTCTCTGTGGGCGGATGGGAGGATCTGTACAAGATGCTTGACTCGCCCAAGCGAGCGGCGCCCATCTTTTACAGGACACGGCAGCTGCTTACAAGGCTCCTGCCTTGGGATCATCGAGGGGGGAGCCGCTTCCTGCTTCGTCTCATGGCGAATTTTGCCGCTGAGAGGGCGTTGTTGGTCTCGAGGCTCCGTAGCATCAGATGGATCAGCGTGGTCGTGGGGATCGGGAACTTGGGGGTGTCCTCGATCGGCGTGTACCTGCTGGCTTCGATGTCTTCCGAGTGTTCTGTCGAGAAGAAGCTTCCATTTGTCGTGGCCACCATCGTCGCCGGCGTAAGGATCATGTCCATGGTTGGCGCGGCATTTGCCCAGATGAAGACGGCGGCTAGTGTTGCAAGTTGCTTGTCTGAGGGATCCATTGCTGTCGATGCGGTCGTCCGTCATGAGAGACGGGTAATCCGGCTTCCCTTCGGCTCCTGTCCTCTGTGCTTTCTGATTTCCAGCTAATATATTGGTCAAAATTAAACTGGATGCGCTATCGAATTCTGACATGTTACAGGCTGCAGAAACCTAACATTTGCGCTCACCATTCCAATATAATCAACTAATGGATTAGAAGGCTAACTCGGACATGACAGCTTGAATTGCATTCTTTTCGGTCTGCGATTAGCGTTTTGGATTGTAGTCTTGATTTTTTGAGGCATCAACTGATCCTTCAACTAGGTGAAGGTTCTTTGAAGCGTTGGAGGGCATTTCGGGAGCTGATAAGGCAGGGCGATATGGCATAAGAAGCAGTGAGGTGATCTGACCCTCTTACTGCATCTTTGGTTAAGTTTCGGGGGTACTGATGGCTGGTTTTAGAGGGAGTTAACTATTTCAATTACGAGCGTGGAATCAGTCTCTACACGGCAAATCAATGGAAATACTGTGAAAAATAAGGGCACATTAATTGTTCCAATGAACTTCCTTTTGAATCAGGCTGATTCAAGTATGAGTGTCATCTCCAGATGAGAGGGAATTGAGATCATGGGATTTATTTGTGATTATAAAAAAATTAGAAAGAAGTGGGCAGCACTGTCACACACTCAAAAAATGTTCTATATTACTCTCTGCCACGTGCAGGTTTTGCCTGCTTCACTCTCACTCGTCGTCAAACTTGAAAGTGGCATGGTGTTGCAGCTAGTTTGTTGGAATAAAAGATAAGCCTATAACATTTGTTGGAGAAGTAAGGGGTTTAATGGTCATAACGGTATATTTTTTTAATCCAAAATGGAAAGCAATCACACCTTAAGGTGATTATAGATTAAGAGGTGCTGAGGTCTTTATCTTATTGAATAATTCCTACTAGGTACTGAATTTTTTTGTGACATCCTGTATTTGGTGACATGTTTCTAAGCATCTTATTGCTATAAAAAATCAAAATAAAATAAAATAAAAGGGAAATAAAGTTAATGGATGGAAAGGTCTGTAGTATTTTGATAAAGGGAAATGCGATAAGATCCAATATTTGCTTCCATGGTGATTAGAAATATATTCAATTATGTCTCATTTCTTGGATTGCTAGGTATTTTCGGTTAACTTTTTGGAACACTTTTAGATTCCATATCGACCCTGATTGTATAGATATAAAAAAAACCATAGACGGCTTCCCTTTTGTCAATGATACCAAGGAACTATCGAGTGAATGGAACTGGGGTATGTCTTTTATTCTTAAAGTGAGTATGATATATGCGTAAAATATAAAAAAGGGGATGTACGAGTACATTGCTAATGAGCAATAAAAAATGCCATTTTTACAAGTCTTTGCTGTCTACATCAAGTTGATGTAGACTAATCTAGACCCACTCCAAAGGTCCATCCTTGTTGTAACCCACTCCCTCATTAGCAGAAATAAATGACTTCCCTTTCTTCTGAACAACATTGGTGTCTAAAGATATGGCTATTCCAAACAATGTATGCAATGGGGCCACTTTGAAGAACTTAAGAGAATACACAGAAATGGAGCTGCTACATACAGATTATGCGAGTTATAGAGGATGCTTGATAGGTTGAGCACAGTGGTTGAACTTTATGAAACTGAATTGATTGGTTATGCAGTAACGTGGTGATATTCATTGGTGAAAATTGTGTCAATAAATCATTTGGATCATAATATCCTTCTTGATTCTTGTTTGCCATCTCTGGCCCTGTGTCTTGATTGCTCACATGCCTTTGTCCGAGTTTCGAAGAATGTTGGTGAGATTGCTATGCGGCATCTGGAATACATATTTTAATCATTAGGAGAAAGAGCAATTGTTATGAACCATTTTGTACGTTATTTAAATATCGCCTTCATGGAAAAAAATCGCCACTTTGATAGAGACGGTTGTCAAAATGTTGATAACTTCTATACCATCTCTTAACATTGTGTACCTTAGCAAGACGGCCAAAACATTTATATGGCAATGGTAACTACCTTCTACACTATTCATCGTTGGGTCATCAAGAACCGGTTTGTTTACAATGGCTATGGTGCAAATCCTTTGCTAGATATCTGTCGGATTATCCTTTCCAAATAATACTAAAAGCTACACTTTTATGTTATTTTGTTTTTATCGAATTCTTTCTTGAATCTTTACACATCTATTGTTATGAGACCTGGCTGTATTGTCTTTTCTTATCAGGTTAGGTACAAACGATGGCTGTGGTGGACTAGATTTGGGACGGTTATTACTATGTCACAGATTGTGGGGGCACTTTATTTAACAATCATAACTGTTAAATACTTATCGTATAATACAGATTCAGTGGCATGCTTTTTAGGTAAAGGACGTTTCTACCTATTTCTGTAATTATCATTTGCATTAATATTTTTTTATGATATGCTATATTCATTATGGATTTGATCAAATAATTTTAAAGAAACTATTGCATAGAAAACGCAGTTGGGCTAGGCCAAAGCTGGGATTGGAATCAGCAACAAAAAAGTGGATAACTGTTGAACCATAAAAATCAATGTGCTTTCAAATGTCCCTTTTTCTTCTGTCGGATTTATTTCTCCTCTTTCCTTTAATCAAAATTTTACATCACCAAAATTGGGCTCTGAATTGTTTAGAACTATATTGCTTCTCATATTCAGTGTTTTTTTAGTTTTTCCTTTGCATTAAAATAACACTCTACAAAGATATTCACTGTGAATTTCCATCAGGGTTTGTATCCATGGGCGATCTTGGTACACAATTACCAAATGTGTTTCCCGACCCTCCATGTGCATTGGTCTTAATTTGCGTGCTCTTTTCTGTGATTACTGAATCGACTTCCTCTGTGGGTCATTACCCGAATTCTAGATGCATGAAATTTTTCCCTCAGATATTCAGTTGGACACAACTTGTACATGTCAGTTGAAGCAACTTCAGTTTGGCAGAGCTCGAGACATTGATTGATATTTTTTACCTCGATGGTGGATATGCCAATGCTGAGTTCATTTGATCCCTTGGAGTATATGAAAGTCGTGTTTCATTTTCTATCAAGCATGGTCACACATGACATTAATAAAGAAACATGAATTTGAAGTATGTAAAGCTATAGCTTCACTTACCAAATCCCCAAAAAGCTACCATTGAAATATCTACATTTTAAAAATAGAAACCAACTGATGCCCAACCATGCACTATCTGATGGTGTCTCCATATTCCATCTCCCCAAATAGCAGTAGCCATGCTTTCCCCAAATCTGGGGAACCACTTTCATTGTCATGCTTTCTCCCAGTCTGTAGAACCACTTAGAAAGGACTTTTTAAGTGTTGAAGCTTTCTTCACTAACAACTTCGTATGCTTCTCAATTTTCCTTTTATCCTTAGGACTCCTGAATATTCCATCATTCCTCCTCATCTTTGTATAAGATTGCATGAATCGTCATTCACCGTTTTTTTTTATTTTCTTTCACATTTGATTCCTACAGGTCTTCAATTCTTGTGGGCTAGCTGAAGGTTACCTGCTTTCTTATCTATATGAAGACTGGGAATTTCTGGTAGTGATAATTCAAGATCCTGTGAATCATATGTAGCCTAATCTTCTTGACTGGCGTGAATTCAGTTCCATCTCGAGATTGTATAGACACAGTTTGGCCACCCATCCTAAGTCATGCTAGCCTCCTTAGTATGCCTCTTTTCTATGGGTCTGTTCATCAAAACTTTCAGGAATCTAATTAGTCAGTCTCACAGAGCTATGGATTGAAGACAATCGGTTCTCCTTTCTCATTGATAGCCGAGATCTTAAACCATCTTAGAGATCAAGATGTATCAAAAGTTATTTTCTTTTTAACAGAAAAACATACACGATCTTGTGTAGGAGGGAACTGAAATTAATCCTCCATGGATAGGTCCCTAAATGCTTCTACCTATTCAACTAGGATATAGGCGGCATGAACCTTCTCATTATTTATTGATCTAGTTCGTTTTTATGTGACACTTGCGTTGTTCTGATGTCGTCAGTAGGATTTCTTTATGGGAAATAAAAAAACGCATGTGAAATAGTACTTTGTGTACGAGTTTCTCATTTAATGTGGATAAAAACTATTTGATGGAAAACTAGCTGCATAATTTCTAATAATGTTGTACTCCTGAGAATTCCACTATTTGTGTACGAATTTTCCCCTAGCATATCTTGAACTACACATTAGGTCTTTTTATCTAATGTATAGGTGCAAGTTATTTGTCTTTGGGACCTTCTCGCGTCAACACATAGTGAGTTAGATATTTCTTCTTGTAACTATCTCTTCATGTAAAGATCATTCTGCTCTCTTGTATTGCTCTAACTTACCTTCTCGTTGTTGCTGTATTTACAAAGAAAAACTAATGCCTCATTAGAGATTTATTCATCCAGCTAAATAAAAATTATGTTCATAAAGTTTTATTTCCGACTTCTTCTTGGAGGAGTTTGATTTACTCTTAATTTGTAATGTGAATTCCTGTACTGGATTATTAACCACTTGGAGTAATCTTTCTTGTCTATTTCATATATGAATCTTCCTGTGATGGTTAGAGAAACAAGGGAAAATCAATTGGTCGCACACAGATATTTTTCTTCTCATATCTGGGTTTTGAGAGTTTTCTCTATTTGTTGTTCTTTGTTTTACCTCCTATTATCCAACAAATTCGTGCAGTTGTTGCCAACTTTTGTCCTTAATTTCGTAGAACATGTTGCAGAAATTCGTCCTTTCTTCGACTGTATATAATGTCTTTGAATGTAATCGTTTATGCAAGAAAGATTTTGTATTTCTAACCGCATGCTTTTCCGTCTATGACGAGAGATTTTCTATGTATGTATGCATGTATGTTATGTCCTACTGAACGCCTTAAGTATACTGATAAAATACTATTCTATGTCAGAAATTGTCTCTCTTACGAATTGAAATAAAAAGGACTGCATGGTAGAGTCTTACCAGTTACTCACCCGATAAAGATGTTTAGTGACATTCACTTGTTATGATTCAGTGCAGAAAACGGAGAGAAGCTGGAAACGGGGTTTAATCATTTTCTTCCCTATCTTGGTCTGGGGTGTGGTTATCCTCCAATGTTTTACAGGTTCTGATGTTCTTAGATGGAGGTCATTTTATGCAACTCATGATACTGCTTGGAAAGCTCATTATCATGAAGTTTTTGATCATGGAATCCGAGAGGCTTTATGCTGTCTGGGTCGTGTTAAATACTTGTAGGGTTCCCTCTCCAATAACTTAAACTAAAGGTAGTCTATTTTAGATTATTTAATTTTTTTAATTTTGTTTCTACGCAGGAGTGTCTTGGAGGAGGATGAAGTTTATTCTGTGGCAAGACTGTTGGGTGATCTTGTTGCATATAGGGCATCAGGCACTGGTCATCTAGAGCTTTTAGCAGGTTCAGTTCCTTCACAGAAAAAAATAATCCGTCTTTGTAGTCTGATTATTTTATATACTTTGTTTTATCCTTTATTTATCATGTTACTTTTCACCTTAAATAGTGATCCTGACTGTCTTACATCTTCACACATTTGTATGCATTTATTCTTTAGGCTGAACAAAAAGCCTGCACACCGTTTCTATTCTCTGTCTATCAGAGGACCTGCCCAGATTTTTCCTGTGTTGACCAGCTGCACGAGACTGTATTGAACATTCCTGTCTTGATCGCAACATTTCTAATGCTAAATCCTTATAAATGAGTAGAAGTTCGAGGAAAATCATCGATTCAACTAAATTCTCTAGTTGTTATCCTCATCTGAAACTCTTTGGTTTCTCTCTTTACTGTCTCCTGCGAATTCATTCTACTTTGTTATAGCACCTAGCATACCTTCATAGTTTCTTTGCATCTTCTTCCAGTGGCAGGGACTCGTTTCTGTTGAGAAACATAGGTTGAGTAGGGAATTGTATAGATAGAGGAAGGTTACCTTTGTCTCAGAGGACAGAGGGGTGGAACGTTGGAAATCGCCTCACTCTGCATTGACCTTTATCACCCCTTAATAGGGAGGGAATCTTAATTTGATCAAAGTGCTCTCAGACTATTACAAAATTATCCCCATAACATGATCACTATTTAGATCTCTAACACTCCCCCTTAAGAGGAACTTTGAAAAAGTTCATCTTGGATGGTAACTTTGAAAAGTTCATCTTGGCTAGTAAATAAATAAGATCAACAAACACAAAGGTCGATATTAGGGAGGCTGATATTTCCTCCCTCAAAATTGATAGCTTTATACCTAGATACATTGGTGATGAGCATGCTGTTGAAGACGTTGTCAATGAATATGCTGATGGTGAACTTGAGGATGAAGATGTCGTTGATGATTGCACTGCTGATGAAGAACACACCTTGATTAACACAGACAAAACACTGCCAATCAACCTCACCTTGAAGATGAATACACCATCACAGAAATCAAACGACTGGATGAAGATGGATTTGATGCCCTCTAGACCAGAGGGCTGACATCGAACCTAGATTCATTCGCTTACCTTGGGATTGGAAGGCTGCGACGGCTCTGATGAACATGGCTCTCCGTTGGGACAGGAGGATGGGAAGAATAGAAAGAAGACTTCAGCGGATCTCTCATTATCTTCCTCTAATACCCAATGTTATGATGATAGAACAGAATGGAGTAGACTGGTTGTGGCGTAGGTAAAATGTCCTCAGGTAGAAGATGAAGGTGGATGTGGAGATGGCAAAGGAAGCTCGACTGCTCTGATGGAAAGAAGTGATGATAACCTACCTCTTGAGGATGACGAGAAGTATATCGATGAGGAGGAAAAAAGCTTAGTAGGCAAGACCAAGGACAAACAAGACTAGCGAGATAATAAGGACCAAGGATGAAGGAACCTGATTCTGACGGAAAGAGGGGATAAGGACCTAGCGAGAATGGTAGGCTGAGGACAAAAAGGACTTCGCAAGATGATAGCGGCAGTAGCAATGAAAGTGTTGGGGAGAGCTCCTTTGCTAGACTATGACGATGCAAGACTGCCTCATTGGACAGTGATGCTGGACTGCGCCGGATAGCACGGGATGATGTTGAGCTGTGTGGGACAGTGCCAGACGCTGTAGGATACGCTGGAGTGTGCCGAGGATGGCGCAGGACGGTGTGGAACAACGATGGATGTGCCGGACGGCATAAGACAACGCAGGATGACATTGGACTATGCAGGACGTAGTGGTACTGACGCCCTATCATCATGGGACCGCATTACTGCCGTTGTAGGACCTTGTCGCTGGCATGGGACCTTGCTGGACGAAGATTAGATCTCTTGAAGTTGGATGGTGATGGTGAACCACAGCGACTCCCACGGGAATAAGCTCTGATACCATGCTGAGAAACATAGATTGAGTAGGAAATTGGACAGATGGAGGAGGGTTGCCTCTGTCACGGAGGACAGAGGGGAGGAACGGTGGAAACCGCCTCACTCTGCAGTGACCTCTATCACCCCTTAGAGACTGAACCCTACATAATTTTGATAAAAAACCTCAGGCTACGATAAATTTTTTCCCATAACTTGGTCACGATTGTCTCTAACAGTTTCTAGTGTCAGAAAGTTATAAATAATCACTTTTTATCTCCACTTTAGGATATAACTTATTTCTTCTGCAGCCTGGCCTTAGTGTGGGTTAACATGGAACCTACAGTTTTAAATCTTGTAATTCTCATCTATTTATGAATGTTTCCATGATAGAAGTTGGTTGTTTAGGTCTCGCTCTACTACAGAGGCAAAGACAAATTTCAAATTTTGGTAAGGAACCTGTGGAGGCACCAGAAGCACTTATTCAAGAGGCTGCTGTGTTGCATCAATTCGCTGAAGCTGCCTACACGGTTGTTTTCTTGAACTTGCTTTTATGTCTCATAAGATAATGGTATTTATTTGATTGTGTTATCATACAGGGCCTACTGCTTGATTTTGGGAGGAATCCAATTTTTTTTCCATGTGCATGGCTCTATAGGCAGGGAGTTCTAACTCCATGGATGCGCTGCAGGTATACTTTCTATTGAGTCGTGAAATGCAATACTTCCATCATACCGCAAATGTTTTTTGCTTTAGGTGCATAAACTCGCTAATTCTCAATGTTTTTCAATATTTTGCTTTGTGGCGTAGCAGTTATGACTCAATATATGTCTGATAGTTGCTCGCCTTAGAGCATGTGTCCTTCTTAAGCAAAGATTCGCTCCCCTCGCTCGCTGCATGAACATAACCTATGAATCCGAGAATGTAACCTTTTACCTCTTCATTGATGTGATAGTACTTCCGACAGCCATCTCCTGTCAAAAAATTACCACGGACTGGAACTTGTTGCCCTCTTCTAGACGGCTGATCAGGCATGTCACCCAGAAATCTTCTAAAAAATAAATTGATCTTAGACATAAATGATCCCTGATTAATTGCATGTCATTTTATAACAGAGAGTGCATTAAATATTTCATTTAATAAAATTCATGTATTTTTTTAATTCCTAGGAAATATTATATTGATGAAATATTGTCATGTGACTTGTGTAATGTCCTGATTGGCATTTGCTTCTAGTCATATAGTTTGTCATCTTCACAGGCGTCCCATGCTGGAAGGTGATAATTGGTGGCGAGGACATGCAGCAGCTTTTCTAAAGTATGTCAATATGCCACCGGAAGTCCTTCGACGAGGTCGTGTTTCCCAAGTAAGATAAGAGTGGCTGGGTCACATTTGCTGGTTCACCTAAGCTGTGTCATCTTAGAACTCTTCCTGCCTCATGTTGTAATCCCGGAGATCCCACGCACCACACACCAGAACTTCAGTTTTGAATACTTTTCCAGTAACTTCCTGCCAAAACATTTGATAGGCTGAAGTTCTCTTAACATGTCTCTTTCAGATTCACGGTTTCTTTCCTGTACTACGCGAAACTTGCCTAATCCAATGAACTTCTCCCATTAGTACCTTTTTTTCTGGATTTTCTTCCACTTCGCTGCTGTTATAACCATAACATGCTAATGCCCATCTACTTATTTCGTCATCTCAGCAATAGTTATAAAGCTATCTATGTGGTTTTGGAAATTATAAGATCTGAGATCAAAGAACTACGAATAATTCGTATTAGATGAAAAACAACCTCTAGAACGGAAATAACAAAGATAAAGAACAGTAAAAGAACCCAGAACAGATGGAGGGTCGCATACAACCCTCCAGCCATTATTGTAGATGCACGACATACTAAAACTGGTTTTCCTTCCCCTCCTCCTTTCCAGCTCCGCCATTCCTTATATCCTCTCCTTTCCTTTCCTCATTTAGGCAGTTAGTCTCCTGCCATAACCGCTCCTTCCCATAACGCTCCTTGCCATAACCGCTCCTTGTCATACTGCTCCTTGCCATAACTGCACCTACCCTCAATCATGCTGTCCATTATTGACTTATTGGGCTTTGGGCGTTCTTCCTTCTAGCATATGTGCGTGGAGCCTTATCAGAAAACCTATTTTCTTTTATATTTTGATTTCGCAACCCTCTGGCTGCATATAAAAGGCGCTGGTTTCTTTTGTTTCCGACCTTTGTTTTTGTGATTCCTGTCCCTAAAACTCAAGGGAATATCCTACTTCTATTTGGAAATGCTGACTGCTCTTCACCGAGCAAACATGAAAGCTGGAAAGCTAATCTCCCCGTGTGGTTAGTCCAAGTGACCTACCCCACTTTGATTCAATCAGATATCTTAAACATGGTTTTTCCTGTATTGTTCATCTTTTTCTCCGATTAGAAAAAAAGATGATATCCGTGTGTTGTCCAGCATCCATTTGTCGTTCACAAAATCTTAGAAAATCTTCTTCACCAATTTTTGATAGGTAAGACGTGAGGCAGCGTACTTCATTGTGGTTCTGCATCATGTGAAAACAGTTGTTATTGCTGTACGTGGGACAGAGACTCCTGAAGACCTCATAACTGATGGTTTATGTAAGGAATGTGTGCTTTCAGCTGACGACTTGGACGGCCTGTTACAGTAACGCTCTCTCTCTCTCTCTCTCTCTCTCTCTCTCTCTCTCTCTCTCTCTCACGCACTGATGATCTAGCACTTCTGCGTGTACTACATTGACATCAATATAATTTATTTGTTGAGCGAAAGAGGGAATATAATCCTAATGGCGAGAAAGAAATATATGGAATTAAGTGATTTTCTTTATAAAGCATGAATCACAAGAATTTACCTTTCATTGGAAATAGATCCATCTAGGAAAACATTGTCTCTTGTTTCTTCTATTTTGTCTGTGATATGGGGAAACTCTGGCCTGCCTCACAACATTACCAAGGTCGATAATCTCTTTTTGAGGAACATGAACACAGTATAATAAACTTCCCTGTGATAGTCCTAGCAAGTATTTGGTTATGTCCGGTGTAATTTGAAATCAACCAGATCATTCATCTAAGCAATACTAGACAGGAAGCGATTCTCTTCATTCCGTGTGGCGATAAAATTTTATGTACTTGAACATCCATGTATTTGTTTCTGCTCCTTTCTGTGCTAATAATCTACCTTTGTGCACCTTTAACATATGACCATGTATGTACAAAATTATTCAGCCTAAACTGTAAATCCTTTGGCTTTTTCAGTAGTGATCACTTGCCATCTGAGGTGAGGCAAGGAGTTCTCTCATCTTTTCCACACTATGGGCATTCGGGGATTGTGGAATCTGCTCGAGAACTTTTCATACAAATTGATGGACAGCCTGGCAATGAAGGTCAGTGGTTCAGTTCATGGTAAAATTGTCTCCATTGGTTCATACCTTGCCTTCCTATTTTTTTCCTTAATTGTAAAAAAGTTAGCTCTAAACTTGGAACTTTCTCCATGGATGTTAAATAATGTCAACGTTGCACAATGCTACGCGATTAGCATCTTGAACGTGGTTTATTAATTCTATCCCAGAGGCAGTTCCTGTTGCCGGTTAGCCAATCATTAAATCCTCTCCCACTCATACATTTGATTTAGAATCTTGAGGAACAGACTCCAAAGATCAAAAAGCAAAATTTCTTCATTTCATGCTTCAATTTCACTGAATTTTGTGTCTGTAATCGCTGTTTATACTTTTTCAATAAATAAATAAAATTAACCTTAGACTGTAACCTGGAAGAGAGACAGAGGGAGCTTGGCTGTTAAAACATCTTTGTATTTCTGTGCGAGTGTTGATGGACCGTCTTTTTGTTTGTTACAAAGAAAGGACAGACTTAATAGTTATTACTTAATGTGCATGATCATTCTCTTTATCTATGCTAGTGGAAGGTGGACATTTATTGTTAATATTTTAACACTTTATGATGGTTTCACGATGCTGATCTGGTTTTCTGCGATCCATGACAAAGGAGTTTGTAATTATTGGTATAATTATACCATGGAGAATTAAAATTTCGTGACAGAAAAATATTATTCTTAATCCTTTGGAAGACCATTTGTTGTTCAAAGTGCTGTTGAGGAAAATTACAACAGTCAATGGGAACTTTGGAAAAAGTTTTCTTTATAATGCATTGAGATACCACGGAAAGAATAATTGCAAACATTTATTCTGAATTTGGAATTTGGTGGTTGGCTGTACAAGGGTCTTATGTAGCTGTGCACTAAAGGTTTGAAAGATGCTAGGACGAATTTTAATGGGTTTTAACTTGGACAGTTCATCTCGAAAATTAAGTACGTGGTACCTAAGGTTGCTGCAAATAATGAGAACCATGGTGTAAGATTGCTTTCGTTTGTCTAAAAAGCTGACATGTCTTCTCCACGCGGTTTCATTTAGTATTTCACCTTGCAATGGGACATCTGCACTGCCTATTCATTGCATCTGGTCATGAATTTTGACCAACTGCCATATTTGGGTATATTCTAATGAATATTTTTCTAAAATCGTAAAGTTCACTATGCCAATGACACCCAAATGATGAACCATAATTAACAAATTGAATATTTAGTTATCTAGTAAAGTATGGCAGCTTTTCATGAATATCCAACTTTGTATCATTCAATTTTGGTTGCTCTAAGATCTGGTGACTAATAATCTTCTTTGGAGGCTGAAAATCTGCGTCGGCCATCCAAACTTGTCTCGGCTGACGAATCTTAGTGTACCTATCTCTGATCTATAAATAGTTGCATCAGCAGCATTCGAATCGAAAGAGTACGGGCGGTTATCAGCCTTCATTATTTCTACTGAATAGTCTTCCTTCCAAAAGACGAGAATGTGGTTAAGTTATGAGGGAATAGTTGGAGTTAGATGAGGTTTGTATGTGGATCGTGTTGTTGGATTCTTTCAAGTCTCCTTTTTCACCTGAGCAGTAGGGGTGGATTGTTAACTGACCTTAATCACCTAAATAAGCATCTTTGATGACGTATTAAGGACCGCAATTGAGTTGAAATTAAAATGATATTGAGTTCGATTAGTTGTTGATTTATATGTTTTCCCCTTCAAGTTTTTGATAGAATCCATGCCTCCGTGAAAAACAAATGATGATTATGGTCCTGTCTTGCGGATGAGATTTTCAAAAAAAAATTGTTTGTTAACGAGGCGTAATGACCATTTACCAAACCTGCCTAATTCACTGTACTGTGATATGTGATTAGGATCCGAATCTGAGTGTGCACACTGCAATTTGATGAATGACGAATATTTTGCCAAGTAAAATGGTGGAAGCCTTATTTTTTTCTTTCCCTCTCATTCGATTAATAGAGACCAGCGTTTATAAATATAAGGAGCCGTTTGTTATGTTATAAATATGACGAGTAACCCAATAAATTGACCGTCCCGTGCATCTCAGTCTACAAGAGAATGCTGCTCACGGCTACTCATTAATCTGGGTGGTTTAGAGGCACAACATTTTGGTAAACATTTGTGGACGATAGACAACTGCTGTGTACCAAGGGTTACTCCTGTCCAGATTATCATCATTTTTCCAGCGATTTCAAAGTCACATTTAGGATACCATTCACAACCAAAAATTAAAATGGTGTGTTTCAGGTCCCTGGAAGAATAGCAATAGAAAAGAGAGAAGAAGAAAATTCTGGAATAGCTTGGAGCTGGTTGTCTCTGCTGATGGTGAGGTGAAAACTAGATAGAAATATGGCATTGGTCAAACTGCCAATTTTTCTGTTGCCATCACCTTCTCCAAATCTTTTATCACCCCTTCTAATTTCCTACCGGAATTCTATGCCTTCACTAATGTTTTTCTTTCCTCCTCTCCTCTTCTCTGCTCTACCAGAACAGGCTGATTAATTAGTCAGGATGTGAACACAAAGTTTTCTTTCTAAAAAAAACCTGACATATTACGTGTGATATGTGAAGGTTCCTGCTGTTCTGTTGATAATAGATGAACCAAAAATCAAGATTCACCATCGTAGGTTTGTGGTCATACTTGCAAACCTTAGGGATATTTGTTAGGTGATAACTTACTGCAGTAGCTGGAATTTGAATCAATAATTTTCATTTTTTTTCTAAAGCATAAAGGGATGTCTATATTTTTTTTCGTATTTATTTATAAAAGGATTTATGAACAAGAAAATAAATATCCAAAAAATATTATAATTATAAATCTCACTATTCTAAGCCTTCCTACTCCATTTCCTCAAACCTGCCCTCATTTTCCCCATTCTGAAGTGGGCGAAGATGGGGAAACAGTGCTGTCTGAAGGCTGGTAGTTGGCAATGTGGCAGGTAGTGATGGTGTTGGAAGATTTGGAAGTAGGAATCGCAGCCACTACAGAGCAGGCAGAGATGATGGTAGATAAGATTCTCGATTGACTGTCGTGTTCTGACTCATGCTTATCAACTCTACTTATATAGAAGTTGGTGTGCTTCACATGCAGATCAGTTTGGTCGAAAAATAATTGGGAGTATTTGCGTGGAAGCCAATAAAATGTCATGCATATCACCCATCTCCAAGCAGCAACCATCGCCCCCTGTGTAATCTATGGATTTGTAGACTTCTATTCTTGAGGATGAGAACTCATTACCTGAAATCAGATCATGGATCATTCGGTGAAACTGAACCGGCAATATCTTTGCAAAGTATTTTTCATTTGTGCCTTTGAAATGTCGTGCTCTATTATGATTGACAATTGGATTAATTGATGTGCTATAATTACTTTGATTATTATTCAAGCTTAACCTTTTTCTCAGGTTCTACAATTCAGTGTAAGTTATACAATCGTGCATTTCCTGCACTATTTTTTTCACGATTGCTTTCTGTGCATAATTTGCAGATGCCTTCCCTTCTGAAAGTGGTGGATTTCTTTCATCACTGCTTGGAATGGGATGTGAATGCCAGGGGTACAAGATCCGTATTATTGGACATTCTTTGGGAGGTGCTGTTGGCACAATGCTTGGAATAAGGGTGAGTCCTGTGTGCATGCAAACTTTTGTACATTTTGTATTGACATTAATTATATTGATTGTATCATAAGTTGTTGCATATGTTCAATTGATTGCCATGTTTCTATGTATTCATCATAGAGTCAATGTCCTTCAAGAAAAATATTATTTTGATCTGAGGGTTTTATAGAAAAATAAGATCCAATGATATATTTTTTTTGGCAGCTCTGGATAGACGACGGCCTGACTATTGAGAAGACCGGGATTCTGGACATTCATTTTCCAATTATAGTTTAAATGAGAATTGAAAATATCTTGATTTAGAAATAATTGTTATAGAGTCTTTGGCGTTATGGGGTGATTATGAACCAGTTATAATTGAAATTTACTTTAATCAACACATTATGCACCTTTCTTCTTCTCTGCTACCTGGTGTCCTTGAGGGCCCCCTTAACTAAATCGAAGAGTTGTAAAAAAACCGTTCTCCGTGCTGGAACTATCTCTTACATCATGGCCGAGTTTGTTTCTGGGAGTGACCGGATTGCCATGTCAGAGAGCAAGATTGTTCATGTAGGTAGTATTGTGTGGTTTTGGAGAATCGTTCCCTCAAAGAAGGGGTACTCAAAAATTCTGTGGTAGTATTGTGTGGTTTTGGAGATCCCTCAAAGATGGGGATCTGGGCAAGTTCAAATCGGGAAAATCCAGTTTCCATAGACCTGACCGGCCAGCCAGACCTGCTCAGAACATCTGGTTGTCTGGCTTGTGTGCGAAGGCCAATTTGTTGCTCATGCACCCAGATTCAGAAATTCCAGGACTATTCAGCCTCTAAACATGCTGATTCTCTCGATTTTGCGCGTTCCATTACACAAACATATGGAAAGATTGGGGGCCGGGGGGGGGAGGGGGGGGGTTGTTTGGATGGAATATTTGGATTCAGATCCGAATCAATCCCACCTTTTTCTTCTTTTTTTCGGCTTACGCATTTTTTTAAATTGCTTCTCAAACTTCTTTTTAAGATCGGGTAACATATGAGATCTCTTTGCCTGCAGTTGTATCGGCGATACCCAAATTTACGTGTTTACTCCTATGGAACACTTCCATGTGTGGACAGAATTGTGGCCGATGCTTGCTCAGAATTTGTGACCAGGTAGCTGAGATTCAATTTATTTTTTTTTACACGACGACAATCCCTTTTTTAACCTTCTCTCGTCTTTCCAGCGTTGTATACAATGATGAGTTTTCTGCACGCCTATCAGTCAACTCTATTATTAGACTTCGCGCTGCAGCAATGACAGCTCTTTCTGAAAATTCTTCACCCGACTCTGCAATGATACATAAAGTAGTCAGACGGATTTTGCAGTCAAACAGAGCCCAAGGAAATGGAGATAATGAGAACGTTTCGTCGAGCTCTCATCAACCCGCTAAAACAGTACACGAGAACAGTAATCAGAGAAGTAGGAGGAAGCGCATTAAATTTACTGTTAAAGGTGGGGTTTTTCTCTGCAGTCATGCACTTACCTGCTTGCTGTATATGCCTTCCCATAGCCCTTGCAAAACTCTGAGGAATGATGTCCGTATGCTTGAGTCTAATGGCGTGTCTGATTTAGGAGGTTGTACATTCAATGCAGGGAGTGGTGGGCACAATCATGATTTTCTGCATCGGGAGGAAAGTCACTTAATTGATGGAGATTGTTCTAGGGCTCTGGAGGATTTTAATGACGAAGACGTTTTGGAGCAGGCAGATGGTGGCAATGGATCTGATGGGTTGAACCCTTATGAGGATCATGCTCTGGATCACATCCGATCACCCGTCAAGGTGTCTTTAGGGGAAACTGCAGAAATGTTTCTTCCTGGTCTCATTATTCACATAGTACCCGAACAAGGAAGGTCACTGTCTTTGTGGAGCTGGAGGATCCAGCATAGCCAGAATGGGTATCGAGCTCTCCTTGCAGACAGGGAAGATTTTAAAGACATTGCTGTCACACCATATATGTTCCTCGATCATCTGCCTTGGAGGTACCAATGCTAATTTCGCTCTAATAATAGTATTTGATGTGAAATGTTGGTCATATGCACACCGGAATTAGCTTAAACGGCCTTATTAATGTTCTAGAAAGAAATCAACAATGCTCTACGATTCTTTCCTCCCTCCTTAGTTTCCTTATAATAGCTGATATTCTTACCAAATCACTTGGCATTCTTTCTGACCCACTACACGTCCCTCCTTTTTCTGGTCTGCTTCCAGGTGCTACGACGCAATGCACAAAGCTCTTGAGACAAAGAGGAGCAAAGACCGGCTTGATGCTAACTTGTTGAACGGGGAAAACATAGTCTAGGCTACGTGTCCATAGATTTCAGATGGTATCGATATCTTTTCCACAGGCATATTACTCGAATCAGAGACCAGTTTTACATTATCAGGAACCAATCCACACACTTACGTGAAGATTTTGTCCGCAAGAACTAATATAGGATATGAGACAGCAGCGCTTCATATCATTCATAATTGGTTGGATTCAACAGTTCAGTGTTGTATTCTCCCCAACCCCCCCCTTTCCAAGTTGTAATATCTACATGTTCTGTAGTGTTCATTGTAATAATGTGTAAGGTCAATTCACCTTTTTTCTGGAGAAAACTAGACATAACTCGTTATTGCGAGGAACTCCAGATAATACTAATATTAATATTCTTCACCATTTTAGTCATCATTATGTGCAATTACTGGTGCCTCCTATCCACAGGGTATCTTCTTGAGCTCAAAGTAAGGGTGTTATCAGATGGCCCATCGTGGTATCATGGATGCTTCTTCATCCTACAGAATCCCAGGTTCTTCTGTATAGAAAAAAGGCATTCGATGGTTTCAATACGTTATGTAATGACTATTCAATCATCTGATGATCTGTATTAACATTTCACGTAGATTTTTTTAAACTGAATTTATCAAAAAAATATGTCCTTGGCGCAGGATCTAACCTTTTTGGGTGCTTTTTTGTTTCAGCTTTCTACTTTAAGGAACTTAGAATCAGATATAGAGGTAGCATCAGGTTAAATCGACTGATATGCTCTTAAGATTTTTCGATGAGGCCTGATGATTTTGAAGCTTCCAAGAACGGATTGATCCGGGTCAATTATAATGGGCTCACCATGGTTCGATCTGTTTTTGGCCATTCATTAAGAGTAATGTGTACTCTAACTGATTAGTGTAGAGAGAGAGAGAGAGAGAGAGAGAGAGAGAGAGAGAGAGATTATAAGCATTTTTATTTTTTTCTACGTATCCAAATATTTTATGTTGCCTCTTCCTCATCTGTGACACAAACTCTTCAAATGTTTCCATAGTTTGTTCTCAGATGGTAGATAATTTGATAATAAATATGCACACACAATGACTAGAAGTGAAGTTTAAGAAATATTACTAAACTTATCCACCAAATTATTTTTACTATCGTTAATAGTAAATAATTTGATACTTTCCTTGTTCCTTATCTACAATTTTATTTTTTCTGAAATAACTGCATTTATTTTCCTTCCTTCCTTATCTGCTTTATCCTTGATGGGTTCTCATCAAAACTGTCTTAAGAGTTAACAAAGAAACGCAGAATATAATAATGGCGGCAATGTGTGAATTTCTATGCAACCAGTTATGACTAGCATTAGTTAAATCATAGAAAGATTCAGCAAGCAGATATTTATCTATATTATGCTTGTAATTTGGTAGATATCGAAGGCTAAACCATGTTTTACTGTTTTTCATATGTACAGATGCCAGCAGCAATTGGTGGAATGCTCCAGCGATTCAAAGGAAAAAGATTACGAAGTAATGGATTTCAATAGATCAAGAGATCAAATGCTAAACTGGAAAGTAAGTAGAACACACCATTTACAGATCACAGCAAAAAAAGAAATTAAATTTCTTCAAACGCAATCAGATTATACCTCAATATATTTATTAAAAAAATATCTTCAGATTAGCCATTTTACCAAAAATTTACTTCCCATTTGGATATTCTTCAACACATGCAAGGAATTTTAAAATAATACGAAAAATATAATTCAATAAAATTCACGAAATTCCACTTTTTTTTTTCCCATTTGACTTTTATATGACAAAAATAAATACATATGTTTCCCCATTTAGAATGGTATGTAGCTACAGCAGACTTCTGACCATTTCAGATATTCAGGATTGACGACCATATTAGAACTAAAAAGTCAAAACCTCTGCAATTTTTCACGACCTCCAGCTGTTGACTAGCAATCTGAGCACCCAACGCTATTCGCTTAAATTCTTCAGAAACATATCCAGCCGTCAGGCTCTCATCCAGGTCAAAGAGGGAACCAAAGATCTAGGAAGCAACACCTCCCTGTTCCTTTCTTCTACACAACATTACGACCTTCTGAGAGGAGGAAGGCGCTTTTTGGGGGAAAAAATGGCATCTTGAGACCTGAAAAATGCATATTTCATTAAGAATAACAGAAATTTCCATAGTCTTAATGTTTCTTCTATTTTTTAAATATCAGGGTCTTAAAAATGCTGATTTTCTATATATATATATATATATATATATTACAGATGAAGATTTATCAGATTCAACTGTGCCGTCCAGTCTGAATCTTGGAAAATAAAATTAATTTGAAAAATAGAATGGTAATGATTACAAAATAAAAAATGTATTAAAATAATTTGGAAAGTATTTCATTTTTCACATGTTTCATACGAATAGATGGTGATGTATCATATCTTCCGACACTTGTTCATCCTTGTCAATGAATTATAATCTACCAGAAAAAAAATCATTTATTAGAAAGTCCCCATTGTAAGATTGCGTCAGATTGCTTCCTATGACTTCCACGATCATCAGGAAAAAGAAAGCTATTTATTTGGAAAATAAAGATAAATAATTAAAATGAAATAATTCTCCCTCATGGATGATCTAGAAAATACATGAAATAGACGTCTTTTTGACTGGTGAAGTAGGATAAGTAGCCAGTAATTTTCTTTTATCTCTTACTCTCTCTCTCAAAGAGGGTCGTATGTGTGGTGGGCTGGGCCTGGGCATTTGAGAGGCTCGCTGAAGCCCATTAACGCCCAGTAACCTCTACCGTGAACGCCGTTGAGCTACACTGCAATCAATGTAAAAGAATGAAAGAGAGAGAGAGGAGTGAGAAAGAGTGAAAGGGAGAGAGGGAGAGAGAGAAAGAGAGGAGAGCGAAAGAGTGGGGAGAGAGGAAGAGAGAAAGAGAAAGAGAGGAAGGGAGAAAGAGAGAGTGGGGAGAGAGGAAGAGAGAAAGAGAAAGAGAAGAGAGAGAGGGAGAGAGAGAAAGAGTGGGGAGAGGGAGAGAGAGAGAAAGAGAGGAGAGAGAGGGAGAGAGAGAGGAGTAACATTGGCCTGGATTAGAAGGGGCCAAAACTGGCGGGCCACCAGACCCAAGCACCGTCTTCCCCCCCCATTTGTTTTGGTCTCAGAGGCCTATTTTCCAGACACGTCGAAGCGCACCTTTGCTCAAGTAGGTGGGGACCACACGGAGAAGACGAGGGACGTCGCTATGGAGAACCAGTCGCGGGAGAGCGACTTAACACCCGATTCCCCTCCTCACGCTCTCTTCTTCTGCCTCTTTACCCCTCCTCCTCCCCCGCGAGCACCTACCTCCTCGTCTCCATTGTAGGATCGGCGTGTTTCTTTCTGGGGGTTTGCTCTTCAGGTGGCCCTTTGGGAGACCAGCGTCTTTAAGGAGGTCAGGCCAGTTTATACGATCAATTCGTCGTCTCCGGCCCGACTATCGATTGATTCCTAGGAGATCCCTTTTTCAGGCTTCTATGTCGCAGTCTTGCTCTACGGTTTTGTAGTCTCATAATTTTTTCTTTCTGTTTGTCGCTTCTATCTCAGAATTTAAGGGTGGCCAGAAAATTGAATTCACTCTTTTTTCTTCCATATTTTTTTTTGTGCTCCCTTAATCTTCGAACCTTTGAATGGGAGAAGGTTTGAACCATACAAACAAGGAATTGGGAGACTGGTCTATGCATTATTTTTTCTTGCTAATCAGTTTTGACAAGGATCGATTTTTAAAAGCACACATTTCACGTGGTATTTCGTATCGTTATTGTATCGACTATTTCTTCACTTGGCATTCGGATGCTATTTCTCAAGTAACTTTCAATGATCCGAGAAATTTAAGGAGTTTTCAATCATCTGCACTGATTATGATGTCAAAAGAACTGGAAGGAATCGGAAAAGTCTTATGCGTTTTGGTGCATCGTTGCGAATGCCTGTGAGCAGATAATATTTTGGGGGTTACGTTTCTGGAACTATTTCAGAAATTGGCTTCCTCATAATGCGGTTTTTCTTCTTTAAATTATGTACTAAATCAGCACAATTACATTGCTTTCAACAGCCAAGGTTTCCCCATTGTTTGTATGATCCAGTTAGTTACCACGTCATCTTAGACAGGCTAATCCTTTTCACGTTAATACTTTCTGAAAGATAGGCTTGCTGATCTGCTCTCTTCAGAAAAACAAAGTAAATGTGTTTAACACATTAGGGTATATCAGTTGTGCATATTTATACTCTTGATGCTTCAAGTCAAATTCGGAGTTTCATGTTGCCAGCAGCGACTAGAATTTTTATCCATACTGTAGTCCAGTCGGATTTTATTTAAATGTCGATTCCAGTGTATTTTCCTTCGATTTATCAAGCAAAAAGTACTCTGTCATTTTCTCCAACATTACCAACAGGAATATGCTTTTTTTTAAAAAAATTGTCAAACCCTTTCCTGCCTGATAAAGTGATGTGTTTTTATTGTTTTTCTGTGCGTTGTGTCTATCTGTGCATCTTACCTGGCATTATGTAAAGGCTATGGTAATTTATTGTGCTGACTTTGTGAGGATCTGATTCATATGGACGTGCCTGAAGACTGACAGAGAACAGTTATAACTCTAATGGTGGAATCAGTTGGATATCACTCTTCCTCTTCCGGACGACGTGTTCATGGCAATCGTCTAAAAACTTTGTGCAGTATGTAGTCAGCCCTTTGGTGCCACCTTAAGGAGATATGAACTTCTGTAATATTTGGTAAATTCCGTTCTTCATAAGGTATGTGATGATACCCCGCAACTTGATGCATCTGTTATGTGAAAACTCTTGTCACTTGTGTATCGAGTATATTGGGCATGTATTGTGCTTATGTTGCGCCATGTTTGATTTTCTGGGCATATGTTCGTGTATCCATCATCAAATTCAAAGGGGAAATCAGCATGGGAACATTTTGTTGCTGCCCTTGTGGAGAGGATTTAGAAGAATACACTCATCCAAACGGTTCTATGTATAGGCATTGCCTGTGCCTGAGAAGATTCTTTCATCGACTTTTGAGTGGGGTAACGTCATCTTCTATGGGCTTCCTCAGAGACGATCAACATTTTTTTGGTCACGTCCATAGTTTAACCATATTTTTTAAATATTTTCAATGATTCTTCCTTAATTCTTGTCGCCATGTCTTAGTTCTTTTGCAATGCTGTTAAAGAGCATATTTTATTGCGGAATAGGACTCCAGTTTTATTACGTTCATATTTGAAATTCTAAATGCTCCATTTGTAATATTAATGAAGATCACAATCTTGTATATTTTTTCTTGTTTATTTTTTTTTTTTAAGTTCTGTGCAGTGTTAAATCACGTCATAACAACCGCAAATATGACTATCGTTTCTAGTTCAGTCTCTCTGATTTACTTTTCCAGTTGAAAAAATAAAAAAATTATCGACTCTTTTCCTCCAGAAACTAACTATTTTCGATTAAAAATCCATAATTGTTTATATCTCTTAATTAGATCATTTGGCCCGCTGGGCACTGTTTTAAGGTAAGGATGACTAGTTCGAATTGGAAATAACTCAACTGAAGAGGGTCCTCTACCATCCATCATCTTAGCTTCGGAACTGTTAGCCAAGGATAACAAACTGACCAGAGAAGATTCTCTTGTAGTTAAGAAATTCATCCGCCACCAAATTCGGACGTTTTTACCTTACAGCCAGGGAACTACCCTCATCAATGTTTACAGTAGGGAAGTGGCACTTTTGGAACCTTAATCGTTTAGGATATAATAGTCAGAATGTCTCACTCCTGCTATATGCCATGAATTTCTATAACCTAACATCCACATAATGACTAGGCCTCCTGTTAGGAAAACATCTGCCGCAAGTTCTCTTCCTGGCAGTCTTTGAATTTTCTTGTCAATTCTCTGATTCTCCCTTTGATTGTCTTAACAACAAAAAGTCAAAGCTCCTTCTCTTCGAAGCCCAAGCAAGTTGATTCGCAGAGTGCCGATCTCCCCCTTCTTGCGCTGATTTTATCTCATCTTCAGTTCTTCTTGTGATGCCTTGGATCTGTAGTATAAGGAAGAGGTGATCTAAACGTGTGCTATGGCTGTTGGTTAAACAAGAACGGGTGTTCCGCATGCTGGGTGTGTTTTATTTATGATTTAAAATCCTTTTACCGCAGAGGAGAATAGTATTCTATAATGAGTGAAATGGCCATAGGCCAACTGAAAATGATGCATAAAAGTGATGACAAGTAGAGATTGAAAAGTTTACATCACCTTACATAACAACAGATTTACACGAAAAGCCAAAAAGTTGAAATATTAAAAAGTATTTTATTAATCCATTGAAAACAATTCCATGATTGTATTGCAGACTTCATGCATTTGATATTATTCATCTTATGCTCTGGTCGCTTATGGATAACAAAAAAAAACTAGATAAATTTTTGAGAAGCAATGAATTTCAAGTAGGTAGAATCAATGAAGGATGTATATGCTATGTGATTAAATTATACATTATTAAGCTTTTTGAATATCCGTGATGGTAGAAAACTTTTGACATTTGCTGTTACTTCTGCAATTAGTTGTGTATATCTCCATTTGGAGGACACAGCACTTATACATAAGGCTTGCTTGATTTTGGGGGCTCAGGTTCTTCTTTGCTGTATCTCCCAACAACGGCTCTGATGCAGAAGTACTCAGAGCCTATGAGTACAACAAACTTATAGAGCAAGCTTTTGCCCTCCCCTTTTCTACCTCCTTTTTTTGTGCTCAAGTTTGCACGATTACAGAATATTTTTCCTTTTTATACCCTGGTATCTTTGATTTGTAATCCAACTGACCCTTTCTAACTTCAACATCTTGTTCTCGTCTTTAGAATGGTGCAGCGTTTCAGAGGATGGATGGGCGGAATGTTATGCTCTCAATCCAAGGAGGAAGTCCGTCGGCTTCAACTGGATTGGGCGTGGTGCCAGACAATGGTTCATTGACTGAGACATGCCATCTTGTCCCTCGTCCTGCATCTTATGATACTGAGGCAAGATACTCACTTTCACAACGTGATGGGTTGGTGTCCAGGCACGAGAAATTTATGGGCAATGTCCAGGAGAGTTCTCGGGCCTTTAGAAGTAGTAACAGCTCTGGAACTCTGCATCTGGGCTCAGCTAAGAAAAAAGATATTACAGACTCTGAGGAGGAAAGTACGACTGCACTCTCGGAATATGATAAATTTTGGCCTGGAAAGGCATCAGGTGGGATTGATTACATGGTTACAACATCTGAAGAGGAAGATGTCTGCCCAACCTGTCTTGAAGGTAGATGAATCTTTCTGGCTTTGCCTTGTTCGTTTAGAATTCTGTCATAATCCGAGCAGTAAATGAATTGGACCTATCCACACTCTTGACTAGTTGAAAGTATTATTTTCTGCAGACCAGACAAGAATAAACAGAGGGGAAATATTTCTGTATATCAGTTCATGGAACAATTGCTGGTTATATACAACTACACCGCCCTCAAAAAAAGGAAAACTACCTAAGTTGAATCCAACGATTTATAGGATACTCAATCAAATTAGGAAACTGACCAACAACCTAACCCTTAATTATAGGTTTTTTTTTCCCACTCTTCTCCTCAAGCTGTTGAATAGGGATTCATCATTCCCAGCTTGGATATAATACCCTACATTATAGAACTACTTTGTCCCTTAGTAAGTACATCCGCAAGTTGACCATGTGTAGACACATTAAGTGTACAAATCAATCCACACTCTAACTTCTCCTTGATGAAGTGTCCGTTAATCTCAATATGTTTTCTTCAATCATGTTGCACATGGTTGTGAGCTATGTTGACTGCAAACTTGTTATCACAATAGAGTCTTATTGGGTCATCCCACTTAATATTTAAGTCTTTGAAGATGATCTTCAACCAAAGTAGTTCATACAGACCCAGAGCCACTCAGAATTCAATTCTGAATTATGCTGTGCCATCACATTCTATTTCTTACTACTCCATGTCACGAGATTACCAAAAGAAAGGTGCAATATTCAAAGTTTGATCTCCTGTCAACCACTGACCTTGCATAATAAGCATACGTGTACGCTTCAAGTGCCAACCCTCCATTTCTCCGAAAATAATACCTATTCCTGGTGTCTCTTTGAGATATTCTAGTGCTTGGTGAGCTACATGCAGATGGACTTTCTTTGGACTGTGCATGAACTAGCTAATCACACTCACTGCGTATACTATATCTGGTCATTTATGAAACAAATAATTGAGTCTTCTTTCGGTCTTATTTGTTATCTAAGATGTATAACGTACTTCTGTTGAGGAATGAAAATGTCCTGCCTAGAGTGACCTACTTCAGTCCCAAGAAAGTATTTCAGTCTCCGTAATGTTTTTCTGTCAAACTCAGCCAAAAACTGACTTAGATATTGTCTCTCTTATCCTTCGTCATTATTATGTCATCAATGTATACCGAGAGTTTTCTGACTCTCCATGAGGATGATGTTAAGTGAACAGCGTGTGATCCCATGGGCTTTATTTTTACCCCATAGTAATCATGGCTCTTGCAAATCTCTCAAACCATGCCCAAGGTGGTTGCTTAAGTCTGTACAAGGCTTTCTTTAATTTATAGACCATACAAGGTTTGATTCTCCTTCGGTCTTCTGTCTGGTAGCTCCTGAATCGATTATTCAAGAATTGGCAAAGGTGGTACTTGAGCCATTTAATGCAATAGAGAATGGAAACTCACCTAAGTATACCAATGAACAAGAATCTGTGACCTTGTCAAGATTTTCCAATAGGAGATCTCACCCTCTTGGCCTTTTCTTTGTTGAGACACCTTGACTCATTTGGTGCTGCTTCATCCTGCTGTATTGTCGTGACATGAGTTTGACCATTGTTCCTTGGTTGTTCTCTTTTGTTCCCATTCTTGACTTCCAACAGCATTCATGATTATGACATGATTATGATATGGTATCGATTCTGGGCCTTCAATTGCCCAGGTTTTTCACTCTCAGCAACTTGTGCTCTCTGCATTTGTGGCTGAATTATTGGCACCTTTACCCACCATAGCCGAGCTGTCTGTGCTTTTTGGTTTGAGCATCAAGCATCTCCTGCTTTCCTCTCCTCAAATCAGTGGCCACTACTTCATTAAAACGTGGAATCTACTGCTTGCCAAGGATCTGAATTCTCATTTGTCAAATTCTAGATTAAGTCCAACGAGAAAATCATAAACTGTCTTTCTCAATAAAATCTTCAAATAGCTGCATCCTCTGGACATTTGGTTTTAATCACCCTATAATTGTGAAGTTCTTTCCACAAAGCTTTCAACTGATCAGCATATTCCCTAGTTGGTATGCTTCCCTGTTTTGCAACGATCATCTTCACCTAACTTTCATAGACTTGTACTGCATCTATAGCTTTGGAATAAGTATGCTGGATTGGATCCCAAATATCCTTGGCTGTAGCCAAGAACACACACTGCGTTGCTAATCATGGAGTTTTCTTCAGCCCAATGCCGCAAACCGAGGATCCTCTGGTTTGGGCCCTGTGCTTATGAGATGGCTGATCTTCCCTTTCCCTTTCAGCACTGTGCAGACAAATTGGTGCCACTTGGGGTAATTTTTTCCAGCTACCTGTATGCAGCTTGAATACTCTGTAGCTCCATCTTTCCCTTCAATTATGTGTTAGCGATCGTTTCTACAACCTCTGTCATCTGTAAGACGTGAGATGGTATGAACAGCAGTCTGAAGAATACCAATCCTGAACAGTCTTGAATCTCTGTCAACACAGAAAATGAGAGATCCAGCTGATCCAAGAGCCTGAAAAAATATCCAAGGATGACTGCTGAAACGGGATATCCTAAGGGGAGAATACTCTTTCTCAAATCGGAGCAAGACCAGAAACAGACAGAGATCCTGCATGCCACCTTAAGATTGACATAGAGAAGAGGATGGGGAGGATGAAGACTACGGAATTACAAGCTCAGATATGATGAGGCATAGCTAACAAGAATAAACAGTGGGGAAATTGTTTTATCATATCAATTCATAGAACAATTGCTGGTTATATACAATCACCCCGGCCTCCGAAAAAGAAGGAAACTACCTAGGTTGAATCCCTTGATTTATAAGATACTCAACCAAATTAGGAAACTGAGCTACTCTTTACTCATACGTTTTTCTCCCGCATTATTTTTATTTTGGATATATGTACAGCTGGATTCTTTTAGCTAGTCAGTTTGACCCCTTCATGTAGTCAAAGTTCCCCAAGCTGTGAATCCAACCAGGGTTCTTCTTTTCCAATTCAGCAATAGTTTTTGACCTCTGATGGCATATCATTTACGATTTGATTTTGATCGTGTGGTCGTCATTAACCATGCATTAATTATTTATAAATCATGGGTTTTTGTGATCCCATATTTAGAAGATGTACAACATTAGATTTAAGATCATGAGCAGTTTCATTATACAGGTCAATGCAGATTAAATGCCCTACTTCATTTGTACTGTTCTGATAGAAATATGATTCGTTCGATTCATTTTTATCTGATTTTCATGCTTATGTCAGATCAATCTGCAGGAAGTGACCACCAATGTTCTTATTTTGCAGAATACACTTCTGATAATCCAAAAATTTTAACCAGCTGCTCTCATCATTTCCACCTCGGCTGCATATATGAGTGGATGGAGAGAAGCGATAAATGCCCAATTTGTGGAAAGGTATGCAAATTTTTTTCTTTTTTTTTTTTGCTTCAACCAATGAAATTGCAGCTCTCTCTCTCTCTCTCTCTCTATCTCTCTCTCTCTCTCTCTCATCTCTCGTTGTGAATGGTGGAAGGGCCAATCCCAATGCTTCTTTTTAAAAAAGCATCGCTTTCTCATCCTCTGCATATCCATGGCTGGATTTGGTAACACCCCTTTCATTCTCAGGAGATGGAATTCTGTGAGAGCCCGTGAAGGAGTTCGTCAATCTTCCTTCTCGTCTCTCTCTCTCTCTCTCTAGAAGGCGGCCAGTTCACCGACTCACGGGCTTGTAAGCAGATTCTTCTTGGATATGCCATGATTTATTCTTCCTCTTCTCCATCATCATTTAATTGTAAATTTGGGAGGTGATTGTTATATATATATGTGAATGAATCATCAATAAACCAAGAGAAGCCCAGCCCGATTATTTTCTTCATTGGCTCAGGCCTGAAGATCTAGTTTGAAGGGAAAACTCGGCCCGGCCCCGAAGCCCGGGGAGAAGAGTCAAAATTTTCGGGCCCGGTTCGTTTGCCCTAGCAAATGACACTTCAGTCCCCGATAGAAAATACAATAACATTTGGAGGAGACCCGAGGAAGGCGTCACGTGCGGGCCATCGGTTTCTAACAAAACAGGCGGCGCACAAAGGGAGGCAGCCGCCGGAACAGCATGTGAATGTCTGTTTTTGTCTCTTCCCCTCACGTGATCGAGAAGAGGGAAGAGACTCCAGGTGGGTCCCAACGACACACTGCCAGCTCCGCAGCAGGTGGTGCGTGCGTGGAGGAGAGAGAAAACGTTGATTTAGGGTATTTATCGAATAAAATATAGCCACCCCGAATCAATTAAATATGCCATAGTTTCCCTGATTTGTTCAAATATTATTAAATCGTAAATATCTAGCGTTTCCCGGAACCGAGTGGAATCGGCCTGCGAGAGGCCTTTGAAATTTTGGTTCCTGAGGGGTTCGGCCCGGGCCAGGCCCGGTATTTTGTTCGGGCCCGTTTTGTTTGTGTGGGGCCAGAAGAGACGGTGGCCGTTGTTCCCGGAAACTATTTTCCTATTTGCCCCCGACTCACAATCCCGTGAAGAGAGCCTCTTGGCTTGCTATTTAACGACTCGTTACTCTCACCCTGCACTGAGGTGCCGCCTTGGTGGGAACCAGGAGGTGGTCTTCTGGTGGGAGCGCTGCCTCCGCCATCTGTTTGGGGACGGCGATCCCCGGGATCCATCGGCGCTTCACCGTGCTCCCCCGATTCTAGGGTGTCTCCGCCTTCCCCCATCGTCCAGGTGAGTTTTTGGAACGTATGATTGGGTTTCGTATCTGTTTCTCTTTTCGCTTCCATTTCTTCGTTTTCTGCTTAGATCTGAGATGTTTCTCACTTGGTGAATGCTCTGATCCTCTGCAGTCTCGATTGGAGTAGTTTCAATTTCGCCCCCAAGTTTGCGGACTGTTCTTGCAATGGATCTCAAGGAGATCAAGTTCATGAACGCCGGCCTTCTATTCGTGGCGACTCTATTATTTGTGAAGATACTCTCGGTTGTCTTAGCTTCAAAAGGTCGGAAACGGCTGCCCCCGACTGTGAAGGCTCTGCCGCTCATCGGAGGCCTTTTGCGGTTCCTCAAGGGGCCGATAATAATGATCGGTGAGGAGTACAGGAAACTTGGTAGCGTCTTCACGCTGAAGGTGGTTAACAAGCGTATAACCTTCCTTATTGGACCGGAGGTGTCCGCACATTTCTTCAAGGCGCCGGAGGCCGAGCTTAGCCAGCAGGAGGTGTACCAGTTTAATGTGCCGACTTTTGGTCCGGGTGTGGTCTTCGATGTGGATTATAGTGTCCGGCAGGAGCAGTTCCGGTTCTTCACCGAAGCACTAAGGGTGTCCAAGCTAAAGAGCTACGTTGATCAGATGATTGTCGAGGCTCAGGTATGAACTTGTATCAAAGATATTTTCTTCTTTTGTCTTTTACTTCATTATAGTTAGAACGAATAATAAAATGCGTGGCTGATCTTTTCCCTTCTGTTGCGTCATTGTCTGCTACTGTAAAAGGTAGAAGAGATGCGATCAGATGCCCACTTTTTTTTTTCTGAAGAATGTGAAACGTTTCGTCTTGCGTGCATGGGTTCAGGAATTTTGTGGCGGCCGTTTTTTCTCTTATGTCGAAGCTCTCATGTCCAAGATCTGAAGCATGGTTCATTTACAGTGATCGAGAGTTATAGATTCGTGTAGTAGATTTCAAAAATGAATTCGAGGTAGATTTGACTGACAGCTTGAATGGCCTTCCCACACTTGAAACGGCTGCCCTCTTATGTAGCTTGTTTCTTCAGCTTTTGCCTTGAACATCCGTTTGGAGATGGATGGGATAAGGATAAGGACCTATATCTGGGAGAGAATAAGTGTCTCTGGTTAAATATTCTGAAGCATATGGTTCTCTTGCTGCAGAAGATATCTCCAAGAAATAGTTCAAGGGTTCTTGGAACCTACCTAACATCAAATCTCCAAGAAGATATCTTTAGATTTGATGTATAGAGGATTGTACCTGTCAACTTAAGCCGAATCTTTTGTTACCCAAATAGGATTTTTTTTTAAAAACTCACAAAATGATGATTTATTTTGCATTAACACTTGCATGACACTGCTGATCATAAAGTGAGACCTAATCTCCGTGAAGATTGGACAAATTCAACACGCTGACAGCAATTGCCTGTTTTTTCCTTTGTTACTTCTAGGACTACTTCTCAAAGTGGGGTGAGAGCGGCCTGGTGGATTTGAAGTACGAGCTAGAGCAACTCATCATCTTGACGGCCAGCCGATGCCTCCTGGGCAGGGAAGTGAGGGACAAGCTCTTTGCAGATGTGTCCGCCCTCTTCCACGACCTCGACAATGGGATGCAGCCCATCAGCGTCCTCTTCCCCTATCTTCCGATTCCCGCCCACCGCCGCCGCGACCAGGCGAGGAAGAAGATTGCAGAGATCTTCAGGACGATCATTAACTCCCGCAAGAGCGAGGGCCGATATGAAGACGACATGCTCCAGTGCTTCATTGACTCCAAGTACAAAGACGGCCGTGGCACCACTGACGATGAGATCACCGGTCTCCTCATCGCCGCCCTCTTCGCGGGTCAACACACCAGCTCAATCACCTCCGTCTGGACCGGTGCCTACCTCCTCCGCCACCGAGAGCACTTCTCAGCTTGCATCGAGGAGCAGAAGGGCATCATGCAAAAGTGCGGCAATGGAGTCAACCACGACGTCTTATCAGAGATGGACACCCTCCACCGATGCATCAAGGAAGCTCTACGGCTCCACCCGCCGCTAATTATGCTGCTCCGCCACTCCCACAGAGAATTCACCGTGAAGAACCGGGAAGGAGTGGAGTTTGACATTCCAAGGGGCGACATTTTGGCGACATCGCCAGCATTTGCCAACCGGCTGCCGCATATTTTCAAGGACCCGGACAGCTACGATCCTAGCAGGTTCGCCACCGGCAGGGAGGAGGACAAGGCGGCCGGGGCCTTCTCGTACATCTCGTTCGGCGGCGGTCGCCATGGATGCCTCGGCGAGCCCTTCGCCTACTTGCAGATCAAGGCCATATGGAGCCATCTCCTGAGGGAGTTTGACCTAGAACTCGTCTCCCCCTTCCCGGAGATTGACTGGAATGCCATGGTCGTTGGTGTCAAGGGGAAGGTCATGGTGCGGTACACCCGCCGGAGGCTGGCTGTGGACAGCTGATGCATGTGCCATGTGGTCTGTCAGTGTTCTCTTCTTTTTCTCTCTCTCTTCCTGCTCTCTCTCTCTCTCTCTCTCCCCGCTTGTAGTGGCTCCAGAGTTGCAAGATTTCTTCCGTCAGCAGCCGTCAGTGTTCGACTTTCTAGCTTTGTTGATTGTGGTCCCATATTGATTGATTTATTCTAGAAAATACTAATAATAAACTTATCATCGAAAATAAAAATAATTGAACTAAAGAATAAAAATAACTCATATAAATATGAATGGGTATAAATGGGTACATTTATATTTGATAAATACACGATTGCCGATATGAATTATAGGAAACGAATACAATTTACTAAATAAATGAAATAAAGGCACAACATGTGGAGATGGCCCACTCGGGCCCACTTTCTCCAGTCAGCATCTGCTGTTAGTTTCGTCTGGCGAATGGGGGGTTTTGATGGAAATACAGGGGCAAATGTATATATTTTAAATTAGCAAGGGCTAGATATTAACCTCCCGCATTGGATTTACTGTCATAAGGATTGTCCGGGCGAAATGGGCCCATTTTCCCGCCGGTAGTTATTATGCGAAAGAAACCGTACGAGGGTGTTTTTACGAATGTGAAGTTTGTAAGGACCAAATGGTAAGTATAAGCCCTCTCAAACTTTTTGTCAACTGTTCCTCATACGCTATTTTTCTTAGACTGGGCGTCTTTTGTATTTACATGACATTATTTAGGATGTAATTTAAAACTATGATCCCTCAAAATTTCTCCGTCAAGCTCTCCCTGTTTGCGTGTGCTCTGTTTCCTCAGATCCAGTACCTCTCTCCGTCCGCTGTCCGGCCGGGGGGAGGGAGGGAGCTCGGGTCGGAATCCATGGCGGCGCCGCCGAGCCGGTCGAGGCCTCCGGCGGGATACAATCCGCCGGCGAACGGTGTCCAACAGGTTGGCCCGAGTTTCCTCTCCAGGCCCATGCAGAACCTCCAGATTGGCCTCGCCCCGCCGTTGTCTGGTTCAAATCCTCCGGGGCCTCGTGTCTCCTCCCCCCTTTCTGGTGCAGCGGTGGCTCCTTTTACTGTGGAGGTGCCGGTTCCCCGCCCCAGTCCACCCCTTGGACCGTCAGGGCCGCCGGCAATGCTCTCCCAGGCCCGGCCTCCTCCCGGGGGTCGTCTTGGTGTAGCCGAGCCTCGAGGCGCTGTACATGGTGCTCCGTTCACGACCAATTCCCCTTTGGTGGCGGGAGAAAACGACCAGCAGATTCATCGGACGTCGAATTTTCAGCAGCAGCAGCCCTTGGCCGGGTCTCCGATGGATACAGTTTCTCCTGCTCCTCCACGGGCGCAGGCTGTTGGATCATTTCCTGTTAGGACGCCGGGCAGTCCTCCCCCTGTGATATCACCGTCCCAGCCAAGCTCGGGCGGGTTTCTCGCGTCGCATGCGTTATCTCGTCCTCCAGCTACACATCTACTTACTCGGCCAATGACCCCTCAACCGCTCCGGACTGCTGTACCAGCTTCATTGCCACACTCCGGTCCTCCTCAGGCATCCCAGCCTTTCTCCAGTTCGTCGCAGCCGTTCTCCGGGAATGCTGCATCCCAACCCTCAGGATTCCCGGGTCTACCCACTTCCCGCCAGTTTTCAGATCTCTCAGGCTCTGTACCGTTCGCTCCCCAACCTCCGTCACGATCCTTCTCAGCTCTCCTAGAATCACCATCTTTTTCTAGCACACCTGCATCTCAGCAACCCTCAGACACTCCACAAGTATTATCTGGTCCTCCACTACCGGCTTCTCCGTATGGGGCTGCAGTCTGGTCCTCGCAGGCGCACCAGGTAATCTAAACTGGTAGGCGCGGTATCTGTTCTTCTACTTTGATTGTGGTTTATGCCATCCCATGTGGGATTCGCAACATTGTGGTTCAGTGATGTTGCCCAAGAACATCTTGTTTCATGCAGCCACCACCCAGAATGTATGGAATGTCACGCCATCCAACAAATCCGGCAAGTCAGTTGTCAAACACGATAGGCCAATTGCCTTCTTCTGGGTCACAAGGATCATCGCCGTTGATGATTGATCCGGATCAAATCCCGCAGCCAATGCCAAGCTCCTCAGCGATCCTGTTTGAGACAACTCCGGGAAGTTTGGCAAGCATTCCACCAGTAAGCTTTTAAGCTTGTTTTTAACTAAATCACAACATGGTGGTTACTTACTGTAGCCGCGCGGGAGAATAAATAGGAACAACTAATTTAAATTTAAAGTTAATGATATTTCCTACAAGTGAATGCATATTTTTTCATTGTGAAGCCTACATCGTCCGACTTTATTGTCAAGGACAAGGGAAACTGCAGTCCTCGTCTTATGAGGTGCACTGTTAATCAGGTGCATGGCTTCTGTATTGATTTCTCTTCATCTTTGTTACCGTCTTACAGAATTGATATACTGTTCAATCTTCTCTAGTTTATTTCATTTAAACTCCACTCTTAGTGCTTCGCAGTCATTTTCTCATATGATTTTCTTACGTCGATGCCACAGATTCCGTGCACTGGTGAAATTCGTTTGGGATCCAACATGCCACTGGCTTTGATAGTCCAACCTTTTGCTCTGTCTCATCCATCTGAGGAGCCCATCCAAGTAAAAAAAGAAAAAGCTGTTTTATATTTTATCTCCGCATTTCCCTGTTTTCTGTCTATTGTCCTGTGACTTACTTTTGCTTCATTTTCTATATTCATTCCCCCGCTAAAAAAATATAATATGACAACCTTGACAAGGTCCTGACTTTGAATGGACTCTGTATCATTTTTTTTAGGATTAAAAAACCATTGAAGTAACTTGTATGAACCATTTTTAAAAGTTTTATATTCAGATTATACGGCCTTGATGGAAAAAATCTTCTAACCCGTGTTCTTCTTGATGGTAGGAAACATCCGAATTCTTTAAATTGTCAGAATAGATGACCATTGTGACTGGCTATTGCCAGATATAACTCGAAACAATAAACACACAAATAAATTATCTACAAATGTTACACTGGTAATAATCCAGATTCTAAATGTGGGCTGAGAGTGCTTAGTTCCCACATAAAATTCACAGCATATAGCTACCCTGACAGAACCTCTCGATTTGTGTATTGGATTACAAATCCAAAGATGTTCGGATCTTGGAATAAGGAACTGGTGAGAAACACCGCTAAATTAGATAATTATGACACTGTACTGTTGATAATTGCACCTACCGGTCATCGTTGGTTATTTTTTATATTCATTTTTTATCAGATAGTGGCCTTGGCCAACAGCATCTCGTTTTTTATTTCCTCTTCAACTGTCTAATTATGAATTATCACTATTCCTCAACCTAAGATAAAGGTTGAAATAATTTTTGACCAACCTTCCTAGCTGGCTACTATGAGGGAAAGGGCCACTCATTACCCTGGAAAAAAGAAACAGAGATGAACGCATTTCTTCCTACAAGTTATAGTGGTGCAAAGCACATTCTTGCAAAAGTAAATTATAAATCGTCACTCTTCGTTTCATGGTCATAGATTGTGGATTTTGGAGAGAGTGGACCCCTCCGATGCTCACGCTGCAAAGGGTATATAAACCCTTTCATGAAGTTCATTGATCAAGGAAGGAGTTTCATCTGTAATTTATGTGGTACGCGTCATCAGACCCAGAGAGTTTCGCTTATTTTTTTCTTAATGTGTTGTGGATTCTGTCTCTAAAATGGGAAACTTATGATGTATTTAAAAATGATGCATTTTCGGATGGGTACTAGTACATATTTGTGTGAGGTATTGGTGCCATTCTTATATTTATTGTTCTTGGTATGTTTCACATTTTTAAATGGTTCTTCCTTTGTGTTGAAATATTGATATTATATTCCATTTTTTAAGATTTTTATAGCATAGATGATGAGTGAAATTCAATTTTCAATTAGGATGTCACTAGGCATGCTAGCCCGAAATCCTTCACTACCCTTTCATGAATTCGTATGTGTTAAGTCGTTTCTTATTCAGTTTTGATTGGCAGGATGTACCAATGAAACTCCTCGAGACTACTATTGTAATCTGGGACCAGATGGCAGGCGTCATGATGCTGATGAGAGGCCTGAGCTATGTAGAGGTTCAGTTGAATTTGTTGCAACTAAAGAATTCATGGTCAGTGAAAACAATGCCTTGTGCGTCATAGATAGTAAAATGCCTATAATATGGATTTAAAGGCTATGGCTTAGTTCTTAATACACAGGAATCAGTGTGAGATTGGGTTTATCCTCTAAATTCAACGTGATGATGAAGTACTGATATAAAATATATGATAAAAAAATGATGATACGAAAGTACTAATGAAAACTGAGGGAAATAAAAAATTTTATTTTGTATCCTTATATACTATTTTATTCCCTGGGAAACCTAAATTCAGGTTGGAATCATATTCTGCTGGCAACAACCAGGAACACTTGTGACAGGAATAAGTGTTCCCGTGTTTGCATTAATGTAATATAGTTCGTTCATGCATTCTCCACACTGCTTTTGGCTTTGCCCTTGTATCTATAACTTCTGGTTTTTTCCACATTTTCTTCCACTTGTAACTATTTTCCAATCACCGTCCTCTGATTTAGATTATTGTTAAGGGAATTGATTCGTTAGAGACCACCCGGTTAGGGAACCTCCAATGAGATGAACGAAATCTGGGAGGAACCTCGTTCTGGAAAAAAAATTAACTGTCCCTTTAAGTTTCAATACGTCATCTGATAAATCAGGATATCAGTTAGTCGGAACACTGTACAGTAGGATGCTTGGAAAGCCTGAAAAATATCTCCTTTGCTTTTAGATTGTGGTCTAGTCCCAAATTCACATGCTTCTGTCTATCCATATGTTGATCAAAATTCTATTTTTAAAATTAATCGATATTAGCTCAAATCATGTTGTTGTTCAAAACTTAGGCTATAGCTTGAATATATACTTCTGTCAAAATGCAGAGAGAAATCAGTTGGCTTAAACACCTTTCAGCGAGAATTTTTGTTATCACTTATATATGGAAATTCATTGAATTCATGGAATTGGAAAAATGGGAACACTTCTGTGTTATTAGATAAAAACATTTCCATTTTCTTGCTTTATTTGATGGACACGTATATTTGCAGGTCCGTGACCCAATGCCTGCAGTTTTCTTCTTCCTCATTGATGTATCAATGAATGCTGTTGAAACTGGTGCAGCTGCTGCAGCTTGTAGTGCAGTTAGTCAAGCCATTGCAGATCTTCCTGTAAGTTGGTTCTCATGCTCTTTTGAAACACAGGACTTCTGAAAATTTTCGCTTGGATTTTCTAGGCACCCTACTAACCCAGGTATTTTTAGGCTCGCTGATGAACATTGCTGATACCTATGGTTTTTTTTTTCTCCTTAATTCTCTCAACTTGAGAGTCGGTAGGTTTCAACTCTTTTCTGTCTTTCAAGATCTATCCTTCCAAATTTCTCCATGACCACTCTTGGTTAAGATCTTTATACGTCTTTTTATTTCTTAAAATAAAAATTAAAATATGATTTTTTACGATATTTTTTTGATTGAACAGCTCAAATATTTCGTGTTAGAATATTCGTTTTCAAGTCAACGTGGATTGATCCCTAAATCTTTTATGAATGGTCGTAAGTTGTCCAAACTTTGATTGTTCCTCGGTAAATAAAAGAAGAGAAAATTTGTAGATGGCTTATGATTGCTTGAACCTACTATGTGATCATTGAAGCCTCCTTGTAGTTCCCCTTCTCTGAAAACGAACCTCCCTTCAGGGAAAGAATTATCAGTATCTTATCGAGGGATGTATGTGCTTGGGAAAAACTTTTGGGTTGTTAATTATAGCGTTAAATGAAGAACTAATAAAAATTTATAAGACATTTTATACCGAATGGAGTTATATGTTTGACGAGGAGGGCACCATGATTTGAGACCAGATTTATCTTTTTAAATTAATATTAAACTTTATTTGATTACTCAGCATGGACATTGTTGGGAGGAGAATTGGAGCTTAAATTTAAACGAAGCACGAGGTACAGTATGATCTGAGAGTGTAAAAAATCGAAGGGCATGTGTGTCCCTGATAACAGTATGTTCTGATTATTGGATAGGTATAAATGTACGAATATAATAAATTCATGCCTCGGGCATACTCCGATGCCCAATCAGGTTACGCGGTCGTGTGTCTAAAAACTGACATGTGCCAAAAAAGAGAAGATCCTATTTAAATGTGTAAAAATGTGACGAATGGAAATAATATCCCACCATTTATATTTTCTTGAATATTTACTTTTGGGCTTGAATCCACTTCCCACACATAAAATGCGACATTTTCTGTTTGTATATTATACGCTTTATCGAATTTTTTTACTTGATTTGATGTTTTTTTCCTCTCTATAGGAAGGTCCGCAAACATTGGTTGGGATAGCAACATTCGACTCCACTATTCATTTCTACAACTTAAAAAGGAATGTACAACAGGTATTTTATCCTGGCTACAAAGTAGCTAATTTGTGGTCCCATTGTAAATATCAGGTTTTCAGTCAGATGAAATGGGTTTTAGAATGTACATTCATAGATTTCATCGTGTACTTTTATTCTGCAATGTAAATTAAACATGACCATTACATTTGTCATGAACAGTGGCCCAAGCCCTAGGAGGATATGCAGTGGAAAAATTCCTATTCACATCATTGATGGCTGTTATTAAGAACAACCAGGCCACAAAACAAGGAAAACATCTATCAACTAGAAAACCAACAAAATAGGTAGCGAACAAACAAACTAGTCAACGGTCCAACTAAGAACCGAACTCCTAAGTAGACGTTCTTTTCCACAAAATTGTCAATTTTGTTCAACGACGCTTCAGTTTGTTAGGAGTTTTTTTTTTTCTGATTAGTTATTTTCTTACTTGGAATAGCCTTTATTGATTTTTATTTCTTTTTTACTTTTTCTAGTATTCTGAAAAGCACTTCCTTTATTTGGCCTCTAGTACTATGACAGATATTTGATAGTTTTAAATCTCACCATACTTTTTTTACCACATAATAATGCTTATGGTTCAAAACTGAGAATATGTTATCTGGCTTCAGCCTGTTCATTTAGTGTACACTTTTTTCAAAATCAATGTTGAGGACCCTGTAATAAGTATAACTAATCCATATTACGTTTCTCATTCTGATTTCAGCCATTGATGCTCATTGTTCCGGATGTAGAAGACCTCTATACTCCTCTTCATTCTGAAATCATTGTTCAGCTTCCTGAGGTTGGGTATTTTGCAATATTGTTTCGCTTCTACGTAATATTGATGAACTTATGTTGCCATATTCAACTTTATTTACAAAATAAGTAACTAATATGTTTTTTTGAGAATGTAGTGCCGTCAGCGTTTGGAACAATTACTAGAGAACATTCCAACCGTTTTTGAGAAGAACAGAATAGCTGAATCTGCTTTTGGTGCCGCAATCAAGGTTATTCTTCGATCAAAAGTTTTCTAATAAAAACTTATTGGGAATTGACCACTTAGAAAGGCTAGCTTTATTATTTATTTTTGAGATTTGAACGCAGCAGGGGCACGCCTGGAGAATTTCTATTGATAACGAAAATGCCTGAAAGATGAGCCTTGATATCGAAAGACTTCTTTCTAATTTCCTTTTTCTGGGGACCTTTTCTTTGACTTATATTTCAGGCTTCTTTTCTTGCATTGAAGCCCACTGGTGGGAAGTTGCTTGTATTTCAGTCAGGTGAACACCATTGTTTCTTTTTCCCTTTTCCTCTACTTAGAACGTCGTACAGCTAAAGTATATAATTCCATTTATAAGTTTTTTACAGTTGGCAAATCATAGCCAATTCAGTAATTAAAAAAATTTACTTGCGATACAGTTTTTTCATTATACTCCGAAAGTGTGTTGATAATATCTTTATCGAAAAGTTTGATAATGATAAGCACAATAGGGAATATTTAAATGTAATACTGCTGGATGAAGATTTACATTGACTATGAACAAAAGTTAACCTACTTTTACTAGACACTGATTATGAACTCGTTGTTCCTTGTTAGTTTTTTACCACGTAAAGTTGAAGATATTCTCAAATTTTTAATTAGCTTGTCTTTAGGTTTATTGATATATTGCTCTCAACTTGTCTTCTCCTACTGTAAAAGTGCCTTCAAACGAAGAGAGAAAGGCATAACACCAAGAAAACCTTATGTGTCGTGAAAGAGAAGAGAAGAGAAGACGCCCCAAAAAGCTTAGGATGAACTGTGGAGAGAATCTCTATCTACTCCTCGCATTCGTCCTAAAGATATTCGAAACTTAATAAACTAGTTGGCCCAAACAGAATGGGAGATGTAATCAGCCCAGATATAGAAATCACTACCATCTCTACCAAGTATCTTTTGCATCTGAAGATCCAGCTGTCCATGTATTACAAGAGCCCCAAAAACTAGCCTTGTGATATCCATTTTGATGTGTTAGAGAGAAGAGAAAAGCAACTGAATAGTGCACCCATCTTGCTCTACTTATCCATATGCAGCAATGCTGCGACTTTGGGATTATTATGGCAGCAGTGCAGAAGTAGCTGTTAAGCCATGGTTCAGCATAGATTCTCAAGAAGGCATTGTTAACATCGATCTACACTTTATGGACAACTTCCATCCAGCTGCGTGCCAGTTCACAAAGACCTTGTCCTTTTTATGCTAGGTGTTTTCGTGTTTGCGTGTATCATATATAATTTCAAATAGATCGTGTCTTGTCCATAATATTAGATATAGGACGTCCATGTTGTTGAGGGCTGAACCACTTAGGTGAAATGAATTTTGATATTTGAACATGTACAACCATTCATGCAAATTTTACAATGATGTAAAGGTTTTGCAGATTCCAAGTTCTAAATTTGATTTTCCATCGTCTGTCCATCTTGTCTTAAGATAGTTGAATCAAGCATCGGAATTTTCTTATTGCTATGTTTTTATCTTCCAGTCTTGCCATCAGTTGGAATAGGATCTCTTGCTGTTAGAGAAGCTGAAGGAAGGGCAAACGTCTCTTCAAGTAACAACGTATGTTGCATTGTTGAAAACTATTTTATTTTATTAATTCTGTCTCGCAAAAATTTTCTTTTTCGAATTCTGTCTACTTTCATTATTTATTGAACTGGGTACTCGTTTGGGTCTAGTTACTGCTCTCTTTTTTATATCATTTTCATATCAACCGTTATAACTATGTCGAGCATCACCCTCGCCTTCCAACCGAAATCTGATTGCGCAGATCATACCCAGTGTAAGCCTGTCTTCCGACGTCCATGTGAAATCCCATGCATAATCTCTCTCTCTCTCTCTCTCCCTCCCTCTCTCTCCCTCTCTCGCTCCTGTACATTGAGGAAAGACAAATACTGGCAAGAAGTCAGGTAAATAGAAGAGTATGAATTTTTTTTGAAAAAAAATAAGTGAAGGGTGAATCCTAGAGATAGCTCAAAAACAAGAGAATTATCAATGCAGAAATGAGGATCTTCCCAATTTCTTATAGAAACTTCTCATGTACCCATGATTGAAGTATTTTACTGATATTCTCTTCTAACGCCCAACTGAATGCAGCTTCATCATTCTCATAGTGTATATTAGAATTTTCAGGCTTCCCAGAGGTTGCTCCAACCAATAGACGATACTCTAAAAGTTATGGCACAAGAGCTTGCAGAATTTCAGGTGAGATATTTGAATTATTATCGAAGTAGATGCTCATTTTTTGCCTCTCATTTGGCATCATTTTTTGTCCATAAAGTGGTCCATAGTTTATCTCTCTCTGACATGCTTTCAGGTTTGCGTGGATATTTTCGTTACGACCCAAACGTATATAGACATTGCTTCCATCTCGGTTATCCCACGGACTACAGGTGGAAAGGTAGCATTGAGATTTCTTTTCACTATAACTTGATTAGTACACTCAAGCTCTTCCTGGGCCATATTCTGTCTTCCCTTTCTGTTCAATTTCAGCCGTGTAGTTTTTACAGGATATTATTTTATATCCAATACATCATTTCATCCATTCCTTCTGCAACTAGGATTTCACCAGTCTGACGATCAATATTCTTCCCTTCCATATTGATCGCCAGAGAGTTTTTTAGATCAGGTAGCTGAAATTTTAGTTAAATTTAATTTATTTACGTGCCTAATTTCCAGAAATGACTCTCGGCAGGTAAAAAAATGTCACATTAACCTTAAAGAAGCAAGCGAAAACGATTTTATCTTTCACGATTTGTAATCCATATATTCTGAATATCTTTCTTTTCCATCCAGTTTTCTTTCTTTATGCAATGTCACTGATATCACAATTTACACAAATCAAGACGTTAAACTGAGTATTCTGTCCTTTCATCCAATTTTTCTTCTTTATGCAGTATTACTGGAATCATGCTTGTTTTTGTAGGTGTATCAATACTATCCATTTTCTGCTCTTTCGGATTCTGTGAAGCTTTATAATGATCTTAGGTGGAACATCACTAGGCCTCAAGGTTTTGAGGGTGTAATGCGTGTAAGATGCAGCCAGGTAACGTGTCTCGTCTTCTTTACTTACTATTACCATTGCACATTTCATCACCCATTTTCTGGGTCTTGAAAGTCCGTGTACTCATTCACCATATTTCGTGTAGGGACTTCAAGTTCAGGAGTATTATGGAAACTTTTGTAAGCGTAATCCTGTCGATATTGATCTACCTGCGGTGCGTCCTGCATGATAAAATCTCTTTCTCAATTTGTGTTTTAGTAGTGATATTGATATCTATGAAGTTTTTTGATCGACTATCTACAATGATGCTTCCCAAAATGTCTGTATTTTTCGAACAAAGGTGGAAATCTTTTAAATTTCTGTAATATCAGGGTACCCTTTTCCATTGTTGAGGCAATCCTCCCAGGCACTTGAGTGACTCTAAAAACACATCATGGAAATGATAGTCTATTTTCTATACGGTTGTCAACTTTGTTTTATTTTCTTATAGAACTTTGGAAAATTGCAGATAGACTGCGATAAATCGATTCTAGTCACTTTCAAGCACGATGGCAGGTTACAAGAGGGCACTGAGTGTTCTTTTCAGGTACATCTTTTCAAGTACTGAGTGTTCTTGATGGATATTTTTTCCTTCTTTGTCTAATTGAATTCTTTTTATTTTGATTTGTAGTGTGCACTTCTCTACACGACTGTTTATGGCCAAAGAAGAATTCGAGTTATCAATCTATCACTTCCCTGCACTAAACTGCTCAGCGATCTGTTTCGTTCACCTGATCTGGACACTCTATTTGCATGCTTCCTGAAGCAAGGTGCAGTCCATTTTTATGCATTGTTATGCGCCATTTTGCCTTTTTCTTGTGCATCTTTCCATTTTCTATGAAGCATCTTACTCATTTAAACGTTGTCCTGTTCTTCCATTTAGCTGCAAATGGAATCCCGAGCAGCTCGCTTTCTAAGGTTCGAGAGCAGATGACTAATTTTTGTATCAACATCTTATATTCTTATCGAAAGTTTTGTGCGGCTGTGCCGTCATCCGGACAGTTGATTCTCCCTGAAGCCCTCAAACTTTTGCCTTTATATACACTAGGTACGCCCTCCTTCCCTTGCATTTCTATTTATTTTTCAACAAATGTGTCACATTAACATATGTTGAACTGCTGAGATTTGTTTCTGAATCAGTTTGCTTTGTAAAATATTGGAGCGAAATTTGTTTCTGAATCTTCATCTGCTTTGTAAAATATGGGAGCGAAAATTCATGCTTCATCTGTTGGAGTAAAATTCTTGTCATTGAGCTCATCTTCCCTTAAATAAAGATCAATGGGTACGAAATACAGTGAAAGATTGGCATCTCTAGGCTGGAATTGTCAAATTTCTATTGGCAGGGTAGAACTAGCGGTCAGTTTAGGAACTTGATCAAATTTAATGGTAGTATATGTTTTTCCAATGGCATTCAAAAAAAAAAAAATGTGAAAAATGATAAATACTTAGAACATGAAATCCTTTAAAAGCTCGGATGAATACTCTGAAAGTGGTCGTTGCGTGTGAAATCATACTCTGAGCTACCGTTGAATTGCATTTTCTCTCACTGAGAGGCAGGATTCACAAAAGGCTGCGAGACTTGAGGTTTACTGCTAGTGTCGAGAGATGCAGATTTATTTATGAGATATATTCTCCACTTTTTTATTTTCTATTTATCTTTCCGTTCCCTGCCTCCAGCACTCATAAAAAGCATCGGATTGCGGACTGAAGGGCGATCAGATGACCGGTCATATTGGATAAATCATGCTGCATCTCTCTCTATAGCGTTGACCATTCCCCTCGTGTATCCTAGAATGCTGGCTGTTCTTGATCTTGCATCAAAGGTATATGAAAACCTCCCTGAGAGGGTTCCAAGATAGGGAGCTATTGTCATTGCAATTAAGCGAAAAAAATAAAATATAATCATGTTTTAATTCTTCAGGAACATGGTGGATCCATCATCCCCTCTCCGATTCCCCTCTCCAGTGCTCATATTACCGATGATGGAATCTACCTCCTGGAAAATGGGGAAGATGCTTTGATCTACGTCGGAAATACAGTGAACCCAGATATATTACAACAAGTATTTGGATCCCACTCCATCGACCATATCCCAATGCCGGTAAAAATTTATGGGCCCCTTTTATTTCTCCCCTACCATCAGCTCCTCTGCATTTCTAGTTTATATTTACTGAGATCAAACTATCATATATATGCTGCATGTATGTACCTTTCTAATCTCCAAGATTTACTTCTGTCAATCTTGCTGGTTGGGTATGCTGGAGAATGGCAGATTTCCCTTTCACTAGATGATCTCTCAAGAACGGTCGTGAATCTGCCTTCCTAGGTGTCGTTACCTGATTGGCTGGTGCTTTAATTAATCATAGAAGATATGCTTTCTCCTTCATGTGTTTAAAAGTATCTCACACTTTGTAGTGGATTAGATCCTGTAGATGAATGGCACCAAAGAGCTGAAATGTTTTTAGATGAAATAAATTATTTTCGAGTGGAAATATTTATCATGAAACTGTTCACTTGGGTTGTTCAGAAATGTTCACAACCCTGATTTAGAGTTTCTGATTTGAATGAATCAACGGGTGAAAATATAGAATGAGAAAATTAATATCGGTGTTGTGCTCCAATCTTCTGCAGTTTACACTACAGAAGTATGACAACGATCTATCTAAGAGACTGAATGATGTTGTCGATGAGATACGACGCCAGAGAAGTTCTTATCTACGGTATCTTCTTCTCTCCGATGCTAAAACTAAAGAGTTTCTTCGAGGTCTTCATACTGCTTAAAGCAGCTGCCCTCGACTTGACTGACTTCTCATTTTTCCTTCCTCTCTACAGCATGCAGCTATGTAGAAAAGGAGATCCCTCAGGTCGGTCCTCTCTCTTTCTCTCTTTCTTTCTCTCTCTCTCTCTTCTCTCTCTATGAGAGAGAGAGGGAGATATTTTCATCGATTGAGCATTTGGTGGGTTAAACTACCTATGAATTCCATTTTTGTTATGCTAAAGTTGACACAAAATAACAAAACTGGTTTATCTTAGCAACTTACAGCGTCATATTAGACTCCATGAACCAGATATCTCCTTAAAGACATTATAAAATGCAGGTGCACTGTTCTTCTCATACCTGATCGAAGAGAAGACCCCCGAGGGCCTTTCCTACGTGGAGTTCCTCGTCCACATTCATCAGCAAATCCAAACTAAAATGGCCTGAGATCCCTCACACCCAATGTTCGATCAGCATAAAAAGGATCAGATTTTCATGGGTAGATGATCAGAATCAAATGGACAAGACATCGACGGCGGGATGAACAGCCCTGCATCTTCACTCACTTGTACATCAGAATGTAACCTATGTTTCTTCTGACTGCAATTCATTTGTGCCTAGATGATTGTAATAATAATAATAATAATAATAATAATAATAATAACTCGAGGATGGATTCATATGGGTTGGTAGCCGAGACCACCTCCCCCCATTTTGCCGCCTCATGACATTTCTCAGGGAATCTAATCCCATCTTAATCTTCTGCTTACTGAAATCATTGCTTGGCAGGCAGGTGATGGGCTAACTGATTCACAATTCAGCAGCGCAGAGCAATTCATTACTTCTGTCCAAGAACATTGAATGGGCAAGTCCACAGCTCCTAATAAGAATTCCATGAATGTGGGGATCAAATCCAATATGCACAGAGAGCTGTTCGTGCTCTTGGACCCAGATGAAGATAGGAAAACTAACAGGCTTCTCTTTTTCTTAATGCGAATTGAAAGCAGGGTAGAACCAGTTTGATCAATTTAATCAATCCCATCTGAAAAACCCGACTCAGCTGCCTGTTGGGGCAACTCAAAGCAAGATGAACCGACCAAGATATTGTTTGAAAAGTGGATAAATATGCAAATAACGCTTTAAAAATGAATAAAACCATATGCCACTATGAGTATGATCAGCTCGCAAGACCAATCATCTACGTCAACATATATATTCTGCATTATAAAATTATACAGAGGATTCACATACAACATTGTTTGGAAGAGGAGAGAAATATATTTTCGTTAAGCGTCAAAATTACATAAAGTTATATACAACTATGAGCACAATCAGTTCTCAAAACATCCCATATACAAGACCAATATAATCTACAGCAAGATACTTACAGACTATATGTAACTGCACTGTAAACTCGCGTCTCCCAAAACTGTAGAACCACCTCCTTCCGGGGGGATTTCTCCTTCTGTGGGACCCGTAGTCCCCATTCTCCCACACCTGAAGATAAAAAGGCCTCTCAACTGAACTCCATGAAATGAAGACTTACCCTTGACGCAAGGTCCTCTAGACTATCTCTTTCAATGTGATCTACTTTTCTTCAGGCTGTTCGAGTCTCTGGAGGAGGGCCTTCTTTTCCTCCTCTGGTAATGCATTGAACATGAATACAGATTTGTCGCCAATGTCATCCTGAAGTGAAAGCAATGCCAACATAAAGAACGATTTAAGACTTAGGCGGGCTGGCCTGGCCAACAGTCTTCCACGTTCACAGAAAGAAAGAAAATATCTTAGCCAAGAAAATGGGAAACTATTTTAAAGTATTTTTTTTACTAAGGAGCAGTTTCAGCCGATCTAATTTTTCACTTTTCTAGAAAAAATTGAAGGAAATTGAGGCGCATAATTTTCTCAATCCCAAATTTAAGAAAAAAAGCACTTATTTGAGCGACATTCCTGCACATGATGGAGCATGTCGTCATCATCGTCAGCTTTTTCAAGCGCCCACGTGGAGATACCACAACACATTAATTAAGGTAAAATTTTGGACTAGGGCAGTAAATCATTTTGGGAAGTACCTTAATCGGCTGAGTAAACTTTCTTGCTGCAAAAACCACAAAGAGGGCCATCCACACACCCATGAGACCGAGCTTCACTTCCCCGTCCATCAAGTTCGTCTGCACAGTGAATAAATTATTGGGAAAATACAGCGAGATGAATGTTAAGGTAGTAAGAAAAGATACTAACGGTTCATTCACCACTATCAGCAGTGATAATAATTTATTAGCATTGAAACTATTCAGATCAGGGGTACCAATTATACTAGCACGATTCTTCCAGGAGAATATGATACTAATAGCTCCAAGACGCATACCAGGTGGCCAAGGAGGAGTGTAGGAATGACAAACGTCAAGAGACCAGCTTCCAACTTTCCATAGCAAAGACCTACAGCAAGTGCATGAGCATTAGGAGGGATTAGGACTGAGAGAAATGAATCCCTTGCAGAAGAATACAACTTTTTAAAGAGTGATTTATGACAGCAAAGCCGTTCTGTAATTTAGGGCAGAAAGCTTAAGTCCATAAGTCAGACTGGGCATGGTCCCTTACACCCTTTTATTAGACCACACGTTGGAACAGATCCAAACAAATTCAGTAAAACATTCAGCTTTGGGTACAAGGTACAAGCTGAATTCCCTAATCTACAATGCACAAAAAAGGCCATATCTAAGCACCTTAGAAGTATCCAATCCTAAAACAGAATAAGCTTGCATGATAGAAGGAGAGAATTCCCAAGAGCCATTTAAACCCACAATATTCCGTGGACAGTATCCGTCTAGAAAATTATAAAAGACGCATGTTGAGCTTCCTTCACCGTTCCAAAGCATGATAAACAATGTTTAGGTCAAATTTTCAGCCTTTCTTCCTGATTATGATAATAGTTTGGACCAGCATGGCAACAATGACGGATGCAACCATGTTCTCTTTTTCAGAATTATTTTGCTGAACAGAATAATCAGTTTGAAAGCAAGATAAAACTGAAAAGGAACATACAAGAACCAAGAAAAGTAAATTCAGTTTTTTTTCCACCCAGAAAAATGGAGGGAATATAATACTAACATACAGAGCACCATCACGGGAAAAGAACTGAGAGCCAATGAAGAAAAAAAAAGATTCCTTAAATTCTAATACAAGCATTCTGCATTAAAGCGGTCGAGGAAAGCATGTAGAGAGGTTCTTGGGGGAACATAGTCACTTGTCAGCATACCTTCTTTGAAAACGAGCCCAGTCAGTGATGCAAAAAGGGGGCCAACGAGCCATACAGCCCCTGGGTTGTTAACCACATACTCAATCAAGCTTTCACTCTCAGGCTGAGCAAGAGAAAGGTACGTCCCAAGGGATCCAAGAACACCTACGGCCCACAACAACTGAAGGAAGCGTTTAATGGGGGTCACGTATATGTGAATTAGAAACAATGAAAGGCCTAGCCCCCCAGCTCCAGTAGCATATAGCAAGTCCACATTGCTACGGATGACATCCTTCAAGAAAGACACCTCTGGTAGATAAGCAGAGGAAGCAGCTACCACAAACGATGCAGCCGCAGTTACCAGACCCGTCCTGTAGAGGATCACCTGCAAGAAGCGTATCAGAGGCTGGATTAACACAAGGGCCAAGAGAGTAAATTAACCGCGTCCAATAACATCAATTAGTGCTCCTAATGTAGCTGAGTGAGATATTAAGTTAAAGAACAGTTACACTCTAGTCTACTGATGAAACAAACATGTCTTGCTTGGCATGAGAGAGAGAGGCAGTGAGCAATGTGAAACTTGACGAGCCAGGAACCAACAGGGAGGAGCCGATATGAAATCTCAAACAGCAACCATGTTGGAAACCTAAGCTATCGTCTGTCGGATATTTTCGAAACCAGCAGCAATTTCTGTCCCATTGCATGAGGATCAAGGATTCCAAGCGGAAGATGACACAGATTTCAATCCCATTGCATGAGGATCACGGTGATTGCAACGTTGATTGTTTTTTTTTTTTTTTTGATGCTCTAACACTTATTTACGGTAACTTTGTTCCAGAAAAATTAAAACGGTCAGATTCCATGGAGTCCCGACTGTGTTGAGAAATCCTAAAATGGGGCAAGGAGTGATCGCGGATGATGAAGTTTTGATCATGACGAGTAAACTTCGGGAATCCATGCCAAAGAGAGGTCTGTCTGTCTATCAATGCACACAATTATTCATGAAGTATTTTAGAGCGTCTGCGTACTTTTTTGAGATGAGTAAGATATATTCAAAGCCGGAATTAATTTCAACGCCCGTAGGCAAAGCATTTTCGACGACAAGATAATCGTAAAATATTACTTCAAGCTCCTATGTAGAACGATCAAACGTTCGCCATTATTCGAGGCTGTTCACGGGAACGAAAGCGACCACGTCCATTTCAAGTTGATATGAAGAAACAAGATGATTCCAGATAGAAGAAACATTAAATAGAGAAACCACAGCGCGACTAACATCACAAGTGGCAGCAGCAGACAATTACCTCAAGAACGTCCGACGAATCCACCGTCCACGGCCCGTAAACCCCCTGATAAACCGTCGGATCGAAGGTGTCCGATGAATCCCCTCCCACGGCTCTGCACTTGAGAGACCCCGTCCGGCGTGGAGCCTCATAACTCGAAGGCGAAGCGGGAGAGAACACAGAAGCAGACGAAGACGTGGAGTAACGCCCAGAGAAGGCTCTGTTGAGTGAGTAAGAGAAGCCAGAAGGGGAGAACGAGGGAGCAGACGCGGGGATTCTCACAGCAGAAGGTACAGCACCTCGGCTACTCCTGTGTCGGCGATGGATTGGCGCGGGATGTGTAGAGGACAAGGCGAGAACCCCCATCTCAGCCTGCCCTCTCTCTGTCTTCTGTATCTCTCTCTCTCTCTCTCTCTCGTGCCCGTTAATTATCCATTCGCTCTCATCCACAGAAGATTTTATAAGCCCCCCCCCCCGGTCCGGTTCGGTCCATGTTCGGTCCGATCCGGTCCAGGTCCGGCCGAGAACTCCCATTGGCCTCAGTTCAGCCCCCAGTACATTTTTACATTCTTAATGGATATATTCACTCGTCTGATAAAACAAGGTGGTGGCCCAATATGGTCCTCAAACTTCTCAAGCCCACTCTTGGTCCATAAAGCCCGACCCAATAGGCGTGGGTCTGAGGCCATTATTCTTTCAGTGAGAGAGAGAGAGAGTCCTGTAATGTATGGTCGGTCATATGGCAGCCACGTGACAATAACGACAAAAGCCACTACGGGTTCCGGGCTTAGTCAGACGCGGCCCGGAAAGAGTACTGATCCGGAAAAATATCGGGCCGGCCCGTTCAGGAGCCATACGGGATGGACTACGTGTCTACTGGCATCTACCGCACAAAGACATATTCTAAAAAAGTGTCGTGCTAGCGAAGCATAAAAATTTATTAATTTACCACTTGCCATTAACATCACAACGAACCATTTATTATTCCCTCACAGGCAGCCGCGTAGATATCATTGAATAATATAAATAATTAAATAAATGAAGGGCATCGACACGTACCCCCCTCCCTTTCCTATTTTGTCAAAGACGGCATCTTTCTGGTCCACGGCAAGAACCCTTTGGAGGGGCCCTTGACTTGTCCTCCACAAATATCAGGCGATTGACCATTTTAACCTTGACTAGACGTGTGCTCCTGAGATATGAAAACAGGTCAATAACGTAATTGGATAATGACGATATTATTATTAAAGCCTCAATTAAATGGTTTTGGCGTGTATATTGGCTCGGCATCATCAAAATGCAGTATTTGGGGTGCTTTAGGAGGGGCACCGCTGCATCCCCTGCCCACTTCTCCACCTGCGCTCTTTCTTTAAACGTTGAGCGAGAGTGAGAGAGAGAGAGAAAGAGAGAGTGGTGTAGAGAGGGGCGTCGCTTGTAGTTTAACGCGAAAAGAGGCGTGATTAGTTGCCGAAAGGAGAGAGAACCCACCCCATGGCTAAAATCTTTACACCTAGACTGGTTCGATCGAGCGAGGGCATCAGACCTACATCATCGTCATCATCTTCTTCTCTCTTTCTTTCTCCCTCTATCCCTCTCCTCGTGTCTTTCTCTCTCTATGATTTATAGAGCGAGTGTTACCCCTGCGCCATAAAGCCTTCCATCAAGCCCATCCCTCTACTCTCCACTCGTCTTTATATCTCTGTCTCTCAGAGACCGCACTCTCTCCTCTCTCTCTCTCTTCTTCACTCAGCCGGGGCTCTCTTCCCGATCTCCTGCTCCGATCGTGAGGGATCTGCCGCAGGTTTTGCATGGGCGTCGAGGAGGTGACGGAGTAGCAGAAGGTGGATCGAAGGCATGGGAAGAGGCCTCTTTCTCCCCACCAGCCGGAAGCGAAGGAAGAGGACCACGCCGACCCCGACTTGACGGCCATGGTCTCCGCCCTAACCCAGGTCATCGGCACGACCCACGAGGGAACTCCAACTGCGCACCCTGGCATCGCCCGCCGGAACCCTAATCCACCTGCGGCGGCGCCCCCCTCCGCGCAGCCGGAGGAACAAGGTATTGGCCGTTATCAGAGTTTCATCTATCATCTCTGAAAAAGGGTGTGTCTCGTGGCTCATTCGCGGGGCAACCCCAGATCTGAAGTTAATTCCTTCTGCAAGTAGTTCGACGGTATAGTGATGGAATCGAAACTCTCGAGGATGATTAGGAACACGCCATAGATAGAGCAGCATAATCGGCAAGAAAAAGCATAACCCATTATTCGTATCTCACACTGGATGGTGCAATCTCCCTCTCTCCCTCTTTCTTTCTTTTTCAAGGGAGTAGTGTGAGAAGGAAGCACTATAGGGGAGTGCGGCAGAGGCCATGGGGGAAATGGGCTGCGGAGATAAGGGATCCGAAGAAGGCCGCCCGCGTCTGGCTCGGCACCTTCGACACGGCCGAGGGCGCCGCCGCCGCCTACGACGAGGCCGCGCTGAGGTTCAAAGGCTCCAAAGCGAAGCTCAACTTCCCCCATCGAGTCCAAGAACAGACGACCGATCCCAGCCTCCGAGTCGCCCCCCGGGTGCCTCCACCACCTTCCTACCCGGATCTTCTCCAGTACGCCCAGCTGCTCCGCGGTGGCGACGAGGAGCTGCAAAATGTGGCCTCCAATATCTACGCCCCCGGCTTCTTCACCGCGGGCTCACCCTCGGCATATTCCGGCGCATCTTCCCTGTCGTTCCCCGGCATCCCTCCCTTCGGAAGCGCCTCCTCAAGCGCCGACGACCCACAGCAACAAACGGAGAAGAAGTAGAAGGGGCGGTCCGAACTGGTGCAAGCAGGTGAGGAAGATCGTCCCACCCGACGATTCCCTTCCTTCGAGTCAAAGAAGAAGAAGGAAGACTTTCATTCGTGTAAGATTGGTCGGCGGAGGCCTTGTTCATCTTCTCGTCGGTCTGAGGAAACCCTTTTTTCCGAAGGACAGGAAGATAACGGCGGTGACGGCGAGCGGGGAGGCGCACCACCGGCAGCCTCCGATTTGTATATTACCGACAGCGAGAGTTACATTGCTTCACGACTGTTCTTGCTCCTTTTTATTATGGACCCGCCCCTCGATTCTATCCAAAACTTTTACTCCGCATGCTTTCTTCTTCCTCCCTCTCCCCATACCAGCTTGACGCCAAGATTTGACCACGTCTGAGATAGAGATCGCCGGGACGGTGGAGGGGTAGAGCGGCCTGGGCCCACATGTTTGACTGGATCCGCTCTGGACGACTGGTTCAGGGTCAAAGTTTCTGACGTGGACGGTTCCGTCGCGCTAGCATGACGCGCCTCACCAACCCATGCAGTGGACGTTTAGAGCTTCCGTGTTGGATCCAGATCCGACCCGAATTTTCTCCGACAGTAGATATTTTTTTTCTTAGCCGGGTCCCTGAGGGAGACCTACTCATCACACGGTGAGGAGTAGTAGCCCTCAAAGATGCAAGCGTCCCATTGAATATCGGACAGCTAGAGAGATGAGGTGGAAGGAATTCGTTTTTCTTTTGTTCAATGTCAACGGGAGTAGCCGATTCGTGGGGCCGGAAGATGACCTCCTTATCACCCATTACTTTGGACCACTCTCTATTGGTCCAGCTGTCATTTTGGGAATGATTAATATTGCCACGCCAGTTAAGCCGATGTATTCGGAAGTCGAGTCATCCCGCCCCTTCCGATTCCCTCCCCTCTTCCGCAACTTTTCTTCTTCTTCTCCGTCCGAATCTCTCTCTATCCCTGGCTCGCTCGATCTGAATCTAATCTATCGTTCGATTTCTCTATCAATGTCGGCAATGGTGTCCGATAATCTCCGTGTCGGTCATCGGAAGCAGGTTCATTGCTTCATCTGCCGAAGTCAATGAGGAGAAGCAGCGCCTAGGGTTCGCGGCAAGGTAGAACACGATCATCACAACGAAGTTCACCGAATCATCTCGTTTCTCCGAGGTTTCACATTCTCCAAGATGAGTACGAATCCGTCGTATTTTAAGTTAATCGCCCCTATATCTTCATCTGCAGGCTTCAATGTCTCTCTGCTGCTCCCAGTCAATGGCGATGGCGTTGAGAGGGAATACTCCTGGCAGCGGCGCCGACGGCGATAAGATCGTCCAGTTTATATCAGCAAAAGAATACAAAAAAGATCGACAGAAGGCGGGGACCGCCAGCCAGAGAAAATCTGCTGTGCGCAATACAGATGCGGGCCCTCCCAGCCATCCGCTGCGATCTCGGAATCCCGCCGGCAGAGCAAGACTGGCCGCGGCATACGACGCCTGAGAACCAATATTCCTCTTCCGCGCATAAAAAATTGTGAGTCTCCTCCCCCGCTCTTGCGTCAACCTTTGCGGCTGTTACTGTCCCTTGCGTGTTAATCCACTGAACTGATCACAGGTCGCGCCGGCCGACCGCAGTGCGCAGGCGAGCTTTTTTAACGAGGAAAAAGGGGGGAGAAGATGCCCTCGAATCTCCGATCCCCATAGATTTGATTGCCAGACGATGAGAAGAACAAGAATGTATATATCGATTTTCCATGGCATGCAAGCATCATCCAACTTTTTTATTTTTTATTTTTTACTGTATAATGCCTCAATTTGATAACGAGAAGGTTATCGCATCTTCAACTTCTTCTTTTTTCTCTTCCTTGATTACTTTCTTCATTCCAGTCGCCAGATTGTTCTTCCTCTCCCTGTGGTGGAGTGAAGAATTTCTCGCCTCAGATCCACTTTCCCGTGCTGATGTCGTCTGATTCTCGTTTGTCGTTGTTCGGGACCAGTCTTAGGCCGATTCGGAAAAGTGGGCCGTAGATGGGCCCAGCCCCTAAAATAGGCTCAAAGGGGCCCGTCGTTTTTCGAATGGGCTGAAACACTGCCTGGAAGTCTTGGGTGCTTCACCCCCCAATGGAGGTCCGGCGGAGCATCAGAACCTTTTCAACCGTCTTCCCGCGTCCTATAAAATCCGGCGATCGTCTTGCTGGGGCTTTCCCTGTGAAGGAGCAGGGGCAGGCTGGAGCGGGATGGCGTATGTGTTTCTTCTTCATCATCTTTCTGCATCTCCTTCGAACCTGTAGGCTGTGTGCTACTGAATCTAGCGTTGCTGAAACAGGGAGAGAAAGAGAGAGGAAGGGAGAACCCTTCCTGTGTCAGCTCCAGCGCCTGGACGAGGGAAAGGTCTGATGTTGTTCCATTCGAAAGAAGAAATCGATGAGAAGGATTTATCCGACGTCTCGACATTGAGCCCCGACAACTCTCCACCGAACTCGACCCCGACCGTCTCTTCCTGGGAAGAGCGGTGGGATGTCAAAAGCGAGGATGTCGACTTCGATATCGATACAGAGGTGACTGGGAAATTTCCCCTCGTCGAAGATGAGGCAAGGTACTCAGAGCTTCTTGTTCCATCATCGAGCCCGACTGTCTCTCCCTGGGAAGATCGAGGGGATGTCAAAGGCCTGTACATCGAGTATCAACACTTTGATATCGATCCAGAGACTATGAAATTTCCCCTCGTCGGAGATAAGGCAAGATCCTCACAGCCACTTGCACCGATCTTGATTTCTTCCGCTGCTCGCCGCGCATATTTCTCCGCTCTGACGCTCGTTAGGATTCTAGTACTGGACAAGTTTACTGGCTTTCTTCCCTTCTTCCAGCTCTCGCCTCCTGGTGACAGTCAATGCCCCTGGACTGTATCTGTGAGATATCGATTTGTCGTAATCGGATGCATTCGTATCTATCGGCTTCCCGTTTATTTCATTTCCTGTTTGCCTGAGTTTTCCTTTTGGTGTTACCTTTGGTCTTTCTGATTTCGGTTGACGTTACGTTTGGCACGGATACGTGGCCCGTTAGGAATTATTGTTCCCTTTCACATTTTCATTTTAATCTCGTCTATATTTTTCTTAATTTTTTATTCTGTGAGAACGGTGGCATCACTTGTCACTGATCAATGTGTTTCGCTGTTGAGATTGGTTTGATATTCAAGATGTGGATACACGGTGTCCATCTCTCTCTAATCAGCAGATACAACTTTCCCTTAGCTCCAAGCGATACTTTCCATTCTGAAAAATGGTATCTAAATCTCAAACATCATGGAGACAGAATCAAGAAGAGTGTCAATTAGCTCATCGGATGTGCCATTGGTATCATTGCAATAAATGACATCAATGAAAGAGTTAATCCTCTCGTGCGAATTCAGTCTTTGAGATTTCAGTACTGATTTCTAGGTTCGTGCAATAGGACGTCTAGTTTCTAATGAAAGACATATTTAGTATTGCTTTCTATGTTTGTCTTCTAAGTCCAAGGATGTTGAGATTAGATAAAGAATTCTTCTGAACTGTCTTCGTACTAGCTTAAAGGTTCACTGGTCTTCTGTTCATTCCGGCGAATCTCATAGAGAAACTTTGATTTTGGAGATAAAAATTGAACGCAAAAAGGTTGAACTAAAGAAAAAGGTTAACAACTCATTAATTTAGTATGACTTAAATAGGAGGTTACATAAATGTCAAAATGTCAAGTTCCTGCCGAAGAAGAAAACTTAATTTTATGAAGACTTCTTTAAAAATATTAATTTGTTTCGATATTTACGCAGTTCATTGAGATTTTTATTTTTTTTCAGTCGATAGGCCAAAACATTGAAATTGAATGGCATCACTGCTTAGGGCAGGGCAGAACAGACTGGGGATCTAAAGACAAACAAACTGTCAACTTGAACACAAGAACATTAATTAACACCTCAAAGGGAAAATTTGTTCTGGGCGAATATATTGACAATGAGCCAACTGAAGAGGCAAGGGTCACAAGACTGTGTTCCAGCGAATATATTGACACCTATGCGACTAATTTAAATCTACTCATAATAAGTTATTTTTGTTAGTTTTTATTTTCATTTATTCAGTTAGATAGAATACCTTATTACATTTTATAGTTGTTTACTATTAAACAACATCCATTATATTTAGACTCACTAAATTGGGCAACGGTGCAAACACAGACCAACAGCATTCCCTCTTTAGCAGAATGCTTACAATCCTAAAAGGAGATTAAACATGACGGGGGTATTACATTCCCACTGCATATATTCAGCTGTATCATAGATGTTAGAACTTTGCTGTTTTAAATATTGATATATGTTCTTGGCATTCATCAAATCGACCCTTTATTCTAGTCTACTTTCACCGCATCTACTGTTTTTCGTTAGTCTATTGATTTCATATCGACATTTCATGGAAAAGTAAGAACTTTTGGTGCCGCAGGAACCACTGTCTACCTTGATAGATGAATACCAATCAGGTAGCGTCGTCTTCTTAGAAAAGATCAAGGTTTGTGGAATTTTTAGGCAAAGAAATAATTCCCACTTTTTTTTTTTTCAATTCCTGATTACAGGTGTTCACTTCAGGTATCATATTTCTTTTCTAATCCCCCTCATTGTTAGATTATCGGTGAGAATTATGTGTCCCTCAGACGAACGAGGAGAGATGGGAACTGTTTCTTCAGATGTTTTGTGTTCTCATATCTGGTACACACATGAAACTGCCGCTAATGTAATATATGATATAATATATAAATTATATATACATATGGTACTAGGATGATGTACTTTAATTACGAATTTTGAAGCATAGCGTGAGGCAATATTGAACTATTACTTGCTAGGAGCATATTTTGGAGACCCAAGACAAAGCAGAAGTTGATCGCATCAAGGGGCATATTCAAGAAAGCATTAAAACTCTGAGAAACCTCCAATATGTTGATCATCAGTTTTCAGATTTTTACGAGGTAAACTGTACATTCATGCTTCTCATTCCTCTTGAGTTTCTGCTCCCATGCATGTAGCTGACTCCTATGGTGAAAATCCTACCCCACGACCTTGGAATTTGTACAACTGACGCCTGATGCAGTCATGGCTTGGCTCAGAGATAGGATATGAGTCAAATGTGTATGTATGCCAGAAAACATCCATAGAAAAAGGATGGCACCTCATCGCACAGGAACAGATTGGCTTTGTTCCTATAGTAGGAAATTGCAGACAACAGAGGGAAACAAACCAGACCAAATATTCTAGGCAGTCAACGGTGTCCAACTTCGGCCAGTCGTACTTTTTCTCTGAACGGGTCTTTTTTATAAGGGGAGGGGTATGTAGGGCCTTCACATGGGGAAGTAAAAATCTCTTTATTTCCGATCAATGTGATTTTTATCAGCGCATTTGTGGTCACTGCGGGGTAAATATCTTCAGATATTCACCGAGCTACTGGATGGTGTGATCCAGGGGCACGAAAAGTCCTTGAGGTATGAAAACCAGATTATATTTTTCCGTTCTCTGTTCGCTTTTATGCACACAGAAAGCGATAAATGTACTGAATTATGTGATCAAGATTAGGCGCAATTTCAACGAAAGCATTGTCTTGTTTCAGTGACGAGCTGCTGCTGCAGAGGTGCCAAGATGGATTATATTCAGATTCTGGTGAGCATTCTTCTTCCCTCCTTAGCTATATTGCCCGTATACGTACCCCACCGGCAGCTATACCATCCTCCGACTGATGTTGCTCCGGCCAGCCGTCATGTTCTGCAGGTGTGCGGCGTCGGCTGAGATCCAGAGCCGCAGGGACTTCTTCGAGCCCTTCCTCGCGCCCTTCATAGGCACGTCTCAGACACTGGAACAGGTTCACGCCCCCTGCCTCTCTCACGCGTCATTGATCAGTACGATCTCATACTACTCTTCTCGGTGCTGGGATTGGGATCTCTCTCGCGGGGAGCAGTTCTGCAAGACCTCGGTGGAGGGGATGAAACAGGAGAGTGATCACGCCCACATCGTCGCCCTGACTGATGCGCTGGGCGTGCCGGTGCGCGTCGTCTACCTCGACAGCAGCTTCAGCGGCACTGGCCCCATGACCGCGAACCAGCACGACTTCCTCCCATCTGGCGCTTCTGCTCCAGGGGAAAAGCCGTTCATAAGCCTGCTCTACCGCCCCGGCCACTACGACATTCTTTACCCAAAGTGAAACTCGCCCAACGGTCTTCTCTCTCTCTCTCTCTCTCGCTCTCTCTCTCTCTCTCTCTGGCTAACTGAGATTCGCCCAATAAAATCTGTTTCAGGCGTCGGACAAGGAGGGAGGATGAAGAAGAAGAAGAAGAAGAAGAAGAAGAGAGACCCGTTTCCAGATAAATCACCTGGTAAGTCGACGCCGTGGGGCCTTTGTTGATTGTAGGGCTCTTCCTCTGTCGGTTCAGAATCAAAAACTAGGAACTTCCCGGGTCGACGTCGATTAGTGATCGAGCATCGCCTGGGGCTCAGGCGACAAGGTCGCGCTCGTCTGGGGCGGGGAGGGCGACGTCGAGGCGCATCATGCTCCAGTACTGGCGCGGGGGCGGGGCGCCGGCCTGCACGCAGAGCTCCACCGCGGCGGGCGCCTTGCCGTAGAAGCGCTTGAGCTCGTTGGCCGGCGGGGGTCCGGCGGGGTCCCGCATGTGCCACACGTAGCTGGGCCCGATGAGGTCGTCGACCGTGGCCTCCTGCCAGGCGTGCAGCCCCGCCCGGAACTGGTGCCCCGCCGCCCGGCACATCCTTACCTTGTGCCCCTTGGGGCCGACCTGCACCTCCGCGCAGTACCCGCAGGTCTGCACCGCGTACCTCTCCATCAGTCGCTCCGCCCCGCCGCAAATCTCCAGCCACGATTCCAGCGTCCTCTCCCCCAGCCTCCTCAGCCCCTCCTCCCCTTCCTCCGTCTCCTCTTCCTCCGCCGGCCACACCGGGGCCTGCGGGGCGGAGGCGAGCACCTCAGGCTGCGGATCGAAGTCGACGATGCGCCCCTCGATTGAGCAGACGGGCCTCGTCCTCCGCCTGGCCGGGAAGTCGTCGAGGTCCAGGCCCGCCTGGATGCACAGCTCCACCACGGCCGGGAGGCGCGGTACGAGGAGCCGCTCCTTGTGACCAACCCTGGGCCTGCCGACCCGGTCGACGAGGTGGAAGCAGTGGGGGAAGCGGGCGACATCCCGGATCCCGCCCCTCGTCCACGCGTGGCCGCCGCCCCTGGCGGCGCTTCCCCGGCCCTCGCAGCTCCGTATCTCGTGCCCCCCGCTGCGCCCAACGTGGACTTCCTCGCAGAAGCTGACCGGAGAGAGAGAGAGGGGGGTTAGGATCACCGGCTCGGATCGGTTGAGATGATGGAGAGACGCCCTCTATTCGTACCGGCAGCGGTGGACGGCGTCGCGGAAGGAGGGTTGGGCGAGGAGGCGGGAGAGCCCCCGGAGGAGGGACTGCCAGGCGAAGTGCACGCGGCGGGCGACGGGGATAAGGTCGGCGACGAGGAGGCCGTTGTCGGGGGGGTGCTCGATGACGCGGCAGGGATTGGCGAGGCGCGCCCTCCGCTCTGCCTTGGCCTGGCGGACGAGCTCCTTCACGGGGGTGGGGTAGGGCTTCCTCTCCCACCGCCTTCCGCGCCGGGGCACGTCCGCGTAGGGTGCCTCCTCTTCACCTCCGCCACCGCCGCCGCCGCAAGGACTCTCCGCAGAGGCCGAGGACAGGGAGGCGATATCGGCGAGCCGGACGAGGAGCCTCTCTTCGCCGGAAGCCTGCGCCAGCAGCCTTCTTCTCAGTGGAACCATCCTCGCCCCCGACGACTAGCATTTCTCAGGCTTCTATCCGAAGTCTCACGCGACTTGTTCTTCCACACCTAGCCTTCTTAATATCATCGCCTGCCTCCGATTCTGCAGGGCTTTCCTGGAACTGAGAATCCGTCCTCTCGATTACACCCGCCAGACGCATCAACGCGAGGAAAGAGAAAACACTTGAGGAAAGAGGACGCCAACCACGACCACAACAGCAACGAAAACATCGAGATCATCCAAAACGACGTCCCCCGAGGGGGACCTCGGCTTACAAGACTCAAATCACAGGGAGGTGGGGGAGGGGAGGGGAGAGAAGAGGGGAGAAAAGAGAAAGGGTGCGCGGCGGGAGGTGGCCTAGTCAAGCCACGGCAGACAAAACTTCTTGCCAGGTTGCCTCTGTTCTTGGGGAAGCAGGAACCTATACATTTCCTATTCCTCCCAGGGATCGCCCAAAAATCTCGAAGCCCTCCTCTCCCGCCGTGTCTCTGTCGTCAGCCTCAGTCACGCTTCATATAAACAAGCCAAAACTGGAAGCCCCCACCCTCCGCACCTCATCTTCTTACACAGACATCACCAAACCAAGAGAGAAGAGAGAGAGAAAGAGGGGGCAAAACTGGGTGGAAAGGAGGGGGTGGGGGTAATGGTCTCCGAATGAAGAGTCGCGGTAATGACCCGGTGACCAATGGGAGGCCCGGTTCTACTCTTCAGGATCCTTTGTTGAACCCGATGAAGCGTCCCCATTGGACGATTCCTCCACGTTTGTGGAGGTAGATGGACTCTCCTGGTGGCCATCCTCATTGGCGGCCGGCCTCGGCCTCCCGGGCCTCGACCGGATGTTGATCCCCATCGGGAAGGGCTCCTGCACAGAGAGAGAGAGAGAGAGTCAGCTACGAGAGAGAGACAGAGAATCGGCTCGCAGTTGAAATCCATGGCGCTTGGGATCGGAGAAGGGAAAGTTTTGGGGCATGATTACTGATTCTGATCGCGAGGTGACGAGGACTGGAATTGTGTGAAGATATCCGGGGTTTAGATTCCTACCTGATCGCCGGCGTTCGGACCGTCGGTGTGGAAGAGGATGGGCCGGCACCGCTTGTCCTCGTTCATCAAGCTGGAGTTCTGGAAATGGGCGATCAGGGCGGACTTTCCCTGGATGCGGGCGTACGCCAGCGATGCCACTTTCTCACTGTTGAACTTCTCCCATTTTTTGCCATTAAAGGTCTGCCAAAAGATAAACCACCGGCCCGTCAGACCCTGTCCCTCATGTCCAATGGCCGATGACCCGAGAGAGAGAGAGAGAGAAGAGAGAGAGAGGGATACCTGGAAGAAGGGGATAATTTGCTGCGGATCGACCATGTTGATGAACGCGTAACCCACGTTGCACTTGTTCTGGAGAGGAAGGAAGAGGAGGTCAGCCGGAGGATAACCGGCGCGCCCGCCAGAGGAGAGGGGCGACGAAAGAACTCACCTTGAAATCAATAGGCAGGTATATGAAGTCGTAGGTCCCCCGGTGGTGCTCGTCGATTGAAGCCAGGAGCATCTTCGACGTGTACCTACGGAGAACAAGAACAGGAACAGGAGTGAACCAGAGTGAGCGATAGCCCCGGCGCGTTCACCATCATATACCTAAGAACAAGAGGTGTTCTTACTTGTTGGGGATGTTCTTGATCATCAGCGTCGTCCTGGGGTCCTCGCCGCGGACGATCCGCTCGATGTCGAGCTCATACTGCTTCTTGTTCTCAGGCTGGCTGGAGGCGGCGTCGCCGCGTCGGCTCCTCCCCCGGTCCCCGGCGGCGGTCTCCACGGAGGAGGACGCCATTGAGCTCCTGCTGACGTGGAACATGTGGGGGGATGGCAACCCCACGTGGGGGAAGACGGCGTGGGAAGGGAGCTCCAGGCCGTGGGGCGTGGGGCTGCCGGAGAATCCAGTGCTCCCCAGAGACCCGGGTCGAAAGCCCGCCACGCTGGCCGCGGCGTCTGCCACGTAGGCCTGCCCCTGGTCCCATAGAGATGGGTTTAGGGCAGGTGCCGACCCCACGTGGTGGTGCTGGGGGTGGTGGTGGTGGTGGTGGTGCATGGGTATAATGGGGTTCAGGAGGTGTGATGGGGCCCTGGAGAAGCCGCTGAATTGAGGGGGAGTGGGGATGGAGTTGACCCTCGAGGGAGAGGTTGACCATACCATGTGCCGGGGGGGAGGCGGAGGAGGAGGATGATAGGAGTTGGAGTTACCCCAGACGTACTGATGAGGCCCATGAAGAGGGCAGCCGCCGCCGTTCCCTGACGACCCAAAAGCTGCAAAATTAGGCGGAAGATGAGGACGACACCCAGAAGTAGAAAGGAATGAGCGAATGGGATCGTAGTAGACTCACCACCTTCGTTGGTTGACCCGAGTGAGCCCACTCTGTTGACGCCGTCGTGGAAGTCTGAAACTGAGTGGGACTGAATGGGCAGCAGGGACTGGAACCCAAAGTTCATCTGACCGAGGGAGCGGGTGGGCTCCAGAGGGCCATGCTTGTTGCCGTGGTTGACCACCGAGGGGACCCTTATCGGGGAGGACAGGGGTTGACCGGAGGAGATCAGGGGGAATTTGCCCTCCATGAAGGGGTTGACCGGGCCTTGGATGCCAGACAGCACGCCCTGGAAGGGCCCGGTGTCAACCCCAACCGACGTGATCGTCCCATGTGGCGCAGATACTGTGGAAAGCATGAGAAAACATGATGCTATGCCGGGGTTGACTATTGACAAAGAGGGTGAGTGGGTAGTGACGGTGTGTACCGTAAGCTCCCAGAGTTGACTCGTTGTGGGGGCTGTCATGCTGAATGCAGGAATTGGCGTCTTCCGAATCCAAGTCTGTGGGGAACTGCTGCGAGCTGCAGGAGGAGAAGAAGGGGTCAGTAAGAAGGTTGTCCTCTTGTTCCTCGGCAGTGAAATGATTTGAACTCCAGCCAAGTGAAATCAAGAGAGAAGGTTCGGTAAGGGTGGGAGAATGATACCTACGCCTTGTACCTCCCGGCCTGCTGGGCTCAAGCTTGATCCGCTTTCCTGCAATGTCGCTCCTGTTCAGGGCACGGAGAGCAGCTTCAGCAGCTCTGACGTCATAAAACTCTATGAACTTGTGATGATGCTTGTGAGGTGTTTCACGGATCTGCACAGCAGAGAATAAAGAAGCTTAATTCTGTGGGCATCAAGAATAAATACTGATTTTGAATTTTTAAATATCAGACCTCTTTGATCTCCCCATAAATACCGAATATCTTGCGGAGTTCATCGTTTGAAACAGAGGAATCAAGGTTGAATGCGACCAGCGTCCCTTGGTTCATATCTTTCTCTGAGGGATTGTCCTGTAGATAAATACCCAGAAGGAAAGCAGCGTCAAAATGGAATAATTCGTACGGGAGTATATGAATTCCTACTGGTCATTTACAAAATGGTGGATGCGAAATTTCTACAATCAAAAAAAAAAAAAAACAATGTAGCGATCAATGAGATGAAAAATATGAGCACAATTAGCATGGTCAACGTGGATAATCCTTGTGAGAAGCCACATGCAATTCCACGGAATCAAGAAACAGAACTCTTACTTTCCTTAAAAGGCTCAAGTTTTTTAAAATCAAAAGCTTCATATATCAATATACTGAAAGGGCGTGATCGTAAGCTTTTCGATTTTACGCGTTTGCCACTCTGCAATCTCCACAGAGGGTTTCATCCTTTTCCAGCACTAATCGATAGCAAAATTATAAGTATAAACTCCCAGGAAAAAATTGAGACGATTAGGGAGTGGGTGAAGAAAAAATGCAAGTAGTTCTAGGCACAGGATTTGGTCCAAAATAGGGCGGCCTGAAAAGTCAACCGGATGCAACAGTGGAATCGTCATATAATACACCAGTCCTGCCTGATCCATCCCAATCCCATACCCACGTGAAATCAATGGCCTTTCCTTCTTTAGAAATACTCAGTCATCTGATTCAGCTCAATGCATCTCCCACCTGGCTGTATCATACACAGAATACGTAGCATCTGACCGCTCACTGAATCGGGCTTGGACCAGTTTCCCGAAAAAACAATTCAGACTAATCGTCTGTAATCAATTTCATTATCAACATATGTATGCATATGTATGCAAAGCTAATCTCGGAATCCCCTTTCCCAGAAGTCAAGATCAAGTGCATACAAAAGAAACAAAGAGGGAATCGTACCTTTGGAATAGAGAAGTGGATATCAAGCTTCCTACGTCTTAATGGCTTATTCTGAAGCGCTCTCATAGCATTTCGCGCTGATCTTATATCATAGTATGAGATCATAACAAAACCACGATGCTTGCAAGCAGTATAAATATTGCGTATGTCTCCAAATTGCTGCACAGATAGAGCATGCGACCAATAAAAGGTTCAAAATTTCATGCGAATCGTCAACATTTGATCATAAAAAAAATAAATCTGTAATTTATCAAATTTATCACCTCAAAGAGAGTCCGGAGTTCTGAATCGTCAACATTGCTATTTATGTTCCTCACAAAAAGAGTCCTGGAAGGATGTTCGCCATATGGATGCTCCCCAGCAAATGGAACGCCTAGTACCCCCTGTTGACTATTAGGGGCTCCATTAGTAGGATCTTTGTTATTCAAATTATCATCATTGTCCAGTTCAATTCCCCCCACGCTACAAAATAAATCATCTTCCACATCATCACCATTATTGGGTTGATAGATATACTCTAGGTCATCAATGACCCCAGAAAGTAGTTCGTCATCGCCAGGAAGTAGGTCACCAATTGTTTGGGCTTCGATTTCCTCGGATAATTCAAAGGGCTCATCCTCTCTGAGATTCAAATCAACAGCATTTGTGGATTGACAGACAAACGCATCAGATGAAAGCCTCACTGCAAAAACAAAATGACAAGGGTGATTAATTTGGATCTGACGAACTTAAAAAATTTCACAACTGAAGGTGAGAATAGCTTACATTTTCTGCTGAATACTTCTGACAAAGAAGAGGAAAACAGACCATTTTCATAATGAAAATTATTCTTGTGCCCTTCCATGCGAAGGGATGCTGAATGAAAATGTAAATTTGGCTGAGGCCCTGGACCTTGTTCTGTCGACTTCCATGAATTGACTGACGAGCTAGCCATCCTTTCTGCCTCAATCGATTGGTGTTCATGACTACTTAGTTTCTGACCTCTGATAAAATGAGGTTGCATTGATTCCATTGAGCGTAAACCTATTGCTCCAAAATCTTCCCCTGTTTTAATCATAGGCTTGCTTCCAGGCAGCTGCATTCCCTCAGTGCCTGCAAGTACAAGCCAAGACAATTATGTTGCCAGATTTCAGAAAGAGTTCGTGATCAACAAATGATATGCCAGCAGCAAAAAAAATTTAAGCCAACAGACTTCTAATATCAAACAAAAGGCCAGCTCAAATGGAGCATTCAAAATAGAGTTATCTCTAAATCAGTCCACGTAGAATAGATCAATAAAAAATAATCAAGTAGCCAACAGCATTACCCCTCTGGAATGAGACCTAGTCCTAAAATACCAAATTTGATGGTTAGATCATTATATCACGAATATGTTGGCCTTCTCTAAGGAAAAATGGATTTAATCCATTTATCAGACGAACATCAAAACAAGTATTAGTATTGGTACAAATCATACATACATGCGAATCCAGTAAAATGAGAACGGGTACATCCTAAAGTACTCATGGTAGATTGAGTACAGAATTTCAAGATCATCCTATCTTCAACCTGAAATCTCTTGGACAGCCTCTAGGATTTTCTTTCCAGAATCAAAAAAATACTGCGAAAATTTTGCCCAGTCCATTAGAGAATCTCGAATTTCCCAAAAGCATGATAATCCCTAAATCGCCCAGAGCTGAGCATCACCTATTCACTGAGATAAAGCTAATAATTGGGCGACGTGAAGCCATTCCCAGGAAACCACACCGGAAAATAAGTGTCATCAACTAATTTTTCTAACTTCTCGTAAAAAGATAGATGGACCAATAATCAAGCCAGAACACCAAACGTTCCTGTTCATTGACAACATGAGAACATCAGTCCCTCAAAAGAATCCTCCATTAAGTGCTCCTTTTGATGGATCACAATTATTTAGATTCCTATTGCCACATATAAAAAAGGAATTAGCAGAGCATAAATAAATAGGACACGTCTACTGTGCGTGAGCTGTCAACGATGGTTACATGGATATCTTTCTACGTTTAAATTTCATCCGAATATTTCAATGAAAACAAAACTTCTACCCGTCCTGAATGTTCTCTTGATGCTGATTGCCGTTTACTAAAAAAACAATAAAATCTAGATGTCACCCAGCATCGCAAGCAATGGGTATTTTCCCTCAAAATAGTTGCAGGACTGACAAGAAACACATTAATCACTGCATCTAAGATGTGCTCCTTTGATCATAAAATCTGCCGTAAAAGCAGTGTATCAAACTTGAGAAATGAGAGGGAAAGTAAACACACGTAATATGACCATAAACCAGAACCCAAACTGCATATCAAACAGCAGCAAGCTTAAATATGTCACGTTCTATCTGGAAAATTGTAATTGACGTCTGTTTTTGTGCAATCCATCTAGCTTGTGGTTTCTTACACCATCCTCGGAAATAAGACTACTGGAAACTGGAACCACCATAAGCAAAAAATGCACAAGCATTTCATCAAAGATAAGTCCATGTCCTCTCTTGACAACTGGTGTACATGCCTAATTCCAGATGAGGAATTCCCACCGGCACAAATATAAATAAAATGTTTCTGGACCAACCTAGGACGAAGAGGGGAGCCATGAATTAATATGTTTGATAGCAGATATGCGTTCTAGCAGACATCATTCAGAACAGGCAAACAAGCACTCTTTACACGGGGTAATAGATGAGCACAAATAATTGGGTAACGAAAGTTTATACAGCAGGCAAAAACTTCACTGGTATAGAGGTGCACATGCCAGCCACAAGACAGTGCCAGAATGATCCTATGTGACCCAAAAAACTAAGCCCACAAATACATGTTTAAAGTCTACGGCAAAATTCAGTCCCAGTGAAACATAAAAGCATATAGGAAAATCGTCCACTATCGTATCTACTTTAAAAGGGAGGATAAAAGCAAAGTACCAAGTAGATACGTCAAAGACTTATCATGATAATCGGGCACAGACTCGGTCTTCCGAAATCCAACTTGTCTCTACACAATAAAGCAGCGTTGTCAAGAGAAGAGAAAACAATTACAGCACAAACGAAGGAAAGAAAAGTGTAAGAACAGTATTTGAGAATGACAAATAATCATATTCCACACTATAATTATTTGTCAGATGGTTTCCTTACCTCCGCAGGCAAGCTGATCTCGTTAGAAAAAAATGACGGCGATGTAGATCCCATGTTCAAAAACGAAAGACGTCTTTGGTCCATGATTTCAGATGGCATCCTGCCATCAATAGGCAGAAAAACCCAGAAATAGCAGGCACTCGACGTTAACAGGGCACTACTCTCCTTCCCAGATGCTAACTGATGATTAACCTAGAAAAATACTGTTGTGCTGCAGAATGCTAGGGCCCTACAAATGGGAGACAACGGAAGCGTTAGAAATTTGAGTGCGCACTGCGCGGCTGCAAAAACAAATGAACAAGAAATTCGTTAAAGAAAAAATGTGAGAAATTAGAGTATCGGACAGAAATATTGAGCACGAGAAAATGAATAAATAAAAGTAGTCGGTAGAAGGAAAAGTATGCAAACTTAAAATAAAGGCCAAAGTAAGATCGAAAAAAGAGCAGAGTTGAAAAAACGGGAAAAAATGGAGGGAGAAGTAGACACTAAGAGATGTAATAAAAGCACCAAACGCGAGTCTGAGAACGCGATGCATCTAGAAATTTTCGCAACAGAAGAATTCTACCCAGAGGAAATCGACGTCTCATCTAACAACCGGACAACAACCGATCGGGAAAGACAAATATTACAAAACCCAGACGAATCAGAATTCCAATTCAGCTACGCGATGAGAGATGAAATTTCGAGGGGGAGAGGCGGGACCAAACAAGGATCACTTACCAAATCGCGCGCCCCTCCTCTGCAAGTCCACAGGGGCCTCTGATATCACAGACTGCATTTTAAAGCGAAGGATCTGCTGCAGGAAATTGACTGAGTGGGGAAGGCTGAGCTGATCGGATCTCTCTCTATCTCTCTATCTCTCTATACCCCTCTCACTCTCTTTCCAGAGACACTGTTCAACACTCTCGGAATCTGCGCAGTGAGAGACTCTCCGAAGCGATCCCCGTCTTCCCTACATTGCAAGGTAACACCACCACGCCCTTCAAAAAAATTCTCAGAAACTGAACTATGGACAACTATTTTACGTGCTCCTCCACGCCTCTAGCACCTCCGACGTTCCTAAGCTCGCGGCACCGGGATCCATGGCGACAACGTAGAGCTCCGACAAGCTGATCCCTCCCCCACCCCTCCGCTGGAGCAAGCAGAAGCCGTGAAGGAAGAGAGAGAGAGAGAGAGAGAGAGAGAGAGAGAGAGAGAGAGAGAGAGGAGAGCAGTTATTAAATATGTGGGACAGGTTGGCGGAAAGGGATAAAGAAAATGGTAAAGTAGAAAAAAGGCACTGGTGAGTACCGCGCGTAAACGACGGTAGAGAGAGATAGAGAGAGAGAGAGAGCGAGAGAGAGAGAGAGGTGGAGGGGACCAGCAGACGACTCCGTCCTCCAGCGTCAAGTTGTCCTAACGGCGTCTGTGAAAGGGGACCCATTTCTGACGTCATTACCCCTAAAATGGGCCCCACATACTAGGTATAAATTGGGGTATTATGGTCCTTTAGTTAACGACGGGTAGATGCCGTTTTGTCGACACGTAGACTGGACTTGCCGTTGGTATTTAACATTACCCACTGGAAGCAACCCGATTTAGGCACTGTAGATAACGACATGGTAAACCCATCCTGACCGTCCATGAGTCATCCACGGCTGAAATGAGCCCATCGAATGTGGGTAGGTATTGGGGGTGCAATAATGTTGAAGATGGTTGACGCTAACCGCACGCAAATGATCACGCGGTACCCGTGAAAGGTGGTAGCGTGTACCGCGGCGCAACGTAAGCTCGTGGCAGCAGATCGCTGCTTATCGGGTCCTGTCGGACAATCAGCGGCTTCCTGGTAGTTTCAACTGAGGTCTTATCGGATGCTGACCTCATCGAAAATGATCCACGTGACCACCTTCGGCACGTGCCTAGTGTTGTACGGTCGGATTCACCTCAATCAGTGGGTCCACCGCCTGTGCGGTCAGATTTCAGCCAAATCAGGGTTTTCCTCCCCATTTATTGGAATATGATGGAAAACGCGGCACCGATAGATGGATGGCTGGAGTTTTCCGTCACGTGAGGATTTCCTAGTCTCGGAATCTCGCATGTTTGGCCCATGGGAATCGGACGTAACGGGGGGATTTCGATTGTTTTCGTCCCATCTCGCACGGTTTCAGTGAAAATAGTTAAGGTCGGGGCACAGGGCCGCCGTGATTTTTATTTATTTATTAGGGTCTACCTTATCCCATCTGGTATAATTATTCATATATCCCTATTGGATTTAATGATAACTCTTTGGCCCAGTCAAACCAAGTATTTGGGCTACTGGCCCATTGGGGGCGTCATCAACAAGTACCTTTCTCTCTCCCTCTCTCTCCGACTGTAAATAAATGCCAATATATTTTTTATTAGTCCGCTGTTTTTCAGGGTACATACGTAATTTTCCAAGGGACGTGCGAGCTGGGGATGGATTTAAGTAAAATAAAATACCTAAAATAATAATATCTAATCCGCCGTGAATAATAAGAAAAACTGTATTTCCTGTATGTATAATAGGTCAACTTAAATGGACAAGTTGACTTGCTGCATTATGAGAAGTCAACTGACGAGTTGGTTTTTAATCGATCATATTCATATGTAGGTGCCCTGAGAGTGCGCCACGTGTCGGGGAAAGCATTCGATTCCAGGTGAGTTGGCCCATTATCCTTCCCCCCGTTGAAATTTCAAAAGTCCGAGGAGGGAAAGTGGGAAACGAGTTTGACCAACATGCCACGTGACGCAGTAATGGCTGGAGCGTCACCGGAGCCGCTAATGCTCACATAATTATTCCGTCTTGAAGAACGTGAAAAATAAAATAAAATAATTACCAATAAATATAAAATTATTTTATTATAATTAGGGGCTGCAGTAGCTGTCGTCAGCCAATGATCGGGCGTCAACTCGGCTTTTGAAGGGGGAGGGGCCGGTGGCCGCGTGGGGAAGCGTCAATCTGACAAAGGCCCACCCCCCCCCCCGAATTTCGTGTAGATGAGCTGGAGTGGTCCCCCACTCTTTGTTTATTTATCAAGAAACCCCTGCTTGTATTTTATTTAATGATCAACCCCCAACCACGACGCCGGGAAGCCAATCATTTCAGGTCACTGAGTTCTCTTGGCGGCACGGGAGGCGTAAGAGAACAATAGTATAATACTTTTTCAATCCACGGTAAAAAAAAAACACGTCGACACGTGTCTTTTGTGATGCATCGGCAGCTTTTTCGAATTCCCCGGGAATCTCGCATTTCCTGCCGTTTCCAGGTGCCGTTACGTGGGCCTAGAAGTGGACCTCACGGAGCATAGCCCGTTATCTGGCGGCCCACTAGTCCGTATGGGCCCGTTATCCTTCGAAGTCGCTGAACAGACGGATCTAGTCCTGATCTCCCGGCATTCCGTGACTTAACGGCAAGACTAACGGATCAGTTCGTACATGTGTACAGATGAAACAAATATCTGCATCATATGCACACGTGTACAGACGAATATATTAATAAGCATACAACATGCATATGACATCCAAAATAATTGTGCTCACAGCACATGGGTGTCAACATGGCTGATCTTTTTTAAAAAATTTCTTCCCTGCTCAAACTTTTCTACTATCATTTTGTTGGGTTGCTATCCTCTTTTTTCTCTGCATTCTTAATGTTTATCTTTGAATATGTCTATAAATGGACAAATCAAACTTTCGGTATTACCAGACTTTGTTGTAACTTGTAAGTAAATATAGCCCCACTTATTATTATTATTATTAGCACTTTCCTCTATAGGCTCAATTATCTTTTTGTTTATCATCTTTTCATTCTTTTAAAATCATAAATTTTCCCATCTAAAATTGTTAAAATCAACATATTTTTTATTTTTTTTTGTGATTGGTCATTTGACAAAGTATTTATGAGTATGTGACATACTTATTTTTATATGTCATTGTTTCATAGTTCATATACCATAATTTTAAAGCAGATTTTGGTGAAGTTCTACTGCTACTCACTATGATTTATAGGTGTTTGAACTAGGCATGATATTTATCAGATATTCAACTACCTTACATCATGTTAAAGACATGCAGGAACGATTTTTTTTTTTGAGAAAACAACATATATTTATCATTTATTTGAAATATGGTCTAATTAAAGTTGTTTTGATACAATGAAATGGTCATCTTTATGTATGTAACTTCCTTCTATTTGAAACATGTATTGTAAAATATATGTGGCATGCCAAACACATATTTTTCTACCACACATAAAGCATGTCAATTCCTCAAGGATCCAAAGTTGCAAGTCATATGCTAATTACAAAGGTTTATTCTTCATGAGGTCAAATAAATTTCTACTATATACCATCGATATAGACTTTTATTTATAGAGATGTTTGACATTATATAAAAAATATATTACTTGTGACAAAAACATAGGCTATGACATAATTAGTTTCACTATTTTCTCAATTGTTGTAACAAGTGGTGTGAAATTTAGTAACATTTATTTTTTTGATATTTTTGATATTTTATTATTATTGTTTAATCCTTTAAAAGTTGTGATAATATACACAAAGATCTTGATAAAGATTATTTGGAGTGACTAGGCTAATCATAAATAAGTAACTTGGACTAATTCTCACAATAGATATAAGAGTTTAGAGAAGGTAATTAAGATATGTCTGATTAGTCTCTCACAATAATTGTAACAATATTGAATCAATACATTGAGAGAACTTCTATAGATTAGGACATTCAACTCACAATAAATTGATTAGTTTAAAATCAAAAGAGTTCTCATAACACTCTTTACCAATTAGAATACTAAGTAGATCTAGATATAAATCACTAAAACAACAATTGCAAAGGTGATATAATAAATTAATAAAATACTTAGTAAAAAAAAGTAGTTCTATATATCACCTTGACATTAGAGTGGGCATCAATTCATAGGAAAAATCAGACATCAAAGATAGATATTTAACGTTACATGTTGATGAATGCTAGTCGTTGACTGACATTGATGGTTAAATATTAACTTGTTAACTGTTGGTTCATTATTGATTGGTTGACTATTGGACATTGATGATGGAAATAATCAATAATTCATGCTTGAAGATCTATTGAATGACTTTGTCTTAGTAGATACATGTGGTTCAAAATAATAAATTTTAATCAATTTTAGATCAAATAGCTCATTGTGCTACAAATCAATAGGAACTAAATCCAAATGAGTGGATGATAAACACATTAGGACCAAAGGTGAAATGATAGAAAGAGTTGAACACGGAATGATAGAGTGGATGAGCGACAAAGTGACAAATAATGGTTTCAATTGTGACACACTTGTGAGGACATGTGGTGGTGGCATGATGACTACAAATGGTGTTGGCAAAATTGACGACAACTGCAATGACTTGAGGGAATGACAAAGGTACAAATCAAGTCCTAACATTGCTAGTGATGCAACAACAATACGACATGATAGATGATGGTTGACCGTGATGGGAGAGAAGGATTGACAACGATGGAGAATGGATGGAGGGAATGGATTATAGAAATATATGATGGACAAAGAATAATAGATGACATCAAAGGATGGTGCTGGATAATAATTGAAGGTGCATGGATAATAACTTTTACTACCATCCCTCACATAGCAATGATAGATGACCCTTATAGGGTGATGATGGGAGAACCCACGATATCAAATAATTATTTTGTCATTTTTGAAGTTAGAAAATATAATTTGTAATATATTTGATTCAAAATAAATAAATAAATAATCAATAA